GCCTATGGCTTATCATCCTTATCCTTTGCCCATGTTGAAGCAAAGGCAGCACATTCCCCTCTAATATTTTAAAACCTTGAGTGTTGGTCTGGTCTAGGGCTTGAACCCTCCACCTCCCCCAGTGCTCTGCAGCATGAGCTTACCAAATGCGGTTAAACAGTTTACACAGTCTGCCAGGCAATTCATACTGCATCTGTCTCTCTTTCTTTTTTTTAATGACCAATTGAGAACAGGACTTAATTTTAAATACATCTGATTGTTGATTCTCCCTTCCACATTTTCTTATAAAGTTCTACCTAATAAGTTTGAGTATTCTCATTAACTGTTCGCTGGATAATGTATGGATATGATAAGGAGAAGTTACATTTTTATCACTAATAGGAGTGAAAGGGTTATTGCTATTCCCAGACTCACTTACCAACTCAAACCAAACTCCATGGAATTCTTTATCTTTTGGCATGGACACAAGGATTTACTTGAAGTTGAACTCGAATTCTTTTCTGCTTCCTTTTTGCTTATCTGTAATAAATCATCCACTAACGTAGAGCTTTTACTCCTTTCAGTTTTCTGTTGATTCCTTTTTCTGCTGCAATGTCTACTCCAACTGTGGGAGCTGCTTTCTAGAGCTTTTAATTCTGGGAAAGAAAACAAAGAGTAATGGTTAAAATCAAGGAATTACTTTATTTATAAAATAGCTGTTATAGTAAATTTGTGTAAACAAATTAATTTGCATGAGCATGCTTCAAATTCATGCTTTTGACATCAGTAAACAAATGCCTGGAGAAAACATTTCCTCTGTGATTCATCATGAAATTCCTGTTTGAATACATTCTGATTAAAACTATGATTTTTGTTATTTAACTTTGGGAATATGTTCATCTGTTTTATTTCATTGGAGCTTGTTTTGGTTAAAAGACAATTTATTTTTGATTTATAGCAAACCTTCAAATAAATGGAAACCTCTCCAATCTCTGATCTCAAATGAACACTATTGAAGAAATGTAAAATGGTTTCCGTGTTTACATAGCCTGATGTAAATACGCAGGAGGTTGGGAGAACACGAGATAAGTGTAGGAAACCACGATGTGAAGCGGAGTGGTTTCCAGCTTATCTCGTGTTCTCCCAACCTCCCAAGTGTTTACATCAGGCTATGTAAACACTGAAACCAGTTACATTACTTTTATAAAATAACTAATGAAAGAGGAACGAAAACTGTGTTTACATACGCTCATTTAAAATGGTTTTATGGCCAATCAGAGTGCACGTACTATTTGAATTATTTTATAATGAATAATTGCAGATAGTCAATTGCAATAAACTAAAAAGTGGAGAGTTGAACACTAACCTTTACATTTCCTCTCTAATTCACTGATATCTAAATATGAACCCTACAAGGAAAATACATTTAAACAAATTGGATAATGGTTATTTTAGTAGATAAACAAATCCCAAAAAAGGTAACAGCCTTTAAAAGAACAACGACCAAAAAACACATGTTTAGATAAGCAACTGGAGTAAAGGAGAAGGATTGAGGATATCTCGTGAAAAGTAGTTCTGCAGTGTTAACCCTTTAACTCCCATGAGTGACCAAGACAGAATTTCTCCTTACAATATCAATACAATATCAACCAGATGAATGATGAGAATAAAGAAAAATATCACTTTGGGGGATAATTAGTTGATCCAATATTAAATGCTCTGAACTAACATTATAAGAATTTTATGGTTGACAGTAAGGAGAATGACAATTTTTTTTTGATCTGGGATTTAAAGAGTTAATGGCATGAAGCATGAAGCATTTATTGAAAAATCTCTTTCCTTCTAATACAGTGCTTGTACATGCGAGTAACAAGCAAAAAGGTAACTTTAGTGTAACATTCTGGGACATGATGGGAGTTCACATGGGTTACACCATAGTACCCTTGATCAGTTTTTCTCTTCATAGATAAAAAAAAGAAAGTCAATAGTGACTAGACCAGGCCAATTCATTATCTGGCTACAACATCATTCATGAATCAAAACTCAAAATATCCATATCATCCTCACCGAAAAAGAAGCCATCTTTGCACCTTCTGACTCTATGTCAATAATTTCATTATCTGAGTTATATTCGGAGGAATCCACTGAAGACGCAGCTGAAGTTGACTCGCTGTACCAGCAATTCATTAATTCATCCTCCCTGTCAAATCCTTGGCCACTAAAGAAAAAAAATTGTGCTTTAATAACCCTTAGTTAAGCCTCTATCTGACTGTTTGGTCTATATTATGTATGTGCTAAACATAGTACGGGCCAAAATATTAGTTGATCAAACAAAAAGTTTTCTGAAACAGATTATTATGAGCACCTAACATTAATTTTTTCATTCCTCACCACAAAAACCATCATATTATCAAAAGTTCACAATCTGGCTCATCTATCAGGCTTATTTTTTTAACAACCCTGGACTTCTGGACAAGGTTAAAATAAAAGCTATGGAAATAATCAAAATGATCAATCTTGTTTGTGTGGAACATCTAAAAATGAAAAAAAAAAACCCAGTCATGAGTTGCTTACCATTCAACCTCAGCAGCAACATCATATTCCAAAAAGGATGGTGAAAAGTCATCAAATAGAGAGTCCCTGCTGAAAGGAGGGGGGCTGCCCCACAATCTGAGAGAGGAAACAAAAAATGCTTTTGAAGCAAATTTCAGTCAAGTATCGAAAGTAATCCAGGACTGACTTGTTTTGTTTTACTTAGCTATGACTGGTCTAAAAAAACTTGCATTTCTCTCACAACCAATCAAATGGGAAGTTTAACCAATAATACCTTGGTATCTTGCCCTTTTCCACCCTTTAGGTGCCTATTTTTACCTTGAGATCTCATTGGCTACTGATTATGTTAATCTCCAATCTAATTGGCTGTTTAAATTATTTTGCTTTTGGAGTATTGGCACCCTTATGAAACTTCTCTATTACAATGAACAGACCTCATCAAAAGCAAAGGAACAATTGGATGAAGGAAGAAAACAGGAAAAAACCTCTGAATCAGTGTTTCACAGATCAAAATCTTTTCTTATCAATACTGATCCCATGAAAAGAATAGAACACATAATCATCATTTGCTCTCGTTTAAGACAAAAGTGAAAAGAAAAGAAGCGAAACATAGTGGGTTGTACAAGGCACTGACTTGTATCGATTCTTGAAGTTATTTTATACTTCAGCTCTTTACTAACTCAATACGTACATATACTTCTAAAGGCATTAAAAAGTGAATAGACGAAAACCAATCCAAAACAAAAAACAAAAAGCGTTGAGGCATTCTTGGACAAAAATGTATTCGCCTTCTTTGAAGTGCCTTTCAAAAACTGAAAGGAATGATCGACTGTATTTAAGCCAAATAATGACTGTAATCGAACCATACAGTACTCAGATAAATTATTTACAAGGATACTTTAGTCTCAGTTTAAATCATATAGGCCGTTTACTTTTTAATAATCGAAAAGGCAATAAATGCTAACATCGTTCAAAGAGCTAGCAGAGGCATTCAATCGATCACGATCACAAACACTCACGATCAATGAAATTCACGTCAAAAAATACGAAAGTAAATTGCAAAAATATTTCACAACGCAGTACACATCTTTTCTCGAAAAAATGTTCGCTACGTCTATGAAAAAAACGAAGAATTACAATTCGTCTTTAATACTGAACAAACAATCTTCATCAGCTCAATACGATAAACGAACAAATAGAGAACTTCCGTGGTAAAAAATTCTTATAACACGTAATCGCTTCGCGACCACACGAACTATCGCGTCCCTGGTGACTTTAGAACAACGCTTACCTCATTTCACTAGGCTCTTCTGGAATCGCTAGCATTCTAAATGCACATCTCGAAACGTTCACTTAAAATTTTGGACTAATTTTCTTTAGATTAAAAGGCAAAACGTCTTAAAGAATCCATCAAAAGACTAAAATCTTTTCAGGAACAATGCATTCCTGCGAATAGCACCAAGGTTTCCTCTGCCGATTAGAGCCCACGTGGCTTTAACCAATCACAATGTAGCATTTCCGCCATGTGGGAGCAAAACTTGCGCAATTCTGGCTGCCATATTTGGCATTGGCAGAACTCAGGGAGAATGAGTACTAGTCAAGTCATATGAACAACCCACTTGGATCGCGTGACTTCTAATTTTAACTTTCTCAGCTATTCCACCTGTTTATCTTTCACAATTCTACCTTTTCCCTTCAGGTGTACTTCACCTAATCCACAAAAATATACACAAACTGGTTTTTTTCCCTTCAGAAAATCATAGAGACTGTTGGAGGTGGCGTATTTCGTCAGCTAGAGAAATTTGGCTAACTTGGTTTGCGTGACATGCGCTATATCGTACCAATCCCTTTTCGTTCTGAGCGCTTGGCCCGCCGTTCCCTGTATAACGTAAGGGATAAGCTAAGGAGATACGAAATACTTCAAAGGAAACATTTCAATTCTTTCTACCTCTTTTGCATGGAGTGAGCTGATGATAATTTCCCATTGGAGTTAACTCTCAATTTGACCAAGGTTACATTGGTAAAAATACTAACACATTTGCAAAACAGAATGAACCAATCATATAACAACAGGCAACAAAACAATAACTACATCTTAATTTAGCAATAGGTTTCTCATCTAGCTGTTCAATGGAATTCCATCAATAACATTCCCTTATCTTGCTGCAGAAGGACTGCACTGCCAGATATAATTGGACCATAGAATAAACACTTATTGAACGAGGTTTTAGTGTTATCCTGAATACTCAAGGTCAAGGTAGGGGTTATCAGCCAAAGCTGAAAGCCTGAGGCTGATAACCCCCACAGAGACCTTGATTATTCTGGATATCACAAAAACCAAATCTAATAATTGTTTACAACACATTGAACAAAAAAAATGGTCATGACAGTAAGTGGAATTAATAATTTATTTCTAAATGAGTAAATATATATATATATATATATATATATATATATAAATCAGCAAACAGCACACAGCATGTGAATTTGACATAATTACCCTTAGAAATCATGCACCACAGTCATACATGACATGATTACTCATGGCCTTGAGTGTCCTTGACATGATTATTCTATAATCTGCAGCTAGATGACATTCCCAGCCCTGATTTTCAAAATTCACAGTACACTTTCCACCAATCAGAAAAGAGATAGTGAGTTTAATGTATAATAATATGTCTATATACACAACAGACAATTATGGAAACTACACAATCCACAAAAAATTGCATTCCTATAAATACAAAATTGTTTATACAAGACTTTGCAATCACTATTGATAATCCAAGAAAACAAAATGATAAAAAGATTTAAATTATAAATGAAAAAAAAACCATACTATTGTTATCTTCTCTAAGATATCTCCTGGACCAAATTAAGTTTCAAATCAACATTATCTCTAAAAAACTGAGTAAAAGATAATAATCAAGATTTAAAGGTTATCCATCATCCAATTTAAAAAATCCTATCCTCTTTGACCGGAAGTATTAACTTACTATCTTTCCACAAAGTAACTGCCACCTCCTAGAAATCACAAAATAATAATCAAACCCGCTTAATTTAGAAATATTCTGTTTGGAAAAGATTGCAAAAGCTTTGTGTTTTTTATCTAGACATAGAACAGCCTTAGCATGTAAGTGGGAATTTCTTTTTAAACAAAATTGCTTGTTACAAAGTTAAGATTTCTCATTACTCCTGTTGCATATTGGAAGCTCAATCATAATTTGGGATATTCCAAGTTAATTTTTTATATTTGAACAAAAATCAAGAAAACCGGTTCAAGCAGAAAAAGAAAAAATGCTATTATGTTTCCTCATTGGATTTTAGCTGTTGTAGCCCCAGCTTTTCTTCCAGTAAAATGTATTGTATTTGGTAAATCTTGCTTTTTGAAACCTGGCCAAAAAGACCCTGAAACTTGAACTCCATCTTCATCTCTTGAAATAAAAGTTTGTAGTACACCAGTGTACCATTCATGCTTTGATTCACTTCTTGTCTCAAAACAAATGTTTGTGTCCTCCATTGTGCCGTTTGTTTTGAATCCCACAATATCCCCTAAACAACATGAAGATGGAAAACAAATACTGCCATCGACACTGGACCCTGAGCTGAAAAAAATTATATCTAATGACCCTTCTTCACCTTTTCTACGAGTAGGTGTTACAATACTCAGAGTCCACGACCCTTCTAAATCCATATTTGAAGCTCTCTTGTCATCATCTCCTCCTTCTTTGTCATCATCATCATCTATGCATTCTGTATGACCTGAGTCATTATCATCTTTTTCTGTAGAAAGGAGCTTTGCAAGCTCTGGATAGGCTGTCTGGAATTTTGATCTTGGTAACAAGGAAACTAGCTTTACCTTCTTAAAAAGTTCCAAAAATGAAGAATCAGTTTGCGCCATAAGTGTTACAATCTGCTCCAGCTGCTCCTTATTACATTTCTTTATAACAACACAAAGCTCCTCAAGTCCACCATAGGACTCGTCATCACCATTATCATTACCGTCATCACTATCCTTGCTCAGTGCTCTCTTTCTCTTCTTTCCCTCTGTGTGTTTAATCTCAATAGATTCCTTTCCATTGTTGAAAATTGCACAATGATTCGGCTTTCGACGAGCCCTTCTGTCAAGCTTGGCTAGGAATTCTTTCTTCCCGTACTTCTCTATTGCCGCTTTCTCTAAATCTTTAGGATTCCATAGTTTCACGGGTCTTCCTCTCACAGGAGGTTCCATTTGACGGTGTTGGTAGTTCAGCATGTCCAGATCATCACTATTCAGGAAGAACTCTCTCTTAGCGTCAGTACTGCTTAACCAAGCGCTAATCTTCTCCCTTTGATCCTGCTCTGACATTTTTATATTCTACAAAAGAAATAATGAATTTCAATTGACAAATTTGAGTAGTTCAACGATGTACCTGCTGATGACTTTTTCTACTGGAGGACTCCAAGAGTCATCATTAAGCAGAAAATGAAGATGATTTGCTCAGGTATAAGGGGAGGATTTTAGACAAACCGTAATTTAAGCAAAATATAAGACAGCAAGATGACTTCTTCAAAGAAAAACTCAACTCAAACCAGTAAAGTGGAAAAAAGCGCGAAAACAATTGTTACTTACCGTTAACATTCAACCGACTCTCGAGCAAATGTTCTACTTCCACTGGCGGGGGTACCCAAAGGAGCCTCCCCGTCCCCTAAGGGATTCTCTTAGATCTCGTATTAAAGTAAAATTTTTCTTCGGGTCAACTGAAAAAATATAATATGAGCTGAAAACTAATGAAATATTTTGCAAAGTTTAATGAAATTAAGTTGAAGTGTAAAATCATTTACCAGCTGCAATTAATATTTTAGTGTGAAAGACCTCAGTATCCCTGGGTAAGGACCCGTTTGAGGATTACCAAAAGGAGGCCATTATTGATATTTCCTGTGAATTCTGCTCCAGTCCACTGGAAGAGCAGCAGTGAGAAGTGTCATGTCTTCCAACTGAAGTTTCTCCCAGTAACTTTGTGTTTATTTGGTTTTGGACTGCTACGGAGTCACTTTCTTTCCGGTCAACACGATGACTACCTCGTTGCCAGCTTCCTTCAAGATTTTACGCAATAAGATGTATTCTCGATCAAACGATTTTTGAATACTTCATTCGAATAGACAGTGAAGTGTATTCTGAGTGTAAAATTTTTGATGAGCAGTTATCAGCAACCGAGGTTTACAAGCTTGACCGATTGGAGTTGATCAGCGATTATTTTCTCAGAGTGATGAGACGCGGAACAAAAACCAGAGCTGACTCTGATTCCCCAGATCTAACGAACATGAATCATACCAACGAGAGCGGTGATTCTGTGAATACGGGGATGTTAGATGAGGGAGCAACAAGTATATCGTCAGGAACATCGCATTCGAAAAGTGGCAAACACGATGACTCCAAGAAAGAAAGAGTGGTCAAAGTTGCTCTTCCTGGAGCGAAGAAAGCTCAGTCAGCAGCGAAGAAGAAAAAATCGACACCAGATTTGGTAAGATGTGGACAAAAACATTTTGTTATGCTCGCCAAGTTTTGCATTCTTCTGAGAGAACGGGAATGTATATAATTTTTGTTAGTGAGCTTGTATTGGTCATTAGCTATATTTACTTGTAACTTTTTTTCTCACTCTTTCGGAAGGATGTGCACAAGGCAATTATGAAATGCCGCGAAGAAGGATCCACGCACCTAGATCTTAGCAAAGCAGCGGTAAGAATTTTTTAATCTAATATTCGTAATAATTAAACTGGAACTAAATTTTGGAGGTGGGCTGCATATTGTTCGATTATCCAGATCAACAGTTTTGTCCGAGTCAAAAATTTTTCTCAAGTGTATCGCATAAGAGCAACTTAATCGGCCGCGATGTACCCTTAGTGGGCTTGTAACCAAACTTCCAAGAAACCAAGCTAGCAGATATCAAGTGAGCTGCTAGATTTCCGGGATAAAAATCTACACTTTTGCCTCTGGGGTATTTGATTGCAGCTGGTCAAATTTCGTTGCCGATAATTTTTTTTTCTTCTCACGAATTAAACTTTTGAGGACAATCAGCTAGCAGGGAATATGTGCTAGGGCGTGATTATAAAAGATGATCATAACATGGTTGTGTTTTTGACTTGTGCTGAATATTCGACACAGTGGAGAACTGGTAACACCTGTCTTCGGGAGCTAAACTACTATCTTATTGATTTTAGCTGAACTTTAGCCAGTGTGACATATCTATCAGGAAAGAAAGCTTTGTTAAGCTAAGCAGAATTTTGTTTGACATTTAAGCATATAAATAAGAGATTGGAAGCTTTCCTGAAAATTGAATATTCACTGTGTAGCTCTTGATCACAAAAGAACACAGTCTCACCTTGCATGACAATTTCACTGGAGTTTTTAATTTACAATTGTGTAATGAAGTGATTTTAATCATAAAGTCAACTAAAGCATTGGCAACAATAAATTTAAAAGCCACATTTCAAGGATATCCATTGACAATTTCAAATTATCCTAAGTGAATCAAAGATTTTTCGTTTTTAATTTTTTTGTAATATTATTGGTCTGTGTTGATGTGCTCAGGGCTGTGCATGAAAACATCATATTGTTTTGAAAATATTCTATGATTCAATTATGAGATGTGTTTCAATCTGGTTATCAAAGCACCAAAATAATGTTCAATACACATTTGTTTCAATAATTAACATAAATTTTTATAATTTAATTTAAAGTTAGCCTTGACATTTACATCTGAGTGTGAATTTTTGTCTCTATAAGAAAAACCTATTAATTAAGATTTAATCATTCAGAGCATTCCTACATTGAATTCAAACTACAGATGAACAAACAGTCTTTAAAAAACTTAATTAATCACCAAGAAGGATTATTTCAGAAATCATAATCTCACAAACATATAGAGAAATTGACTTCTCGTTTTATTATTTTCAAAAGAAAATATTCTCTGTCATCAGTGGGGAACCCTCCTCCCACTGGGAAAAACAGTATTTATCACTGTAAGCTCTTTTTTTAAGTCTTTCATTCCTGATAGCAATTCTCCTGTCCACTAGACAATTCTTATGATATTAATTTGGGGAATTTTGGTGTTGGATCAACTGATAATCCTCAATGTGATATTTTTAATTTTCCTGGTCACTTGTTTGCTTGATATTATTTTGATATTGTAATGAGAAATTCTGTCTTGATCACTCACAGGATTTAAAGGGTTAAAATGATTTGAGTTATTTTATAATAATGGCATGAACTTCTAAGGGAAAAAAAATTGCTATCACAAGACACAAAAAAGGTTATGGCAGAAAGATATCAAAGCCAGTTTTTCAAACATGAAGTGTAAAATTTGCTCCCAAAACTATTCAGTTTGTAAATTTTCCTAGCAATTCAAGTACAATATGATTCAGAGAGATAACAAGAATCACAGAAATGACCAATAAATCCCAGAAGTGATTAACATGTAATTTCTCCCCCTATGATATCCATACATTATCTAGCAAACAAGTAATGAGAATACTCAAACTTATCAGGAATGAGTTGTTATCTTGATCTAACACCAAATTCTCGCAACCTATTTACAAGGAAATGTGTAGCAACTAGAAGGGAGAATTAACAATCAGATCTTGGGAGTTAAAGGGTTAAGGTTACATTTTCTTGATGTAACATTAACCCTCATAAGAGAGTCAATCCTCATTGAGAGAATTAGCCATGATATCTTGGTACATGTTGTAGAAGGCACTTTTTTTTTTACATTGGACAAGCTAGATGTTGCTGATTTAGTACCGAATGGAAATAACCCTAAGCTTCCATCTCTGTGAATAGAGCCACCATGGGGCCATTTAATTCAGCTATGAGAAACAAGTTGCAAAAATATGGTTTAACTGATCCTTGAATTTAATTTTGAGGCAGAAAAAAGTGGCCATCCAAGCAAGATTGTAAAACTGTTGGGGAGACTTCTCTGTTTGGATGAGTCTTTCCTTTCCTTGAAAAGTTTGCAAAAAAAATTTGTAATGCTATGCAAAAATGATTTTGTTTTTGTTTTCAGGTTACAGCCATTCCTAAGGAGCTCAAAGAGGTATGAGTGTTTGTCTGAGTGATTGATTGATTAATTACAGCCGACTGTATGTCTGACTGACATACCAAAGAATCAGCTGCTAGACCAGAGGACTTACCTGACTGTTGGATGGACTGATTGATCTACTTGCCAACTAATTTATCAATGAACCTAAAAGCTGACTGTCTCACTAACTAACTGACTCACTCAATGATGGACCAACTGGCTAACTAGTCCACTAACTGACCAGATGACAGAATGACCAACTGACTGACTTACTGACTAACTGAGCAACTGACTCACATAACTGACTGACTTACTGACTGACCTACTGAACAACTGATTACTGACTGACTAACTAACTAACTAACTAAGAAACTGACTGACTGACTGACTTACTTAGTAACTGACTGGAAGCCTCTTGTGGAGGTCTAACTTTCTCTTATAAATATTTTTGATCTTTGTTTTCTTTTCAGCTGACCCAATTGAAGGAACTCTACTTGTATGGAAACAAAATTGCAACTCTTCCACCTGAGGTTGGGATGTTGAAAAATTTAGAGAAACTGGCACTGAATGAAAACAACTTGACTGACTTACCAGGTTAATAAATTCAATTCTAGCTTAATAATTATTAAAGTTTTATGCAACTTTGTTTTGCAAGTTTAGATTAATCATAATTGTGTTACCATTGAACTGTTGAGTGAAAACAGTGACTTAGATACTGAGTGTGGAAAGGGAGTAGAATTTTATGTGATGATACATGATGTACACGTAGATGATGTAGTTTGACTTTTGATTGATTGTCATAAACTTACACCGAAGCCAAAGCAATAACTGCAGCCATTCAGAACAGAGAAAAATATGGGAAGGAGCTGATGAAAACTCAAAGTATAAACTAGCACACTGCATGAAGCATAAAAAAATACAATGGACTAAGTAGCATCTTATTTGTTGGGAGAGTTTTCTGTACTTATCTAAAAGCTTTGTGAATCGGAGACAATTTGTTGCACTTTTCACTATTCAGGCGATCATTTTAGAATTGCTTTTATGGAATCATATATCTCCTGTTTCCTTTGAAAGGCTTTATTTCTTCTCCTACTGTTCTTTTGAAATGGTGTAAATCATAGCATCATGGATTTTCTTGATAAGTGAATTGATGTCAAACATGGGTTTTTTTTTAACAGATACTGTGGTAAAGCTTAAGAATTTAAAACTTCTGGACTTGAGACATAACAAGATGAAAGAGGTACCATTTTCCTGTCTTAACGTGCAAAAATGTAGGTGTGTGAAATTGACCTATTATAGCTCAAGTGCAAATCAAGGGATACAATAAATAGCCATGATGTAAAGCTGGATTTTGTGGCCAGGAATCCAGCACATTAATTTTGTGGCTGCTGCTTCTACCAGGTGACATCAGAATCAAACTATTTTAACTTGTATTACAAACAAGCTTACCATGGGAACAATATAATTGGTCTCTTACACATATACTGTACTTGATTTATATCTAAAACCTACTGACTTTTTATTGATATTATTTATTCCTTCAGATTCCACCAGTGGTATATCAGCTTGTATCGTTAACAACTCTATTCCTTAGATTTAATAGACTTGTCATAGTTGAAGCTGGAATTGGAAATTTAAGAGTAAGTCAGGATTTTTTTTTTTTCCACATTTTGTATCACAAATTTGCCACCACCTTGTTAATTAATTTTGGTACGCATGTTTCAGTTGAGATTATTGCATAATTGAGCATTGGTAATTAGGCACAACCCAGTTTCCTTTGTTAATTGCCATAGATTCAAAATTGAACCCCACCCAGGAAAAGACAAACAAAGGGAAAGAATAATCTTTGTGGTGTTGAATGTAGAGAGAGCTGAAAATTATATATTTATGGTAGTGTACAAGAGAATACTTATTAATAGGAATTTTATGCCCTAGCAAAGCCCAGGTATTCTTGGTGACCAACTTTTGATTTTAGACAACTTGCATAACCTGTATAAAAGCTTTTCAGACCTTGGCACCCAGTTTCATGGGATTGATAACACAGCTGTAGAATGCACTAAGCATTTACTGCATCACATATTCTTTGTCTTGTGATGTCCTATTCATGTGCAGTTTAATGATCAATGTGGTGAAACTTGTGAGCTATGAAAATATCTCATTTAAATTTATGTGTAATATGTAATTCTAGATGTCCCTCACTGTCTCTTTTTTTCCATAAACAGCTCCTTGAGAGATTGAGCCTCAGAGAGAACAAGATTAAAGAGTTACCCGCTGTCATAGGTAATTTTAAGTGATAAGTGAGACTAGCTACTTTGCCTTACTAAACGAAAAGTCAGCTGAGTTTGGTGGATTATAAACTGTACTGTTCAGAAGGCATACATTTCAATTCACAATTTTTTTGGAAAGTCACTAAGGTCCAGGTTGGTGGTAATAAAAGAAAGCACAGGCAGGCTAATCAGCCTAATCATGGTATGTTTTTTTGCAGGTCAGCTTGTTCATCTTCTTACCCTGGATGTTTCTCACAACAACATCACAAGTCTTCCTAGAGGTTAGTTATTGTTAGTAGTAGTTTATGGCTCTATCATCCATCAGTCAGTCAGTCAGCCAATTGGTCAATGAGTCAGTTGGTCTGTCAGTCGGTCAGTCAGTCTGGCAATTAGTCAATGACTCAGTCAGAAGGTCATTCAGTCAGTTAATCAGTGGGTAAATCAGTCAGTCTGTCTGTCTGTTTGTTGGTCAGTTTTTTTTTTCTGTCTGTCAGACAGTCATACATGTCTTTCACCAAGTTAAACAACAATCTTTGAAGGAAAGTCACTGCCAAAAATCAGTTACAGCTTCCAGTTGGCTCGACACAGCTGTAGATCAGAGCCAGAGGAGTCTTGTCATTTTAACCATTACAGAGATTTGATTTTAAATGCAACATAAAGTTTGCAAAATCATAAACACTAAATTGGTTATTGTGAAGTTAACCAGCTAAAAATGGTGATTGTGCATGACAGCATTGAAAAATGCAGATCGAATGGTGCTGAGATGTACTGCTGATAAGCTGATAATACAGTTCCTGCAAGTTTGTTAGATAATAATCTGACCTCTTTACTAACTGTGTCTTTTGAATGTGCAGAAATTGGAAATTGTGTCCAAATGACATCACTTGATCTTCAACATAATGATATTCCTGAAATACCTGACACGATAGGTAACTTGACTGAAATGACCAGGTTGGGGCTCAGGTAGGTTTGACAACTGCATTGATTAAATAGTTCCTTTAACAACATTAAGTGGAGAGCATGCATAACAAAGTATACTTTGCTATTTGTCTTTAAAAAAATGTGAACATACAGCATGTATACTTGCAAAACTATAGAATTGTATTTTGTTACTGAGTGCTGACAAAGCCATGAAAAGCATTGTTTTTGAGCAATGTCAATAAAAATATGTATGAAAAAAAAATGTTCTGTTGTTTTTGCTGGGTGCTTTTCAAGATAAAAGTGACCATGATCATTGTGAAATTGGATGATATAGAGTATTACAAAAAATAACCACTGACAGTCAAGAAGAGGCAAGGTATAGTCACCTTGATGTAGAATAAATGGGGTGGAATCTGATATTTACTTCTAAAAGGAAGTCTTTTTTTTTCAACAGATACAATCAGCTCTCTGCAGTGCCTGCATCTTTAGCAAATTGCACAAAGATTGATGAGTTCAATATTGAAGGCAACAATGTCTCTGAACTACCAGTAAGGACATTTAGGTTGTATTGTCAACAAATTGTGTTTTACAAAGATTTAGAGAGAGAAATCTCTAATGAAACTGTCAGATGAAGATGAAAGAGAGACCAATCTGAAAGTCTGACAGGGATTAAGCCTGACCCTAAAGCTCTTTACCTGCATTCCTTCCTTCCTTCCTTCCTTCATTCATTCATTCCTATAAGGCCAGCTTGCTAGGAGAGCAACAAAGTAGCCCTATTCCAACAATTCTTTGGCTTTTCTCTCAGCCTGATTCAACCTTACAGCATTGTTGAAACTCTTTCTCAACCATACTGTGCTTAATTTCAACTTTAGTGTCAATGGAAACTATCTTAATGGAACAGATTTTTTTGTATTTAATACTTTTAATTGAGATGTTAAGATTGTCAACTACATTTGAGTGTGATTTTAGGGATTACTTATATCAGCAGCTAACATTTTTCTCTTGATTTTAAGGATAATCTTCTTCATTGCTTGAAAATGTTGAACAATGTCACCTTGTCCAGGAATAACTTTGAACATTTCCCAACTGGGCCACCCAAGCAATTTGCTGCAGTTCAAGTAGGTTATAATAAGCTTTAATTTTTATAGAGTTTTTATTAATTAAAAGAAAAATAAGGGAAGAGGGTTGCAACTCTTTGCAGGTGGGTATTTTTCTGGGTGTGTAATATACTCTCACTTTGTCTTCTTGACTGTCAAACCAGGTATATTTTAGTTTCACTATAACTACAATTATGTTATTTTTTTGTTTACACTGACATAACTGGTAATCTATGGTTACTAAATTACCTCCTTTACTGTCAGACTTTTACCATGGAACACAACAAAGTACAGAAAATTCCATTCGGAGCCTTTTCAAAAGCAAAGTATTTGGTAAGATAATTATAATGATTAATAGATCATACTTTTTCTCATTTTGATACAATCATCCTTCAATAGGATCAACATGTTCAAGGCTTGAAATAAAGTCCTAGTTAGTTGTTGTTGATAAATAAAAACTTTCCAGTAATGCCATATTTGTATATCTGGGTATCAGCCAAATGATATTTGGAGAGAGTGGTGACATGAAATGAAGAATGGCAGACAAATTGAGGTGACAGTGTGGTGAGAATGTTCTGCCTTCTGTTCCCTGCCTTACTGCCCGCCAAGTCTTTCACTCCCCTATTGTCTCATGTATGGGCAAACACATCAGACAAATGTTTGTATTTTTACAACAATTTTTCTTCACCTTTCCACCTTTTCAAATATCTTTTCCTTCCGTTCTCCTGTATAACTCCAACTCCTTTGCTTAAACCCCTTGTCACTCCCCACAAATAAGGATCATGTGTTGTCAGTTGGAAAAAGTATCAAAAAGACCAGTGTCTAGTGTTTTTTTTTTTTATTGTTTTTTTTTTCTTTTTTACTATGTGCATTGTAGAAGAAGTGTACCATAAACTGACCAATGGATGTCTCTATTTTCCATACACGACAACAAATATAGAACATGAACCTTTTAACTCCTGTGAGTGACCAAGGCAGAATTCCTCCTTACAATATCTATACAATATCACACAGACAAGTGATGAGAATAAAGAAAAACATCAAATATGGGATTACTAATTGATCCTACACCAAATTCTCCAATCTAACATAATAAGAATCATTTGGCAGACAGTAAAGAGAATTACTAATGAGATCTTGGGAGTTAAAAGGTTAATTTCATAAAATGATTTAATTTGATCAAAAAATATGTATGTAATCAAGGGAGTACTGGAATAACTGTCATTATAAACAGAGTATTGTAAGTTACAATACAGATTTAATCTAACTAATTTAATTATCTAATGTATCTGTTATCTAGTAACTAATTTATAGTAATGTGAACTTTTAATCTGACCCTATACTGAGAACTTTTCACTTCTTTACAGACAAAGCTAAACATGAAAGAGAATCAAATAGCAGCACTGCCATTGGGTAAAAACATGTGCATGTTGTTATTTTTCTAATAGCAGAATCCCTTGATTGTTAAATGTTATTGATGTCTGGATAGTGATGAACATTCCCTTTTTTAAGTGACTCTTTCATACCTGGGATTATTCTGCAAAATTAAGACTCTTCTGACTCTCTTGCACTATTTTCCTGTTGGTTACAAGCATGCTTTGTTGTACGTGAAACCAAAACTGTGTACATGGGTGGTACCCTTATTGAATTCATTATTCTCCATGAACTTAAATTGAAGTTTCAAGGAGAGAGTACATTCATGTCACTAAATTTTGTCAATTAAAGGCATCAACTTTAAAACTAAAATTTGGCCATGTTTAACTGTGTTTTCAAGCCCAGATTTAGTAAGTGTTTTAAATATTTTTTTATCACAGACAGCCATACATTGCACCAGAATATCAGAGACTTTTGAATTACTGATTTTTTTATGACACTCTAAACAACATACTCAGCATTTAATATGTTGTAAATGGTGTAATTATCACTTCTTGAATGTTTTGCATTTTGAGCACAATGATATTTTATTTTCAGATTTTGGCAGCTGGATTAGTCTGGTTGAGCTTAACCTAGGAACCAACCAGCTTTCAAGGCTTCCAGGTATGTCATCTTAATGATTATATCACTTCAACATATGGGAAAAACCGTGGAACTACAGTTTTCATTTGAGTTTACAGAAATTTGGAATTGCTCTGGTTTACCTCACCACACTCTCTGGTGAGCATTGCTTTAAAAAACTGGCAAACTTACAACCCTCATTTGAAATGCTCTTTATTAAATTTGACTGATTGAATTCAAGTTTATTAAGTAGAGGAATAAGTCAATAAGGGCCAGAAGCTAGCCAAAACCCTCAGCTAGTCTGCCATTTTCAGCTGGCTACTTTCAACTCATTTTACCATAATTGCTGACAAAAAATCCTACAGTTATCAAAATGTCAACAAAGGTTTAAACCATGTGGCTTTTGAAATTGTAAAAATGTATGAATCCAAATCCTGTTTAGGATTTAGATAAACATTAATGTGAAAACTCTGGGGTCATTTTAATTGAGTACTTTCTAGTCTTGCATGTAATGTCATTTATCTTGTTGCAGAGGATATTCAGTGGCTTACAAACCTTGAAGTTCTGATTCTCAGTAATAACCTTCTTAGAGTAAGTATCTCATTGTTGGACTCATTTTGGTGTGTAGATAAACGATTCTCACAATGAAATACAGCAGGCAAATAACATATACTGGGAAGGAATTTTTTTGAAGTGATTAGAGGGTTTTTTAAAAACCTCATGTAGAGGCAGACCATTAAACTTGTAACAGAGTGCTGTCAAGAATTAAACACTGTGTAATCATTAAATTTCTTTCTTGAGAGGAGCTCTACTCTAGCCTTGTAGGATTTGTTCTCATTTTTGACTCTCACGTCATCTTCTTTTACAGAGATTACCACGTGGCTTGGGTGAACTAAAGAAACTTAGAGTACTAGACTTGGAGGAAAATAGGCTGGAGTTACTTCCAAATGAAATTGGTATTTAGAGTGATATTTATTGTTATTGACAGGTTGATAAGAAATTTGAACTTCTGTTTTTGGAAAAAAATGTGATAACTTGTGTACAGAAGCTTTAATTTTTACTCTTTGTTTTTCCAGCTTTTCTTAGGAGTTTGGAGCGATTAGTTCTGCAGTCAAACAATCTAACAACTCTTCCAAGATCAATAGGGTTAGTGAAATCTTTGTCAAAATTATATTTAATGCTTTTATATTATAACTGAAAGTAAGTTACTTAGAAAATGTTAAGTCCATGTTAAAGCCTTGGGCATCATCCCAACAAGTAAATGAATAAATGTTATCCAAAGGAGAAAGATGGCAATAGTTTAGAAAACTGCTTCAGGGCTTATCTAACTTACATGTTTATTGTTTCACTTTGTCAGAACAGAGAATTACTCATAAGATTTTAGGGTTAAAGTTGTGATTTAAAAATATAAAACACTGATACAAACTGACTTGTTAAGAAGGATCATATGATGATTAAACTACAGAAATGATTTGTTTGTGTTTATAAATTCCTTTTTTCTCCTGTTTTATTAAGCCAAAGATTTACTTTGAAAATTAAAATTAAAGTTTCTTTTCTTTTCCTTTTCACCAGATACCTCACCAATGTTTCATATCTAAGTGTTGGTGAAAATGACCTCACTCAACTTCCAGATGAAATAGGTATGTAACCACTCACTCAAGATTCACACAGCTTGACTTTCAATCAACTGAATGATGATGATATACCGTATTTACTCCAGTAAGGAAACTCCCCCAAATAAGTGCCTTCCCCCTTAGGCCATAATAAAAAACAAGTGCCCCTCTCGAAAAAGCACTCCCCACTCCTTCCTCTCTTTCTTAACTAGAAGGGATACAAGGAAGACCTGAATACATTGCCATTATTTTATAATTTTCAAAGTTCCAACTAAAGTGGAATCAGTACAGGAATTGAAAGTTTCTAATTAAGCATCCCCCTTCACCACACAACAACAATCAAAATAATAGATAAAAACAAAAAAAAAGAAAGAAAATGACAAAGAACAACAAAAAATGGCAGGGACACCGCAACAGCATAGCCAATTACAGCAGGCCTCTTTTCCAATAAGAGCCTCCTTTTTAGCTGAAATTTTAAATAAGCAACCCCTAGGATATACAACAGTATTTCAGCATTTAGACTAAGACTGTGAATTGTTGATTATTATTTTATGTTTTCTCTGTTTATTAAAATTCTTTTTAATAGGTAAAATGGAATCCCTTGAACAGCTGTATCTCAATGACAATGACAGCCTTCAGTCTCTTCCCTATGAACTTGCTTTATGCAATGCATTGCAGATTATGAGCATTGAAAACTGCCCTCTAAGCAGTTTCCCAGCTGAAGTTGTGGCTGGTGGACCATCTTTAGTCATACAGGTACAGTGTGAGCTCAGGACTTGAATCTGACAATTTTCAATTTCTTGAATTTGATTCAGCGGAATTTGGCAAAAACAGGAGAAACCCACTTCATGACCTTGTGCTTGTCATTTTTATTACCATTATTTTTTTTACAACAAAGTCACTGTAAATAGGTTATTTATTTTAATAAGCTTTTTAGTTATTTTTCATAAAGATAGGAAAAAATGAATATTCTGAATACTCCATAGGGAAGCAAATATCAGACCTTTAGATTTTAATATTATTTTTTGATTTAATACTTCATTACTGAGTCGCAGAAAACTTGTTGGCAAGCTTCAGCAAGTGGCAATAATAGTAATTGACGCACCTCACCTTAGTAGGTGGTCAACAATCCTCTAACATAATAAACAGAAATCTAGTAATTAGTCTCCAATAAGTTACTTGAAAGTTAGGGACAATTTTTTTAACATTATAAAACTTTGAAATGGGGGAGATTGGGAGATAAATAAAATAAATGGGATTTAGCAGTGGACATTCCACAAGCTAGCTCTTCTTGTCCAATGTTTCCATGTTGATTTGGAATTTAGAATGTTGGTTTTTTGTGGAGGGAGGAAAACTGGAGAACTCAAGGAAAAATACATCGGAGCAAGGACAAGAACAAACAACAAACACAACCCTCATGTGACTCCAGGTCTAGGAATTGAACTTGGGCTAAACTCTTGGGAGCAAGCACTCTCACCACTGTACCACCCCTGCTCCCCTGTAAATGAAATTTAAAATTTAAAGAAGAGTAGAGCATGGCATGACTTTTCCCACTCATTGTAGACTACTCACTTGGTCCATGAGTGACAAGCATTAGACAGGGATAGAGAGGTTTGATCATTTCATTTGTGGTGTAAGGAGTCATTGACTGAAACTCACAATAATTTGCAAGTTTTGAACAATTTGTTGTGGCTAATGAAATTTTCCTTTTCTTTTCTTTTAGTATCTGAGACTCCAAGGACCATACAGGGGAATGATGGCGCAAGCAGGACTGGTACCTTCATCAGATGTCTGAGAGAATATTTTTAATGCTTTTCCACTGGTGCTGTGTTCCTGTTAGGTTTTGTTTCAGTTTTTTGTTGTTTTTTTACTGATGTCTTTGGCTCTTAAAATTTTAAAGATATGAGTGGTAATTCTTGCTGCATATTTTTATCAAACTGAGTAAAAAGAATTGGATGTTGTGTTAAGAAAATGTTTTTAAACTGATATTTTTTTCAGTCTTATTTGTTTGTTGGCTAAAGATTAGAGTTTTGCTGAGTTTAGCATGTGGCTTGAATTCATGAACCATGACATTAGGGATAGTTAAGGGAGCTTTGTCACAATTGTTAAAGTGACTTTTTGCATCACAGCGAGCTGCCATTAGATTGAATGAACTGGGAAATAATTGTCCACTCTCCCAGGCAACACCAAAGATAAAATGAAAGTGATTGAGGTTGGAAAAAATCAAAATGGATTGCAAATCAATTAACTTTCAAAATTTAAGCTAATTAATGGCTATGAAATAAGCACAAATTTTTGTTCTGTCAACACTCCTACTTTCTCTTGCTTGGTTGAACATGTTGCTCTCAGTTTTTTTCAGTTATTCTCAGCTAACCTAGTTTAAATCAGTTAGTGACAAGGGATGGATTCAAATGTTAGTTGAAGCTAGACATTTCAAGACTTTTTTTAATTTTTTAATTCAGCCTAGGCACAACTTCACTTATGGAAACAATGTTGATATCTGTAATGCTGGTTTTGTTTGATCCCCTTTTTTCTTTTTTTTTTGGAATTTTGCCACAAAATTGGGTGTGGTCATGATACATAAAATTTGAGACCTTTCCATAGATTAGTGATTTTTGTAGTGTTCCTTCCACGGAAGGTTCTTATAGTTTTCATCATAGATTAGGTAGATTTAAAGCGTTACTCAAGATTTACTCAATTTAAGGGGACTCTTTCATTGGGCTCCAACTCGTTTTTTAATGTTTAAATTTTGAACACATTTATTTTAGGTCAGACTTTGGGGAAGTCAATTTTGGTAAATTTTGTGGTAGATTCTTAGCAAGCAATAGACATTTTGTGGTGGAAGGAGAGAGGTTTTTTTTACATTACACTACCTGTCACTTTAAGGGTGGGGTACCTGCTTTAGACTTACAGTAGGGGCAATTATCTTATTACATATACAGAGGTAGATTTTATCAACAATAATTTATGGTTTTCTACTAATTTAGGAAATTCTAAAATTCTATTAAATAGAAACTAGAGATAAAGAAAGGCAACCACAAGCTTTTGAATGGAAATTGGACAAGATTTGTTAAGTCACTGTAGTACATTGTGCAGTAGAACATATGACACTACAATTGTATGTAAGGTCCTAGAAACTCTGAGTTGAAATGAGAACTTTGCTAGGAAAGCACAAAACCTTGGAAAAGTTGGAAATTGTTTCCAGTACAAATCTTTTTGGATAATTTTCCTAGAAAATTTGAAGTTACTTGAATGGTATTTTATAAACATGTACTTACACCCATGCAAACCTTACAGTCCAAGAAAATATGATACTTGTCACCTTCAGTCCAAATATCAAAATTACTGCCTCCATTTTTTCTTTATGTCAATCATTCTAATTGACAATCTGATATTTGAATCAACACAACAAATTTTCGATGAAGCTGATTTTGGTTCAACTTTCACCTGTTTATTTGGGAATTAAAAACGGTCACATTTCTGCATGGCAAAGAAAATTACTTGTTTGTAAATCAAGGTGCATATGGGAAAAATACTTCATGGCCAAAAGTCTCCAATCATTATTTTTTTACAACTGTCAAATTTTGTCAATTGTACAGTATCTGGTAGTAAGTTTATCACAAAATGGTTGTATAATTTTGATTTTGTCCATTTATCTTTCACAAGTGAGCTGTCTTTATTTTAAATACCACAGACTCTTGAACTCAGGATGTTCTTTCAGTGGTGATCTGTCATTACATGCAAGTTAGAAGTTAGTCATAGTTAGGCTCCATGATTGTAATGCTCTTAATTATTGATTTCCAAGAGATTCAAGATGGCTCATCAGAATGCTACTGTAGTACTTAATATGCTTTGTTTAAAAAAATTCATGATCAAAATTGTGGGCTCGCCCTTTGCTTGCCTTTGCACTTCAATAAAAACAACACAAATGGATCTTTCTGTTTCTGTAAGTACCAATAACTTGAAATTAACCTTGATGGGTAAAATATCTTTTACTGTGATATGCCACTTTAATTTGTGAAAGCACATACATGAAGGGCAGGTACTGTTACATTCTGTTATGAGCTACCTGAAAAGGAAAGAATGCACAACTAGCCAAGAATAAAAACCTGAAAGGAATGAGGCTAGAGCACTAGGAACATACCCAAGAGAGAGAAACACTCCTTTCATGCATATTTCTTGCCAGCTTGTTTCTGGAACAAGGAGTGCCTGCTACACTCAGGCTGTAAAGAACGTTTTTCTTTAATGTCTTAAAATATTCAAGGAAAATGCGTATTTTCAGTCATTATGATTTACATGTAATGTAAGTATGGACAGCCTTACAAAATAAGCCAGCCACAGTAAATAATAGTGGAGTTAAGTTACTATAACGAAAGACATCATTAGACATATTTCAATAGTCATTTATATATGTTCATATAAAGTAGTCAAACTTTTTAATCAAATAAATAAATTTCTCTGGGAGCATTGCGAGTCACTTTCGTCTGTGAGGTCATTTGAAAATGAAATTCTTTGGGTTTCTTGCTAATGAACCAGTTCACCCCATTCACCTAAAGTTCATCATCTCAGGGGTCCACTCGGGAAACTGGGTAGGTCTTTTAACAACCTCCCCTGATAAGTGAAGAAAACCCCATGGTGACAAGACTGGAAATCTCACTGACTCTCCTAGAGTCTCCCCCAGACCATTGAGTTGTGTTCTAGGGTAAGATCTTTTACTGGCTCAGTGCATTTCTCCCACAAGGAGTATAAAAGGGTTCCAACAAACTGATGCCGAGACCTGAAAAAAAAGATGGGAGTGGGAAGTAACTAGAAATAGAAGTTGCCATATTCCCAGTCTTCTTGACCCTTTAGATCCTAACATCAGTTCACATATTCTTAATACAGTTCTCTATACATTTCCTAAGGTGCCAATAAGGAATACTCTGTTTAACCCTTTAACTCCCAAGATCTTATTTGTTAATTCTCCCCTCTAGCTGCTACACATTTCCTTGTAAATTAGTTATGAGAACATGGTGCTAGATCAAGATAGCAGCTTTTACCTGATAAGTTTGAATATTCTCATTACCTGTTTGCTGAATAATGTATGGATATTGTAGGGAGAAGTTTTGTGTTAATCACTTCTGGCAGTTAATGGCTTAACAATCAACAGCTTCTCTTATTTGTGATCATTTCCTTTATTCTTGTAACCTTGTTGTTTGATTCAAGGGTGATGTTGTGAGAAATTAGATGCTTGTCACTCTTAGGGTAAAAGGCTCAATGCAGCAGAAAACAGAATGACACACTCAACTCATAGTCAGACTTAACTTTTACATACTAGAATTATGCACCTATCAAATACTGAGAGGAAAAAAAGGAGAACACCAACTTTCCTAAATAAATACATTTTCACCATGCACTTATGTTGATGTTGTTGTTTCCTTTAATCAATTGTTCTCTTTTTTCCATCGATCAATCCAACTGAACATTTAACCCTTTAACCCCCAGATCAAATTTGTAATTCTCCTTACTGTTCACCATACATTTCTTGTAATGTTGGTTCAAGGAATTAAGTATTGGATCAACTTATTATCCCCAAATTGATATTTTCTTTATTCTCATCACTTATCTGGTTGATATTGTATTGACATTGTAAGGAGAAATTCTGTCTTGGTCACTCATGGGAGTTAAAGGGTTAAATATAGGCATGATGCATGGAAACATCAACTACTACAAACTTCAAAGGCCCTAAAAGTTGTTAGTTGCAAATGAAGGTCATCAAAATTTTTGGTCAAATAATTGATTGTTTTACAACTGAAACTCTAAAAATTGCACCAAGAAAAACAATTCCTTAGAAAAGATTGTGAAACTTTAGCTGCTTAAAGGCAACCATTCAGCTGCTGTGCAGTGTGTGGTTATTTCAACAGGACACATTTAACACTACAACTTAATTCGCAAGGTTGATCTGCCAGTAACACTGGTTAACCTTCAAGTAATGAATTATTTTTTTTATTAAGAGTCAAGAATTTCTGATCTTTTTCAAAGCTTTCCTTCACATTGAATGCACCTATAGGTTTATTATCTCCTGGGAATGCGAATCTGCTGGTGATTCAACACACGCTGTTGTGCTTTTTTCTTAACCATCTGTAGTCTTTTTAATGCAGAGTGCTGCATGGCTGCCACATTCTGTGAAGAAGTTGCCCCACTGCCCACAGATGGCTTGCCAGCCCCAGCTGATGATGATGAAGCTGTACTCAGTGCTGGGATGGCAAACGACTGATGCATGGTGGGGGAGGAAATGGGCTGAAAAAAATTTAAAAAAAAACCCTTAAAACCCAATTTCATTTCCATGATTTGTGATTGATGTACAAATTGACAAAAACTTTTACTATGGCCTTTTACCGACATTCTGACAAAGTAGAACATTTCAGTCCAAATGCGATTTAACCTGACTCAAGCAGCATATTTTATTTTATCTAGTTTTTAGCTTATTTAACAAATAGATTCCAAGTTGCCGTGCATCTGTTCAGTAATAGATCACAGATAACGTCAAAATGTGGTAAGAACAAGAAAGTGGCACACAAGGTGCAGCCAAGTGTGTCACTGATGTTCTTACCACATTTTGACGTCCTCTGTGATCTATTACTGAACAGACTCACAGCAACTTGAAATCTATTTGTTTTATATAATAAAGAATTAAAAAAAGTTTTAACGATGACATCATCTATACATCTGTCCTCCAATAGATCATAAGTGAGAACCAATCAGAATGCATGCATAACTGAGCTTATTATATAAATTATTATAGACCTGTCAACCAGTTTTATAATCCTCAAATGCATTTTACTTCTAATTATGGTACTTTGAGGATCAAGAGCCACTAGTTCATCAGTTGAACTACTGTTGTGTTACCCTCCTTAAATAAAGTTGTTTGTTTGTGTGTTTGTTTGTGTAGCCATACTCTCCTCCTCAAGATGAAACAGAAGGGAGGGAATGTCTAAGAAAACCTCACTTCCCATTCACCTTGAGGGTTCCAGAAATTAAGAATTAAAAACAGAAATTAAGAGATTAAGAATTAAAAAGTCCTACATTATAAGGTTTCAGACTGTTGAGAAGGTAATAAAAAGAATGCTCAGTAATCAAGTTTTTTTTTACATAAATATTTTTACCTTAGTTTCATTAATGGAGGGTCTTTTGAAGGGTGCTAAAGGCACAGGTCTGTGAGAGGAAGACAGTGGTTTACTGAATGTTGCAGACTCTGTTGGGCGTGACTTTGGAGATGCACTGCTGGCCTGCAGAAATAATTTTAAAAATTAAAAATGATAAAACTAGTGCATACAAAGTATTCTAAAATTTGGCTATGATTACAAAAAGTACATTAAGATATACAATGCATAAATTATGGACTCTGCTTTTACAATTTTCACTTGCATCCTTGTTGTCCCAAAGGAAACAGTTTGAAACCCAGGAGTAACAATGAGGCATGTAATGTAAGAGTAGTCCTGAAAAGGACTGTCATCGGTGATGGTCACTGATGTTATGACAACCTTAATAGAACTCATCCCCTGACTCTGATGTTGACTCTGATGTTGACAACAGTCCTTTCTGGGTAACCCTTACCTGGCCAATCAGACTACAGAATCAATTTTCAGACCATGCACTTTATCTGTTGTCTGTTACCTGTCAGTAACCTGTCAGTTACCTGTTACTATTATAATTTGGAGTCCTTAGTTCTGATGCATGGTATGATTAATTAGGAGTACACAGTGACACTTTGCACTGGACAGGGATAAAAAGTGGAATTTACAATCCAAACATAAAAGAGCTTCTGAAAAGTATCATCTAACCACCGTGTTACTATAATTATTAGTTGAGTGAGGCATGGGAAACATCTGGCGACAGGGTTATGACCATACAATAACAGTGTTGTCACCGGATATCTTATTTGTTTCCAAAGGTAACAGAATCTCAAGAGTTGTGCAACAAGGTTTCAACATCAAAAAGAGGTTGCCAAACCATTGCAGCAATGCAATGTTACACAAAGTGAGAAGTAAAAAACTAACAGAAAAATTTAGACAAGATTTGGGTACCAAGTAGTAAAACAAAAATGAGAAATACCATCTCTCTCATTCTCCTGACACACTGTACACAGTACCACACATGTCGTGGATCATTGACTTCACTGTCCACAACACGTGGTTCATGACATCTCTGTAAAAAAAAGATATATAATCATGATTACATATCTATATGAAAACAGATAATATTGCTGAGAATATTGTCTTAATATTGACTTTAGTACTCAAACAACCTCTGTTAATTGTTGTAAGTTTCTCTTCTCTGTACCTGATGATAAAGTGAATGACATTCATGACATTCTACCAACTGATTCCCAGGAATTTTGCTCTCATCTCTGAAAATAAACAAAAACAATATGGATTGAACAGTATAAAACATTAGATACTTTGTTTTTACCTTGACTAAACCATAGCAATTGAACAATTTTTGATTTTGGCCACATTCCAAAGTTTACTTAAAACTCCATAATTATAATAATATTAATTTGCTTATAGTTATCATGGAAATTTCCAATAAGTACAACCATTCACACTTTTTCATCCCAATCTTGATTGGTGAAACTGCACAAACTTTTTCTTGATCCACATAAATTGAGATTATTCCATGGAAAGAGTGCATGAACAATTTTCATTCACAAGTTGCAATGCATCAAAAAAATTAATGACTGAGCGCAGCAAATGAGTGAGTTTTTTTTATGCACCACAACTCATGAATAAAAATCATTCAAGCACTTTTCATAGTATGATGTTTTTATTTCATACATACTAAGATTTACACTGTGAAATATAAAGCAAATGACTGTGAAAATACACTGTTCGTCCAATCAGAGACACAAACAACAGTACTTCACAGTGTGAATCTCAGTATATATGAAATAAAAACACTTCTGTACTCAGATGTTTGCTTTATGCAGTTCTGTGTAAATAGCCAAGTGGATTAGAGCTGAAAAGCATTTTTAGAAAGTTAAAAAAAATTTGATCTTGATGATTTTTTTGCGCCAAAACAAACAGAAGGTGATAGTCTGATTGTAGACTGAGCAATTAATAAATGGATGAATGGATGGAAGTATAGGAGGACCAACATATGGTTTGCCAAACAGACTAACTGAATGAAGGGGTAAGTTTTTAGAGAAACTCTTGAGCAGTGTAAGTGGGAGAGTATAACAGCAGGTAATTTTAAGTGTTATCAACTGAGTTGATGACATGCATTGGCCATCATAATGAGTTTCAATGCTGACGTTTGGAGTGTTAGCCCTTCGTCGGAGCAAATGGTAAGGACTAACTGAATAACTGACTGACTGAGGGCCAGATTTATAGCAAACAAAGACAATCAATAGAAACCAATGAAAAGAAAAACAAACCTGCAACAAATACTGCAAACAGATCCCCAGTCAATCATTAAGTCATCAACCACAGGTTGCAGAGCTGTTGGGGGTTCTAAATCTCCTTCATCTAAAACATCCTCAACATCAAATTGAAGCTTAGCTTTCTTTGATGAACTCTGATCCATGAAGGAGCTTGAGCTTAGCTCCACAGTTTCAATCATACTTGAGCCAACCTCCAATGTTTCAACACTTGCCTCTTCAATAGGAAAACTCTTAACTGGCTCTGGTTTTGCAGTTGGAATATTATGCTTTGGTTCAGCTTCAAATTTTTTCTCAGTCAATTTGGCCTTTACTTCTGCTGTTGATACTATTGCACTTGGTCTCCTCTCAGTGTGAAGTCCCAATTTACCTTCTTTAGGTTTCTCCTTGTTGAAAAAAAAAAACAGAAAATCATAGTAAAACTGGTTCTTTAATTAAGGTTGATAATTATTGTGCCTTGTAACACCCACCATTATACTTGTCTGTTTCCACCAGTGCTGTTTGTTGCACTCAAGTAAGGTTATAGATGACAATTTTGCTTACCAGGATACTTCACATGTTAGTAGTGAAAAACTTTGTCAATGACAGAAAAGATAAAGGTTTCTGCCTGCACATATTTTAGATAAATTCATTTTAAATCCAAATTACTTGCATGAAATACACTCTTTTGCTGGGGTACCATGATTGAAATATTTTGGCTCAAGCTTACAATGCCAGAGTAGGATAATGAAAGTGCATATCACTGCAACTGTCAGAGTGGGATTTTGTTAGGAATATTGTAAGACATTTACCACACTGAGACCCCTTTGTTCAGCTTTCTCCCAAATTTTTACAGAGAACTGTTCATCAATCTTGCATCTTTAAAGAACAAGCAATGACAATGGCAAACTCCTGCCCTGCAAGCTTGCAGAAAGCTGATCCTGGGAATTACATATTAACTACATCAACCAAGTGTTGATTGATTCACATGAAAAAAAAAGGACAATTCAACTTGCTCTATTTTTTTAACAAATTGTTGGGAAAAAATTAGCTGTTCACATTTGCATGAAATTAGCGGTGTCATGTTACATCAACAAATGAGGAAAATTGTTCACTTTACCATCATGTTAATAACTCATTGATCATTATTACCGACGTTGTTTCGCTCAATCAGTTGCACTAACAAGTTTTTTGGGCTTGAAAGTGTCCAGCCCGCTGACAACCAGAATACCTAGATTATTTTGATTGTCAAACCAAGGACATGTTAGATCCTGTGTCCTTACAGCTTGCATTATATAAGAGATAACATTGAGATTTGTGTTTGTATTTCGTACCTTGGAAGACGTGGGAGCTTGCTGGTTGTGCTGTCTGACGACTTCATCTCTAAGGGCACGAAGCTGGTCCAGAGAATCAGGGTGCTTTGAGTGGAGAAGCTTCAAAGCCTTGATAAACACAGGATCTATCTCCACTGAGTTACTAGCGACAGCCATTTTAGTTCTTTGTTCCGTAGTAGTGCCCAGTCTACCCATTGAACCCAACATGTCGGCCGCTGAAGGTGAAGAAGTCTTGAACGCTGGCGGACAAACGCAGAAATCAGAAGTCTCTGCGGTTGAGCTCTCTAAGCGACTTCAGAAGCTTATGTTAAAGATCGAGGGGAGTTTTATTACGGAAGAAGGCCGAGCAGTTGATTACAATGCGTTGAAAGACAGCGCTTTGTTCAAGGAGTATGTCGAAGGAGCTCAAGCTCTGAAAACAGTGAATCTGGAAAGTTTAGATGGGGCGGAGAAGATAGCCTTCTTTTTAAGTATCCTTCCACTGTGAGATTTGATTGCTCCCTGTTTTAACAAGCACAAACTTTAAACAACTTCAATGCAAGGCATGATGGGAGTGAGGTCTCCTGAATTAAGACCAGGGCTGATGTCACGGGAGAAATAGGGGAAAGATAACCCCGTTCTGTTAGGGACCTTGTGGTAGTGGGGGAGGGGTACCAGGTGGGTAAATGGGTTTTATGTGCAGTATTTTATTCAATTCTGAACCCTTACGCTTAACTGATCTAGGTACAGGAGTCTCCTAGATGTCAACGCATTCATTGTGAGAACAATTCTTCAACAAAGTTTAACTTTGAAACCTGTACCATTTCAAATTATTTGCCCCTCTCTTCCACAGCTTTCTTTTCTTTTCTCTTGCAAGACACCTTCCTTTTTCAAAGTGTAATGCAAATTGAAGTTGGGTGTAATGAAAGTGCAATTATTTTCAGGCAGTTGAGTCACATAGAGTGGATTCCATAGAGTGACCAAGAAAAAGATTCCTTGATAATTTATAGATATTTATAATTCATTAACAATTCATGGCTTAGCAATGTGTGAGAGTGGGTTACCTAATTCAGTGCTGGAGATCAAGAGTTTCTGGAGAAAAACATCATACAACATTGGTGGTCAGAAGTTTTCTCTTGATGACATTGAACATGGAATTCTAAGAGGTATGGATGGATGACTTTTTGAACCAGACCTTGTGGTTTTCTCCTACCTCATAAAGCTGGAAGAATTCATCAGTTTGCAATTTTCTTATTGCCTTGTCTAAGGTTGGAGAGGAAGATGGACACCCAGTTGTTTAAAGGCTGATTGACACTAACCTAGAGTTAAATTTCAATCCAGGTTTCTTTATCCTTTTGTTCAAAAGCCTTTCTCGCATGATTTTCTTTATTCTTTGAGGGGCATTCACACATCAAATTGTAAACAGAAAGAATTGGACTGAATTTTCTAATATGGACTTTAGATCTCAAATCAGATTTCACATTAACCTTGGGTTATCTTAATCCAGCTTTGAACAACCTGGTCTGGCAGGCCAAGAGGTCTGGTTTTGAGTCCAACACAGGTCATGGTGTTGTATTCTTGGGTAAAGTAATTTACTCAGTGTCTAACTTCATGCACTCAGAGGGTCCTAGGAGTAAACATGGGTACTTGTGAACTGTCAGGAAAAGTGAAAGAAATGCAGGGGAGTAACCAGGAATGGACTGGGATCCCAGCTGAGGGGAGTAACAATACTACCAGCCACTGTAAGCTACAGTGACTAGGACAAACTGCAGCATTGTGGGTTAGCAGGCTAAAGAGCAGACTTTGTCGTTTTAACCTTTAGTACACAGGACAAGTGAAGACTTAATTTACTCAATTTAGAATGAAAGTTATTTACTGCCTAGCTTTGCTTGATGGCGAAGCTTTTACTCCGGAACAAAAAATTAGACATTGAATTGAAGTGAGGACAATAACCTGTGGGCCTGCATCTTCTTTGTATTGGTTGTCAGGGGACGTAAAGGAACCCATATACTTCTCACAATGAGTAGGGAACATAGCTCTTGGTGTTGTGATGTGGCCTTGTTATTGTTAACACAAGCCCCCATTTAACAAGCTTTAAAGCTGAACTGAGCAAGCCTGTCTAAATATCAAAAATACTCCCCATCGTACCAGTCTAAGAATACCCCACTTTCCATCTTTTTAAGGTAACAGACCACACCCAGCAGATGGAAAGCCCTTATTTATGGAGGATGATCCTCGCCTTGAGTTCACTGTCAAAGAAGTCGATCCTAGGATACATTTTGCTTTGGTTTGTGGTGCAAAGGTATTATTTTATGATCATATTGAATTTAATTCAAAGCACTTATTTCACCAAGTAGTGAATGATAATTGCATTCTTAATACACTATAATTTTTCCAACCATTCCGGTTTCAAAATGTAACATCTTTTTATTATGTGAATATTGCAGTCTTGTCCTGCCATTAGAGTATTCTCAGGGGGAAACCTTGAACGAGGACTCAATGCAGCAGCAAAGAACTTTTGTTCTCAAGAAGTTGGTGTTGACAATAACATGGTAAAAAAATATTATTTTCCTCCCATTTTTTCTTCCAGAAATTAGCAACACCCACCCCAAAGGATGGGCATTAGAAATTCAAAGGGGAGGGGATATGCTTGAAAGCCAAAAGTTATGCCAGATAGCAAGCCTGTAAGGGGAAGACAGCACTAAAATGGATCATCCTTGTGTTGGATCTCTGTGAAAGGATTCAGTATTGCAGAGAGGGATTTAATCCTCACTTGAAAATATTCTTGGTCATAACTAATAAGGCTGAAATTGTGCCTATTGTACTGTTATATTTTTGCAAGCGTGTTCTTAGTACACGCTAAGACATACTATTTTTACAGCATAATTGAGAATTTAGAATTCAGCTGTCTTGCTCTCCTTAATGCTCCCCCTAGGTCTCATGCCAGGAGGCAGCTGACCTGTCATCTGCATGGACATGTCAAGAATACCAACTAATCTTGGACAAATGTAATTGAAATGGGAACTCCTCCTAAAGATCCATACACTTTTCCATAAATCATCTGATGATAAACTAATTTAATTCTCTAGGTAATTCTTTCAAGAATATTTATGTGGTACAAGACAGATTTTGGATCAACAGACAGAGAATGTTTAAGGTATTTAAAGAGCTACTTTTTTGTGAAAAAATGTAAATTTGGAGTTTATACCTTGTGCAATTTTCAATTCTTGTTTTTCTCCTTGTGTGATAAATTTAGCTGGATTTCTCATCACCTGGGCAAAGATGAACAGCAGAAACTAAAAAGTTTGTTGGAAGTTGCAGATAGTGACAGTTCAATTAATATTACCTATAGCGAATACAACTGGAACCTGAATGGATCAAAACTGTAAAGTTAATACTGGTTCAGTAGCAGAAAAACACAAATTAAACACTGAAGAAGTATTTGAATTAAATTAAGAATTAAAATTTTTTATTTGAAATTATCACACAATCCAGTAAAAATCCCTGCCAAGTGTCACTGATTATGATTTTGGACTCAAGGCCCACACTTATGAATAAACCACAATCAACACAAAAATTATATCATCTATTGATGACCAAGTGTTAATGCCATAATCTTTTTCCTGGGAAGCCAGGACACCAGCCACTTTGGAGACGATATGCCTTTTTTTTTTCCCACAGAAGGACATACATACACACAAGCCAAATTTTAATTGTAATAAAACTCCAATGTTATAATGCTTAACATTTGGACATTTTAGTGGGCTCCTTGCCACTGTAGAGGAACAAATAAAAATGCCAGAAATGATTAGTATTTGCTGTAATAAGTCCCTCAAAATAAATTTCTTTTCAATGACTAATGTCAAATTTTTCATTTTTATACAAATTTATTATAGTTTATTATAATAAACAAAACTTTTTAAGTGAGATTATACTCATTAATGCTGCAAGTGAGACAAGCAATGCTCATGTTTTTTTATAATTTTAACCGGAAATAAAGGGACCAATTTTTGGAAACGAAGACTTGGAGGATATGCTTGAGCTGCGTTGTGTATCATAATTATTTTCTTCAATTGTATCTTTCTCAGTATCTTTGGGTGTTCCTGTACTTCTGTGTCTAATGTGAGAAGCTGCACTACTTGTTGAGTAGTTAGATGGGGTTATACAAGCCTGGAAGTTGCTATTCTTGGGAAAGACTACTTGCGGCTCTCTCTTCATTAATATATCAGCAAAAACTTGGCTAGGAATGCTTGAGCCAGATGCTGAAGATGTTAGGCTTCTTGTGGGACTAACCTCCATGCTCTTGTCTGGAGAAAAACTTGGTGACTCGCAACAGTCAAGGAGCATGTGGTGTACTGCTTGGCTTTGAATGAGGGGTTTAGGTGTTATAATTCTGAGAAATTCCTTCTCTCCAAATGTTGGTGTTCTTGTGTCTTTACTCTCATACTTAAGATAAATTTGAGGAGAAAAGAACATGAATTTGGATTACATTTTTCAACTGACATCCTATGAAAAACTTAGATAAGATGTTAGGGTTGTTGGAAGTGAAAAAATTAACCATTGCAAAAATGTCTGTACATGTTTTGGTTCCTGTTTAGTTTGTTTTCAGCTCGTTTGGAATTTTCCAAAACTATCTCTGTCTCAATCTTTTGTGTCGTATACCATTCAATAAATTTCTGTCAACTTTCAGTGAAATTTCTTCAAAGATTTGAATTTTTATTATCCTTTGTGTCAGCTGACAGTGGGGGATACAAGATAAGGAGAAAAAATAAATCTGAAAGTAGCTTTAAAAATTTTTGCATCGAAGAAATAAATTAAGTGTTACATATTATCACTAGTCCTGGAAAATCTTTTTCAAATTTGTGTAACATAGCCACATTGTTTCCTTGCATTGGTAAAAGTTTATGCACCAAAAAATTCCAGAGATAAAATTTCATCGCGTTTGGTATCCCCTCACATTATTTCCTATTTGAAATCAACCCTCGTTCACGTATCTTTTTCACACGACTTACTTCTACTGAAAAACCGTTATACTTACAGACATATCAGTGCTATCTCGGTTCCACTGCTGTAAATGCTTGTTCCAAACACTTTTAATTCTCGTCTGAAAAGTAAGATGTTAAACACCAATTTATTGAGAGGGAATTGTGAGGGGGTAGCATATGACCGAAAACAAAGTTTTTGTGTTAAGTCTTACCCTTGATCTCTGACTGATGGCGCGACCTTTAGGTACAAGCCGAGGCGAATTTGTCGAACTGCGAACTTGGAGTTGAACTTTCTTCAATTTTCCTCTTGTACACTCTGTTTTGTTTGCATCTTTCACATTCTCCACATTAATCGGCTCTGAAGCGACATCTTCTTCACGCACCGGGGCAATCTGCTTAAATTCTAAGGTGCTTTTACCCTCAATAAATTTCCTTTCAGCAGTCAACTCAATGTTTGCGTTTGATTTCGCTTGAAGTTTACCTCGGTGTAGGGTCGAAGTATTGCAATTTGGAGTTACTTTTTCAGACGTACTTTGTTGTGGCCTTGTCGAACAAGGCTCAACTTTCAATATGTTGTTCTCGTAGGCACCCTTTTCCTTTGTGCTAAATCTGTAGTAAGTGGAGGAGAGTTTCGGAATGGTTATACAACTTGCTTCATTGATTTTCTTCAGTTGTTTGTTTAATGCAGGAATATTCATTTCCTTCAGCTGTGTCTGAATGTACTTCTCGATACTTTCGTCGGTAATCTGTTCTCGATAACTCTTCATGTAGAACCTGGTGTGACAGGAATGGCGAAATTGAAACTCAGTGTGGGCAGAAGACGAGGCTGAACGATTATTTCTATGAAGTCTTCCGCAAACTCCGCCATCCGTGTTTTTGGTCCAATCCAGCGAGTCACTTTTCGCTCGTGTATTTTTAACATTACTGTCCCGCTCAATGCAGTTGTTCTCTTCAACTAGATCCTCGTTCTTCTTTAAAGAACAGCGAGGTGACGTGAAAACCTGTGGACATTTCTGGAAAGCTGCAGCTTTATTTGTTCCTTGAACATCCAAGGCCAAGCTTTGAAACGGAGTGAGCTTATCAAGTTGATATCGGTCTTCGTGTTGCGTGGCCGATAAGCAAACCTGCCATGCTGAAAAAGGTGTCTTAGAGCTTGAAACGCGTGTATTGTTATCCTCCATAGGAAGCATTTTGTACATCAGATCGCATAAATCCTCTTTAGTTTCTTGCAAAAGTTCTTTCGTTTTTGTATCAACTGTCAAATCAGACATAAACCAACGTTCGCTAACGGCGCATAAGTCCTCTACTGTTTTTCCTTCGACAAGTCTCTTGAAAGGACAAGGAATTGTCACTGTTTCAAAATTCATTGTAAAAGGAAAGAGTTCTTTGCTAATTTGGTGGTTTTGAACGCTTCATTAGCGTTGAAGGAAAACACCTTGGTTAACTTTTTTTTGACGCAAAGGTTCTCACTTGCGCGCGCATGTGAGGAGGGGAGCGGCGGTGATTCCCTCTGATTTGTCTACGTGGACCAGAGTACATAGCGGGGGTGGGGGGCAATTTATCAGCCTGTTAGAGGTTAACACAGACCCCGACGATGGCGCTTCTTTCTGGCATAAACTTCTCCCTTTTCCGCGAGTCATACTGGCCACTTTGTACATTTGCACTGTACATGGTGAATGGCGCAAGAGCCAATAAGTGAATCTTGATATACGGTAAGAGTATTTTGTGAGTATGTTGATATGAAACAATCTACCGAAATCAGTGATTCTGCATCGAGATAACACTGATATAATAGTAAATGATCGCAATTTTTTCCTTAAATGGCTCTGGTAACCTTATCTAACTTACTACAGTTTTATTTCAGTGTGTTTAGTGGGCTTGTCTTTCTACAACTGTTGGATCTTTTTGTGCGACGATTTTAGAGAAACGTTGTTTCTTTATCGTTCAGTGAAGAGCAACGGTCATGCCCTCACTCGGTGTGCGCCTGTTCCCGTCTATAAATCCGAACTAATTTCTATTTTTTTATTTCTTTTTACCTCTTACCAAGTCTCTCTTACCTTAATGACTGGTTAAATATTTCTTATTTAAAACTGTCAAAAAAAAAACTGTCCTCAAGTTGATAGTTCTCTATGTTCTAAAACACTTGCGCTGCATATGTGTTTTAATGATCTTGTAAGGATAAGCAATCACTGACAGTTCCAATATCAGACAAGGGGAAGGGGGACTGGAGCCGATCTAGGAGGGCGGGAGGAAGGCCTTTCCTTCTTTTTCTCACCACCAAACTTAAACCGTCCCTTCAACCCCTTCGCTTAGAAAGCCTAATAATCAGGCTAGTCCTTTACATAGCGTGAGAATTTTTTCATCAAAATGAAAATAGAAAAGGTATTTGCAAACGGAACAAAATTTTAATCAAAGTGCAACTCAAGCAATTCTCTTTTAATGGTTGTAAACTAAGTTATAGAATGAAAAAAAAAATGAGTTCAAAGGCAACAGAAGGTTAATGAATTTATAAACAAATGAAAAATAAATATATAAATAAATAGTCCAAGTTAGTATGCTGACTACCCTCTGATGATTGGTTGGGCCAATTCAGCTAATCTGTCCGAACACTTTGCTTTTTGAGCAGCTTTAGAGACTTCAAAAGCGTCAGAGTTTGGCAAATTTGTTGCTATTTCTCTTTTGATTGGTAAAGCCAGGTCATCAATTCTTTTGGAAGGCCTGGCTTTCAGTGCAGCTTTCGACACTTGCCAAACTTCTATCTTGTCTGGCGTGAACCCTATGGGAACACCTTTAGCGTGAGACAGTTCGTGCACTCTTGCTGAGGCCCGCGACAGCAGCGCACTTTGCTTTATGGTCCACTCGCGTCCCTCGATAGGGGATCTTTTCTTCGGTTGACTTAGGTCCTCTGTTCGCGGTGATGCAGCAGCTTTTTGTGCCGCAGAAGACACTGTAGTTTGAACTGGTCTGCAAGGCTCGTACTCCGAGTGAAACTTTTTGGGTTGTGATAGTTGTTCAAGACGGCTATTCGCCGCGGCCCTCCGTGCAGCAGGGCTGACTTTCCAAACAGGCGAGGAGCGGCCGATTGTATAGTCACGGAAAACGTTATGTTGTTTCCTTTAAAAACAGAAAAGATGAAATCAGTAAGGCGTTATCCACCCTTCAAACATCTGGGGCCCAGGAGACAGGGGCAAGGACCGTGAAGGGGACGCCTTGACAACTGAGAGCCCAAGGGTGGGACGATAACAGTAAATATCTGTACGAAAAGCAAGCAGGGGCCGATCGACTGAGAGTTTCAAATACCACTCGTGTCTTACTACCATTGGTACTCTTCCCTTTGTTTTGGAATTGCCATTATTTAATCCGACCATTTGTCCAGAAATAGTTACTTGCTTAAACCAAATTGTGACATAATAAGAGTTTTTAGAGATTTTACTAAAGAACCTGCAAAACAAAATTAGAATGACAATAACCGACAACAACTTCAATGGAGGACTTATGCAAATAATAAACCGACTGGGTCACGCTTCGAAACGCACACGTGTATTTTGTCTTTTAGGAAGCGAAAACATAGCGACTCATGTCTATATATATATTTTTTTTGAAGGAGAGCTGTGTAGAAACGGACCGATTTGTATTTGTGGTTAATAATCCCAAACAACAACAGTTAAAGGCTGAATTAGGACTGTTTGAGAAGGAGAGTTTCGATAAATTTAGTCAATCTAGATCAACAGGAAGAATCTTAAGGCTAAGATTTCATGACTTTGTTTTCGGAAAGAGCACATACTGAAACTTGTTCTGGGAACTTAGGAGAGTTGTGACATTTTCTTGATATGGCAATTATTGCATTAAGCTTTAATTAAAGTGCCTAAGGCAGACGTCCTAATAAGGGGCAGTTTGGTTTTTGTCACAGGTCAAAGGAGACTGGAAACCCTTTTCTATAAAGTAATTTTTTATGTGACACCAGCGAAGTTGCTTTTTTTTGGAGGGGGCGAATTTTAAATCTAAAAAACATTACATTTTTATAATCTTTTGTCTGAAATATTATTTGCTGCCGTAATGAAGGTATCCTAGATATGTTTGCTCGGCACTTCCTTGAGGACATTTCTTTGTTTATATTTAGGTGGACGTTTGCTTTTGAATTGTTTTCTGAATAAACAGACAGTTAATTGAATTGACCCTCTATGAACCTGTAAGAATGCAAAAACAAACCACAGAAAGAAAGTTGATCACTCATAAACATTTCGAATATTTTGCTAATAAAACTCAAAAGCTAAAGGGCTTACAAAAATGCGATCTCACGAATATGGTACAGAGCTTCCGTCCTCGATCTGATCGCCCTCAAAAGATCATGGATTCGTGATAGGCCTGATGGTGGAACATCTAAAGATATCCAATCTTATAGTACTACTGAGAAGCAAATATTTGGTGCAATCAATCAGAGTATGGCTTCTTTCATAAAACTGACGCTGACCAAACCTCCGTGAACATCACATCGTTCTTTATCAACTTACTTGTACGCTGGCGTCTTAACTTCATCAAAAACACTTCTGCGCGAGACCCCGAGATTCGGTATAAATGGAACAGTTTGATCACTGGTCTTGATGTCGTAGTAATATCCATAGCGTGGGTGAGAGGTTACAATAATTTTGCTGTCCATTTTCGCTAAAGGCACCTGGCGTTGTTGATCGCGCGTGAAAAATGAATTTGACACAAAAAGGTCACAGAGGTTACCATGGAGACGTTTTCTGATAGACTGCTGTGGCGAAATGGTTGTTGGGAAACGTAAGAAGTTGCCAGAGTGTCTTAAAATTCTTATACATCTCTATATTTATATCTCAGCACACTTATATTTTTGTTCATATATTTACTGTACCGTTCTGAAAAGAGAAAAACTTGCAAGTTTCTTGTACACTTGACTCGCAAAGGATGTAAACAATGATGTATGAACGTGAAATAATGGTAGCTCTTACGGGCAATTTCTATGAAAGTGATGTATCTTTTAGAGATCAAAGGAAAAAATTGACTTATGCCCAGATTCGTCTCCTTTAGGAATGAAAGTGGAATGGGAAAAAAATCGGGCGAGCATCTTCTTCACTTGTTTATCACCGGAGATGCTGACAAAGAGTGGTTATTGTTAAGAATCCAAAAAAGGGAAGCTTCAATTTTAGATCAGACTTCCTTTCTGTAAGAGCGAAATCAAGAATACGATACTGAAAAAAAACAAAACAACTAAAGTTAGGCAAGAGCCCCTTCCTGAGTAAGGAAAAAAGGTGCATACGAGAGGGAAGACGTATAATTTGTTCTTTCACCCTCGAGTTAGAAAAAAAAATTGAATTTAAAGGCTACGAAAAAGGCTAAAAAGAAAATAGGACCAATGATGAAGACCAAACGGAGATGTTTCCAGTATGAATGTGTACCTGACGTATCTTTATACAGTGTCTTTTACAGGTCTAACCAACCAAAATGAATAAAACTCAAACTGGTGACAAAGAACAAACGAGAGAAATATTTCAGGGCTCAAAGTTCCATAATTTCGTAAATTAAGCAGTGGTTTCTATTATACCTTGCCCATGAATTCCAGTTTGCTTAGAATTATAATTTGATTAGACGCAGCAGTGAGAATTTTTTATTATTCATGTGAAGTCCAGGGAAGAGCTGGGATAGCCTCGTCTTTGTCACCGGAAAGGTTGTACGCTCGGTTGGGAGCGTGGGACGAGAGCGATTACTCAGCGAAACAACATGGCGGCCCTCGAAGACAAAGCGATATGGGAAGATGGCGAGGTATTTTTCACGTTCATGGCTGTTTCGAAGAGTTTTTTATTCACCTTGATCGTCTTGAAAACATTTAACGACTTGTTTGAAATATGTTTTGTTATTTTATAAGGAAATCGACGAGGAAGTTCTTCGAATGCAGACCGACGAAATTGTTGGACGGGCTCGACTGTTAGATAATGAAATTAAGGTAAAATTTTTCATGTCGACTTTAGTTACTTTATGGAGTTATGATATCTTACCAAAACTTTCCACAATTTCTAAGACTTAGTGTGACTATAACAATGTCTTTACATTGTAATGTTGGGTAGTAAAGTCGAATTTTGTGATACGTCTGTCAAAAAAATTAAGCTTGTATTAGGAAATTATTCAGTTAGTCATGTGCTTCACTGTATTATTTTTTCTTTTACAGATAATGAAAAGTGAAATTATGAGAATTAACCACGAACAGCAAGCAATGAAAGAGAAAATAAAGGTAACGTCCATTTCTGCGCTGCTGGAATTAAAATTTAGGATTTATTTGACATTTTACGTACGCAGTGGCATCATCATACAGACGAAAGTTAACAATGCTATTTTATTCACTTAGGAGAATTCAGAGAAAATCAAAGTGAACAAAACGCTGCCATACCTTGTGTCTAATGTAATCGAGGTATGAAGTTTTCTTTATCATTTGTTATAAATCCATTAGACCAATTTCTAGGAGATAACACCAATTTTTCAGGTTTGCATGACATTATTTCTTGGTTTATACTACTGAGTCTACATGTACTTTGTCCAAGAACCCAAGATACTGTATTTCTCACTCCAAGTTAAACAACCTCTGCACCATTATAAGAACAAGTTATGGCAAAGAAAGATGTTTTTCATCTGCATGGGACAAAGACAAAATTCTAAGTCATCACAAGGAATCAAACCTCAGGCCTTTGGATTAAGTTGATAATATTACATAATTTGGTGAAATCTAAAAACTCATAGTAATTTCTTTAATTCCTTCAACAGCTCCTTGACGTAGATCCTCAAGACAATGTAAGTTTTATTTTTGACTCTATTTATTTTCTAGAAATACAATTTAGTATTAATTCATATGAAAAAGTTTAAAAGCTAGATTTCAGAATCTAATCATTTCACTCCAGTTGAATGTTCATTCAGAAATAATTCTGCTTCATGTAGGTATACTAGCTTTATAGAGGTACTTCATTCTTTAATTTTCATGTCATGTTATCCTTGTTTTCTGATAGTTTTTTTTTTCATTTGCTATCACTACATGCAAATAATATATTGATTTGTCTGTAGGCTGAGGAAGATGGTGCCAATGTTGATTTGGATTCACAGCGAAAAGGCAAATGCGCAGTCATTAAAACTTCAACAAGACAGGTAAATTGTAATATCTTGTCCTAAGAAACCCAAATGGTAAGGTACATTGACAGAACACACCTAAGTAAGATCTGTAATATTTAAGATAAGTTTTACTGCAAAATGACCTGGTTTCCTGGTGAAACATAAACATTCATTCCCCTGTCTTATGCAATATACAAAGTACTGTGTATGATATTAAAAACAATTGAAAGTTCTTAACAGCAGTTTTCAAACTTTAAACATTCAAACTTGGAGTTTTACTTTTATAAACTTGGTTTTTCTCATTCTTGCAGACATACTTTTTACCTGTGATTGGTTTGGTGGAACCTGAGAATTTAACACCAGGGGATCTAGTGGTAAGGAGAGTGTGTAAATCTGTCAACTTAATTGCTTCCTTCAGTTTCTCACCAGACAGTGGAGAAGTTTAAGTTTATGTCATGTACTTGTAGGAGTGGCTTTTATTTTGTTCTTCTACACTCCATAATTTGCTGATTTTCTGTTTGTTTGTTTGTTTTTTTTTCATTCTAGGGTGTCAATAAGGATTCATACCTCATACTTGAAAAATTACCACCAGAGTAAGTGATTCTTGACTAGTAAAGGCTTCCTATTTTAAGTCTGCTCAGCTTGGCTGGCATGGATTTCAGGATGTTACCTAACCAATTTTTTCTTGGAAGAAATTATGTTTAATTTATCTCAGATTAAGGATAAACTCAGGAACTAATGTGAACTCTTCAAATAAACTCTTTCAAATTTACTTTTTTCTGGAATGATTCTAAGTTACAGATTTTTCTTTTTTCCTTGACATGCAAGCAGGCAGAATTTAACCAATCAATGATCTTATTAGTTCTTGCATGGACTAGGATTTTCTCTTCCAGTTCACCAACCTGTTTGGAATTGTTGTTTTGATAAGGGTTTTTTGTGGCAAATAGTGTATCCTATTATTTATTCTGCATGTTTAATCATTAGCGGTACACCAGGGATCATAGAACATTTTCACGCTCTTAGAATAGGGTAGCTTTGATGTAATGTTATTTCAAAATATTCCTCACTGGCTATTTGCCATCTTATGTTGAGAAATCTAGTGATAGGTATTGTTTTCTTGATAAAAATTTATGAATTGGGCTCTGTGTTGATTTCCAGATACGACTCTCGAGTGAAAGCCATGGAGGTTGATGAGAGGCCCACAGAACAATACAGTGACATTGGAGGCCTGGATCAGCAAATTCAGGAGGTAAATACATTTGTTAACCCTTTCACTATCAAGATCTCAGTAGTATTTCTCCTTACTGTCTGCCATACAACTCTTATGATGTTAGCTCAGAGAATTTGGTATTGAATCAACAGATAACCCACTGATATTTGTGATATTTTTCTCTATTCTCATCACTAGTTTGTTTGATATTTTAAGGAGAAATTCTGCGGTGTTCACTCATGGGAATGAATGGGTTAAGCAAATAACCAAACAGACAACAGAGAGTTTTTGTGAAAATTCTTCATTTCAGTTAATAATGTCTAAGTTGTTTTTCTTCATTCTTTGTAATTTGAAAAATTTAATGATCTTTCTTGAATAGTTCAAATTTATGACCATCTCAACAATGCATTGATACACATTATGACCAATACTGTGTGTGAACTCTTCTCTTTTATCTCAGAAAAAAATTAATTTAGTGACATTCTTTTACAGCTGGTAGAGGCCATTGTGCTGCCAATGACACATAAGGAGAGATTTGAAAACCTTGGAATTGCACCTCCAAAAGGTAGATATTCTTGTTATTGTTTTAAAGAATTTGTCTGTTTTTGGTCCAGTTTGTAAATGAATTATTATTCTACTACTTGTTTTTGTTTGGGTTAAATTGAAGAACAGTTCTTCAAAGCAAACTGTTGCCTGTTAGTTGGTCATCTGTTGGCCAAAAGATGCTTACTAAAGCATGGACTAACAAATGGCCATCAGTTGCTGATTTGACATTAATGTAATGCTGCTTATTGTCATTAGGTTATTTTCTCAGACAGATTCTTTGCTCTCACACTTTCTCTCTGCCCAGAAGTATAAATGGGCACCAGTTGAGTATCGGCTAAACCTGATGACGTACTGGGAGGCTCCCTGCAACAGTATCTCATGTTGAGGAGTAACAATATTCATAGTCACATTAGACCCTGGGATCAGTTTTACCCATTGTGTTCTACAAACTTTTGAAGACTTGACAGAACTTAACTCAACTTTTCAAGTTTGTGAACTGGAGAACCTCTCTTGACTGGGTGCAACTATTTATTTTAACTGTATACACACTTCTACTTGTAGGTGTACTATTGTATGGTCCACCAGGGACTGGCAAAACATTAATGGCTAGAGCTTGTGCTGCTCAGACAAAGGTGAGAAACTGTTCTGTCTGCCTTTTAGTTTTCTTGAAGCAGAGAGACTTATTTCCTCTCACTGACATTTTGTTTTGAAATTTTTCTTTGTACAGTCAACCTTTCTGAAGTTGGCTGGTCCTCAACTTGTTCAGGTAATTGCATGTTTTTTTTAATCATTCTTTCTTGTGACCCATATTGCTCCAGTTCATTTTCCCAGCTGATCAGTGTATTTTTTTTTTTAACACCTACAACAAATGTTTTTTGTTTTTAAAATTTCTTTAGATGTTTATTGGTGACGGGGCTAAGCTAGTGAGAGATGCATTTGCTCTTGCAAAGGAGAAAGCACCAGCTATTATATTTATTGATGAGCTGGATGCTATTGGAACAAAGGTAAATAATTATTGTGGAGTTACATATTTTGTGTGTGATCAAAATCACCAGAGATATAGTTGCATAGTTGATGTTTCTAAAAAAATGCTACTTTGTGCTCTTCATTACTGATTTGGGAGTTCAGATGACTTTGAATGTTTGAATTTTTGTCAAAAGGGAGGAGGGTAAAGGTTTTTATATCAGGATGTAGATTAATCTGCCTTGAGTTGAGCCGTGCAAACAAAATACTCCACTGTATGTCCAGATTTCTCTGGGATGCTAATACCAGTTGCAGGCAGATCTTTGTTTCATTATCAGTGACAGTGGCAATGGTTGTATATAATTTTCAAATCATATAAATACTATAATTGTATTCCATGCGATTTTTACAAGGACAGCCTTTCAGCTATGGTTTTGTTTGTCTACATTACACATTGGATCACAATGTGTTGCTCAATCCAGGCATTGAAATAAGTCACAGCAAATTTCTTGAAGTCATGAATCTTAGTGGGTATACTAAGTTTAAGCATTATCTTTAACTTACATTTGGATCAGTCTTATGATAATTATTATTAGTATAGTAAGAGTAGAATAAATGTTGCTTTCTTGTTCCTCTTTTCAACAGAGGTTTGATAGTGAAAAAGCTGGTGACAGAGAGGTAAGTTGATCAAGTCATGAAATTCTACCAAACACCTACATATACAGATGAAGTTTTTTATCTGTAATTGAACTTAATGCTGCTAGCTGGGTGATGGCTTTACTGGGTAAGTGGCTCCAGGCAAGGATGTGTAATGGGTTCTCAAAACTCCCTGCAGTTTCAACATGATTGGTACATTCAGCATGGTCCTCATAATTGCCATTTGTATTTTAGGTGCAAAGGACAATGTTGGAGTTACTTAATCAGTTAGATGGCTTTAGCTCACATCATGATATCAAGGTAAACTGCAAGATCTCATTAATAATTCTCCTTACTGTCTGTCATACAAATCTTATGATTTTAGTTCAGAGAATTTAGTATTGGATCAACCAATAATCCCTTAATTTAATGGATATTTTTCTCTATTCTCAAAACTTGTCTGTGTGAAACTGTAGGAGAAATTCTGTCTTAGTCACTCATGGGAGTTAAAGGTTAAGCTCTGTAGTTGGAAGATGTTCTTTTGATAGAAATGTTTTTTCCAAGTAAGGTTTATGGATCAATATCAGTATCTGGGCAACTGCCCACCTACCCCTCTCCTAACTCAACAACAGTCAATTGACAGCAAGTTAAGGTTAATGTTGGGTTAGGGGAGGGGCAGGTGGGCAGTTACCTAGATACTGATGTTGATCCAGGTTTACTTGGTTATATGCAAGCTCTAAGAGCTGAAGAAAGAATGAAAATTGGGAGGAGACAAATGATTTTTTTCTCGAGCTATTATTTTGTTTTTACTTTGCTAAAAAAAAAGGTGGAAATGTCTTGTTCATTCCTTTGATATACAATATCTTTGCGATTTGTACATGTTTACTTTTGTTTCCCTGTTTTTTCTTAATTTACTCTTATTCATAATTTCAGGTCGTAGCTGCTACGAATCGTGTGGATATTCTGGATCCAGCTTTATTAAGATCAGGTCTGAGTTGTATCTTTGCTTGGAATTAATTTATAGTTTCTTTTATTTGGGGTAAATGTTTTGATTTTGTTTCAGATTTTATATACTGGTAACAAAGAAAACCATCAAGGGTGCAGGGTGAATGCGTGAACAAGTGTTTGCTTATTTTAACTTAATCTTTCGTTTCCAGGCCGTTTGGACAGGAAAATTGAACTGCCAAATCCAGATCAGGAGGCCAGGGCAAGAATCATGCAGATCCACTCAAGGAAAATGAACGTCAGGTGAGAACATGGCCATTGGACCGCCTTACCTGTTCATTGAATTGAGCAGGGTATTACATTGACTGTTTTTCGCGTCATGGTACTCCCCTGAAGAAATGTGCTTCTCGTTCCTTTTAGCGATGAATCTGTGGATTGAACCACTTAAACTATGTTTCTTTAGAAATTCTTTCTTTCAAGTGCTAAAGTGAATTTGGACCGCTTCCAGGTTTCGACGTTTCCCGATGAGCACGCGGTCATTTTGTAGGGAAAAATTCCCTGGGTTTAGCGAGGGTATCCTGTCTCTTGTTGGGCGTGGCTCAAGATCCACTGTTTTAGCCAGTCTAGAGGTGAAATGCAAAATAAAAGCTGCCCCTATAGTTATGCTTCCTCTCTATAAACGGCGGCTTTTTCGAGCACGTCATTCCTTTCTAGTCGTGTCACTCGAGCCAATAACTAATACACTGTCAAAAAGTACAAAGTGATGATAAGGAACGCTTTATTTCTTTCCCTCTCGCACATAAAATGTCCAAATGCCCGGGAAGTTTGGCGCTTATCCGTTTGTAATCGTTTCGATGTTTTTTGTTTTTGTTTTTTTTTTATTAACATGTCTACTTGTTCAATTTTTCGCAGTCCTGATGTGAACTTCGATGAGTTAGCGCGGTGTACTGACGATTACAATGGAGCCATGTTGAAAGCTGTGTGTGTCGAGGCAGTACGTTGAACTTTCTAGCAAACCCTTTGCTCTAATTTATTTTTGTAATTCCGTTTTGCGATTTAAGATTGTACACAAGAATATTTCAGCCTGAGGTGGGCAGAAAAGTTCGAATATGTAGCCCTACATTCTTATCAAAACAAAATGACTAAAAATGCAGTCTTCGGCGACGAGTTGTTTCAGTGTTCCGAAGGCCTTTTATCAGACTGCTCAGTTCCATCACTTGTTCTGCTGTCGTTTTGATTGTATGTTCCGCTGATGTATTCAACCTGTTCCAAAGTTTTTTTGATCACTTGTTTTGCTGTCTCTGTAATGTTAACAATATTAATAATCTTGTTATTAATATTATACCTCTTCAACTTTGGTGTGAGGTTTGATCACTTTTAATTCAGCACTTCTGATCGCTTGTTCTTTTTCAGGGTATGATCGCTCTGCGTCGTGAAGCCACCGAGGTAATCCATGAAGATTACATGGACGGAATTATGGAAGTGAATGCTAAGAAAAAAGCCAACTTGATGTATTACGCTTGAAGAAAGATTTCTCTTGTAAATAAGCAAAAGAAAAAACTTTAGATGCTTTCGTTCTTTTTCATTGTATTAATCAATAGTCTGAAACTACAGTTTAACTACCAGTTTTTTTGTTCAGCGTTGTTAGCCACTCCTGTCTTATTGTGTTGCGTGACATGAACTGCGCCCGCAAAGAAGCATGGACATTGAAAGACCGGAACTTGTTGTGGCGAGACACTTTCGCAATAATTCGTGCCAAAAAACCGCAAGACTTATTAAATAAAATTTAGAAAAATAAACGGTCGTTAATCTGCGGAAAGGATCCCTATCGAAAAGCTTATTTGACGTCAAGCTTTCCCCAGTCGGCTGGTACTGAAAGTCTCACAAGTTGCAACATTTTTTGTTTTTTTGGTCCTATTTATTTCCCGTGGCGGATATTAGGCAACGATTCTCCTTGGGGTTTATCCCTGCAAGTTAATGACTTCCTGTGAAATATCCCAATTTTTGTCACCTTGCACATTATAGCGCACGGCCGTAAAAAGTCTACGAGTGAGCGATGCTAACGTTTTCCAAATTAGATATAAATAGCGTCTTTCGGAGGCTGTCAAAAAACTGTAAACAGTAAAGAGCTCTATGCGTGGCAACATTGCCAGAACCCAGTTGAAGGGACACAAATTCCGTACACGACGATTAGGACCTTAAAAGTAGACTACAATTGGGGTAATCGTAATTGAAGTTTTGATCGTTTTCTATTTTTACGGTTAGGCTTCACTATCTTCAACTGCTTTCGTCGCGGGTTAACAGTTGGGTTAATTTGTCACTTATCATGCACAGGTTAACTACGATATCGTTCATTCACGCTTACGGATACTTTCTATCTTATCATGAGATCTATGTCTATTACGCAACTTCACGCTTATATGCCTATCGATGACTTAAAGCTGTCCACGTTACAGCTTATCGATCTTGTAATAACTAGCGTAAATTACTTATGATCCCCATTCAATATTCGTATTTAGTTTCCACGTGCTTATCCTCTTTTACTTCTCTTTGTTTTTCGTTCCTATATAATCCTTTAGCCCTGGTGGGCTATTCCTTAATAATAATGTAGTTTTATCAACTGAGTTAATAGTGTAAATTGGCCACTGTAAAGATTTTCAGCTTTGAAACTCTACGCTGGCCGACAAACATTAATAACTCAATTGATAAAATCAAATTATCTTGCTATACTCCCCAACCGACGCAGCACCACAGTTTCTTTACCCTCTTTATTCCATAAAAAGATTTCTTTCACTAGAAGACAATTTTCAACGCGCTTCGTGAAATGGAGATTGAGGCATAGCTTGGATGTGGTTTGGATCGACAATTGTTTGACTTGCGATGTACGCGGCCGGCCAAAACGTCCGCGCACGACATTGTCTCCGCAAATAAGAGAAAAGCCATGGAAATCATTTTCTAAGCGGAAATCAAGACAGAGAGCTTCAGTTATAGACTGACCAAAACATTGAAAATATTAAAACTTTTCTTATTGGGTTATAGTTGATAACTTGAACGTAGCAGTAACAATATAATATGCTGACATGTTCGTTTGAGCGAGAATATGTTCTGAACTAATGATTATAATGAACGACGATAACGATTCAATATCTGCATTAGAGCAACTGCTCACCAACCCCTCCCCTAGCCCAACGTTGGTGCGAAAAAGTAGTTGCTCAGATCCTGAAATTGTGATAATAATGGTATCAATAATAATAATGAGGAGAATAATAATTATAATAAGGGCAATGATGATAATAATAATAAAAAAGAATCGTGATGATAATGAGATAAAGACGACGAAGAAGATCACAAACCCCAAGAAGTTTTGCCGAAGACCGTAATATTTGAAAAAAAGGTCTTCTCCAGGGTCGACTGATCACGGAGGCAAAGGCATCCATGGCTTGCACCTTTGTGAAAATGAAGACCCACTTGGGTGGTGGAGCTCTCATACCGACTGAACTAAATGAAGATGATTAGGTTTTATCAACGGAGCTGATAATGCAAAATTGGCCACCGTAAAGAGTTTGCAAGGTTATTTACATTATCACCTCAGTTCATAAAACCAAATTATCTTGTTTTGCCCGCATCGACGCAGCACCACAGTTTCTTTAGAAACTTACCCCGTTGAACTAAACGAAACCGAGCCAACTGGTTTTAGTGTATGTTCGTTTAATACTCAATTGACTCGGTTGATGACTTCTGCACAGGTTATTGTCACTTCACCAAAGAATACTACTGCAAGCAAAATCCCACGAAACAGTTGTCTTTAGTAGGCAAAACTCTCGACAAGATGGTGGTTACGAGATAAACCAAACTCGAAAAGGTCATTTGCGCTCCCTAGGACGGATTTTTTTTTTTCGAAATTCTCCAGTGTTTTGCTTAAAAAGATAACGAACAACCGGCTAGCAACTCTTACGACGACATTGAAGAGCTAATCTTCCATTTTTGTGCGCCAATTTTGCGCTCGTTCATCGGAATAACTAACGAAATAAAAAGGGAATGTTTAGTCCACGCAACATGAGTTACTTTCCCCAAGTTTTTACCTTCAATTTGTGTTTAAAAAAAAGCTCATTATACACATACTAAGCATGCAATTACTTCTGATTTTACCTTCAAACCATGGGTTTACAAAAATTCCCGTAACAGTTGGGACTTTTATGCGACTACATGGAAACCAACAGTGTTTCCACGGGGCTGATTAGAGGACAAAAAACATGATATAGAACTTCAACAAGATCATTTTATCGATAATATTAATCTGATTTTGATGTGATGAGCGATCCAGACTCAGCTTTTTTCGTGTGTGTCAACAAGGGTATTTTTTCGATCGTCCCAAAAAGTCTTCCGTCCCTCCCCCCCCCCCCCCCTCACGGCAATAAATAATGACCAATGTCTGAATATTTTTTTCTGTGACTTTTTTCTCTCAAGGACGGTACTCCATAGGAGAAGATGTTAGCGTACTACGAGGATTAAAGTTTTAAAGACTCAAGTAATAACGGGGAACCTACCATGGGCCAGTTTATTTTTCACAGGAAGTCTAGCACAAGAAATCCATAACGATAATAAAAATACCGCATAGGGAATTTAGTCAATTAATCATTACAATTTAGGACATCTTCGGAAATTCGAAGAAAGTGAGTTCACCTTTAAGAGATGAATTGTTAAGCATGTTAAAAGCTTAATGTAAGTTTCAAAATAATGTCATGTTTGTTGCATATGGCCACAAACTGTGTTCAACTTTCAGTTCTTGCAAGAGTCTTGCTGCGCCGGACGAAGATCAGAGGAAACTAACTTACATTGAAGTTTCCGTATTTTTGTCGGAAAGAATTCAAAAGCGCAGCATTCTGTGATAAGCAGATTGATTGATCTGTATGCCGAGAATCTGCCACAGATGTTGACGGCACAAGTTTGCACCAGTGATTACTCAGTGATGCGGACAATTCATGCAGCTCAGCCAACAGTTCCTCCTTTTCTTCTAATTTCTTCCTCCTTGTTTCCTCAAGTTTATTTGTTTTCTAGAAACGAAGAAGAAAAACATTAATACCAAATAACTTTTTATCACTCAATGATAATCAGACCTCTTTGATTTGATTTGATACAAAAAGCTGGGAACAAAACTAAAGATAATCATTGACGAAAAATATCTCAACTCTAACAAAAAAATCATGCTGCACGGATTTCTGATGTAATATAATTTCTCTGAAAATCTAAACAAAACACTTCACTTACTCTGGTAGTTTACAGTAAGAAAACAACGATAGAGCGTGATTATAGCTATTAAAAATCGATTTATAACCTTGCAGTCGAAACGCTTTAGTGATTAGGTAATATTAGCGCACTTTTAAAGAGAATTAGATGACCCGTCGTACAGTTTTGTTGTGCGAGAAAAAGTGTTAAGTTTTTCAAATCAAATAACGAGTGAGGATTTTAATAAACAGCAGCTCACAACTACCAAGTGCTCACAGGATTTTTTTTTAAAATTAAATTTGTTCCTAGTTTCGAATAACTCCACAAACTGTTGTTGTGTTCTAAGTGGATAAACAAGAAATAGGAAATAAATTCAAGTTCAAGCCGGATGGTTTTAAAACGTGCGTTTCTCTTCTCAGGCCGTTCCTTTATACCAATTTTTTTTTCCCAATCGATCGCTACATTGAAAAAATTGCAAGTCCCTTTTACAGCTAAGATGAAGAAATTCTTTTCTTAAAATAAATCCAGCAGAATGAAAAGATCCAAAGGATATCAAATGAATATTCAATTATTAAACTTTCTTTGAAAATACCCTAACGTCTGTTGAGGCAATAACAAGGGGTTTTTACCTTTTCCAATATTTCGATGCGTTCTCTCTTTCTCTTTCGGCACTTCGTCGCTGCGATCTTATTTCTCTCCCTTCGCTTCTTGATAACCTCTGGATCTTCTTCTTTCATTCTCTGAAATACGAAACGCAGAAGTCACAAGTTAAGAGTGTGTATGAAAATGGTTCTGAGAAATGTCGAGTGAAAAATTGCTAATAATCACATTGTAAAATTTATCACCGGAAACTATTCATGAGCCCCTGTTAAGTTCTGCCAATCCGGCGCGCAATCGCTTAAAAACAACGTTTTTCCAACAAGGGAAAATAATGAGCTGCTTGAAAAATTTTTACTCCCTTAAAACTGAAAACGAAATAGATGAAAGGAAGATACCTTAAATACATATTCAAAACTGAAATTAAGTCTTGTCATACTTCTTTCACGAGCAGTTTCTCTATACCTCAAAATGAACCACAGACCATTTCAGTTTCCGAGATATTTCATTTTCGTAAAAAACGTCAGGGTCACCGGGAGGAAAACTGTTTTTACTATTAAGAAGAAAACTATAGTACATGTAGTTTGTATAATAAACATATCTCCATCGATATCTAAACGGTTTAAGAGAGGGGGACTTGAGTTTACACAGCGACAGCATTTATTTGAATTGAAAATAAAGTAAGCTTTTAACTGGTTATATTCAGAATGACTGATTTAAATTGTTCATACGTCGCGCCTTCTTTGACAGATTTCTGAGATCCTCGTGGAATAGAATATATGTTGTCATCGCTCGTTTGTCTTGGTACAAACACAAAACGTTGCTCATTGTAAAAAAAAAAGCTGTCTTTCGGTTTTCCCCAACAATAATTTATAATTTAGTAGTTGTTACAGCACATACCGGTGGTGCTGGCTGTCTTTTCTTCTCTTCTATTTTCGGTAACGTTGTACCATTTTCCAAATGCTTTTGGGTGATTTTTCTTTTGAGACCTTCTTTGATCATAGCACAAGGACTTTCAAAAGCATCCATTTCTTGCCTTCTTTCTATCATACCAGTGTAGAACGACGACTAAAGAAGGGAAAAAAAGATACATTTGAAGAACAATTTAAAGACGGAAAAATGTCAATGCCAGCGAACGGTAAAGTTAGTGGACCGTATGCCAAAGGCGTCAAATACGCAATGATCCGATAACAGGAGCCAGGCGTATCCTTTAAAATTCATTCTTTTCCTAAAAATTATAGGCAGGACAATTCTAAGAAATTGCCACCTCTTGACAACAATTGTCCGCCCACACAAGCTGAGTTGAGCTTATGAGGGTTTAATTATTTTTACAGGTGAATACGTATCTAAATCGTCCGTATCAAAATTTTCCTGTACTACAATCACGATGGGCTGTGAGGACAAGGTTACATTGCGAGCTAGCGAGCTAATTAATTTACGCACCACAATCGATTCGGAAATTACTGAATTCCCAATATGAAACGTTCTCTAAAATTATTTCATCAAAGATTGAACTTATAATACCGTACTATTTTCTTCTAATTGTCTACTATTGCGAGAGAGACAGTCTCGGGAAAGTTTCTTCCACCCAGTGTCTACAGAATGGTCTTCGTGACGATAGACTCTGAACTTTTAAGGAAACGTTTATGTTGTACTTACTTCTTTGCCAGGGCCGTGATTAAGGCTAGATGAGAGGAGGGGATTAAAAGTTGGTTGTTGAAGTCTTCCGTCACAAGCAGAAAACATTGCTGCATTTAAATTTTGCCAAATGTTTTCGTTTTGCATCGCGAGTAGGTTGGCGTTTCTTACGAAAAATATACATGTGATCCCGGGACAGACTTTTTTATAGATCTTTGAACAAGGGAAACTCCCACAAAATTGACAATAACAAATCTATTTTAAGCACGAAGATATGGGAATATATGTAAATCTGTTTGGTTCTGTTTTCTTTTGTTTTCGCTATTCTCTGAAAGCCCAACGATTCCTGGAAAGAGCCGCATTGATAATGAGTACTTCCGGTAAGTCACGCAATCTCCCAGCAAAGCCAAAAAGTCCTCAAACGTTCGAAAAAGCAACTAAAATCTTACTGAGTGAGGGTGGACAATTGCATGTCTTTGCGAAATACAAAATAAACCCAAATTACGAGTGGAAGCGTATTTGATCACATCAAATTAAGACTCTTAATGAAAATAATGGAATGTCAAAGCACAACGTCAGATTTCTCACCTTTGGTGAAACGAATCCGGAATCGAAGTCAAATTGTGGTATCAACAACTGCAGAAATTCACAAGACCTCAAATACTGCGCTCAGAATTTGACTGCGTAGTAGAGCAAGCTTTAACAGGACTCCACAGTGGACTTTAGCCTAAACGGAATAAAGTGTGGGATATAATACTGATCCAGGCACGAGACCAAACCGGAACAATAAACCGACATTCATAAGACTGTCACGAGGAGAAACCAAATTCATTGATAGTACGGTTTTGTTTTCAGGGCGTTCCTGGAAACCTTCTTTGTTATTTTTCTTAGACTAAGATATGTATTGTTTAATTTTTGGGCTTGCCCACTGAGAATTCGGTAATATGTACGCAATTATAACTCGCCTAAAGAAATGGTTTCGGAGAAGTAACACTCTACATCTTTCTTAGAAAACGTACCTGTGAAAGCAAACAATTCGACGTATGTTTTTCGCAGCTTTGCTACACTGACTGATTTATAAGAGTTCGGATTAAGTATAATTCTTGCTCGCGGATGAACATTATCCACAGGTACAATATTGCATAAATGTAACTGCAGTAATTCTCGAAGTACAGTTGTAAATGTTCAGTTTCCAGTGAGACTAACTGACCTTACCGACCCTACTGAATACTAGTAAGCGATCTAATCGGTTTAAATGTCATTCCTTTTAACACAGAAAGGTTTGCACCTTTTAAAGTTTTACCAGAGGGTAGGCTGTATACATCTATTTTAACACAGAGAACAAATTTCAAGCTCGTTTAGCACACCCAGATTAAGAGTTGCGCGCTAAGGCCATGGCGATCGAGTTTCTTATTTAATGAAAGTCACTGCTATTGTTGCATGCTTGATTTAAAGAATATGAATTACCCTCCTTGAAAAAGCAGAAGGAGAGTGCTAAACTTAGAGATAGGGAGAGCTGTAGCCGAAGCTTCGATGGCAACGTCTGTTTACGAAAAAAACTCTTTAGCCTCCGTTAAGTCACGGGAGACACTTCGTCTCGTTAGGTGAATTTCAAGTCGGGCTGCTTTGCACATACACACATGAAGAAACAGGTAATTATTTGCTTCAGAACAAACCATTTATTACCCTTAAATCAAGGCTAGTTAAATTTCAAACACGGATCGAGCCAATTCTGATTTATTTCGTTCTTAAGCGTCAAGTTAATTTATGTTTGCTGATTTCAGAGAAATGCACGTCACGACTCAAGCCTTAAATTCTACGAAACTGGGCGTAACAGGACAAACATATCTATTTTTGCGTCAAACATTGTGAAACGCTCCCATTGAACACTCGAAATACCTTAAATAAGAGGGAAAAACGAATTAATTGAGAATTCCTTCATCATCGCTCAACAGTATAAAGCAAGAAACAGACAAAAACTGAAGGAATATGTTTAAACGGTTGTCGTAATTAGATGCGTAATTCTGGTTGCGAGAGTTCAGGAAAACGCGACTTAATTAACAATTTCTTGTTTCCTCTGCACGATTTGCAAAGAGAATTTTTAAAGTAATGCTGTTATTTTCATTTTAGGACACAGATTCAAAGACGATATGCGCAACAGAGTTCAATCCTTGAGATCTACAACGTGTGAATTATGTATACCTTGATTAATTATTACTCCCGTTTTGTTGTGAAGCCCGCTTGTCACGCAATCTTGTTGTATTCCAGGTCAAGTTCCGGGCTGATTAGACTTCGCTAGTCCATTTTTACACCGGAAGTCAGGTCTTATTGTTGTAAACAAAACACTTCTTCTCGAATCACGGTTAATGCAGATTTGCTAGTTTTGCTATCTTGCTCTATTATGAAAAAAGAAAAAAAAGGAATCTGGGTGCTGTACACGACAAAATGAAACTATCGTCTTCTACGAAATAAATTTTCTCTGTTAAACGTGTTTCAAAGAATTTTCTTCGCGAAATAAATCTTTAACTGTTTATTGGGTTCAAGCTCTTATTCATGTTGAAATATAGTCTCCGTGGTGACATAATTAAAACACTTTTCGAATGAGTTTTCCCTGTTTTGAACAATGCAGGCAAACTTCTATTCTATACGTCATTTGTCCAGCAGACAAAAACCGAAAAATGTGGTCGAGTAAATAACTCCCGATAAATTCAAGCCATGGCTCCCATTATATTCTGGTCATAGCTAGCTTGAACTACGCGGTAACTCGAACTAAAATTGATTTCTTACAGTACTCCTTCAATTCTAGAGAAATCTTTTACCACCAGTAACTCCAACCTCCCGATAGAACCCCTGCCCAAAGCCGTCTCTTCCATGAAATGTAGCTAAATGCGCATGATTTACTACGCCAATCGAAAATTAAAACTTTTCCGTAAGGAACCGTCGGTTACCTTTACTCTCGTTATCCAGTAAATATGGTTAAATATGTGCTACACTGAAGTCGAGCACCTTTTTTTTTTCCATAACCTGATCTACACACGGGGGTCGGGAGAATTCGAGAAAATTATTGTATCAGTTTGAAATAGTTTCGAGAATTCGTCCATCCCATTGCTTCGCTAATTAGCAGTTTTTCTCATAATGAAACTTGTCTTTCACACATTTTATGAGTCTAAGGATAGCTTCAACTCAATGTTATGTTTTTCATACAATGGTTGCCTGATTTTTTACTCTGTTTGTTCATTTCTTGGCAATCGTGTGGTCACCACATCTAGGCTTTTAAACCCCACTCGTGTCCCCCATGGGAGAGAAAATTACCATCTCTCTTGATCTAACATCCAAGCCCAAAATCCCACAGTGATGACAGCATTAGTTATTAGATATTGGTTATTAGCCAGGCTGTCATCTCCCTGAGCTTTTTGCAATAGAAGCCACAGGAATGGCCTAAATGGCTGAATGAAGGTTACACAAATGTCTCAAGTTTGACTTCCTTGTAGACACAAAGCTCACATCCTGTCATGATTATTGGCCAGACTCAGTGCATGGTTGGTGCCTCAGAAATGACAGTAGCACCGTGTTTGTCCCACAGTTCCATTGCTTCATTAACAATCATCTCAAAGTTGTCTTTTGGGACTGGCTGTACACAAGCACCATGAAAACGTGTAAATAAAAGTACTGGTAATTAGACAAAATAAGAAATTTTATTTATGAGTTTAACCCTTCACACCCTAACATCAGTATGCACATTCTCTATACTGTTTTCTATACATTTCCTAAGGTGCTGACAAAAAGAATTTGCTTAACAATCAAGAGCCTAAAATATATTAAAGTTCACACGGCAAGAGCCTCTTTAGTTGGTGACCATTTCCTTTATTCTCATGACCTTGATGTGTGATTTGAGGATGATATTGTAGGGAGAAATTACATGCTGGTCACTCTTAGCAGTCAAAAGGTTAAATAGTATGGTAATCCAAAACTGCCATGACAAGGATTTCATTATGGTGTGTGACTAGTGAAGTACAGTGCATTTGATATATCCTACCTTGCAAAAGAACCTCTCAACACCCTGAATAGATTTTTCCATAAGGAGTTGACGTCTAAAGAACACCAGAAGACTGACAGCCACAAAAACAAGAATCTTACTGGATCCACTCACAACTTTGTCCCATATCCTACAGAAGAAAAATATAAACAAATTAAAAAAAACATACAAACTCAATTCAACTACTTACAATGTACCCCTAAGCCCCAGCCTAAAGCTGTCAAGTTTCCTTAACCCTATACACCCTAACACCAGTATGCATATTCTCCATACTGTTCTCTGTACATTTCCTAAGGTTCTGACTAAGAGAATTTGTTTAAGAATTCAAAACTTCCTTTGTTGGTGATCATTTTCTCTATTCTCCTTGACCTACATGTGTGATTCAGGTGTGATATTGTAAGGAGAAGTTAGATGCTGGACACTCTTAGGAGTGAAAGTGTTAAGAGTCTGGACATGTGTAACAATTTACAATTAAAGGTTTTTAAATTAGCTTTGGCATGGTGATGAGAATCACCTGGGCTAAGGTTTATGTTATCAACCAAGATGATGACAAACAAGGCTAAAACAAAAGCCAAGCCTTAAGTCCCAAAATGATTGAAAAAAAGTATTATGCGAGCTTAAAAACTATCATAATCATGATGATGTCACTTCTAAGTGTCTATGACTACTGCCAGGAGGTATAACAATTTACAATTAAAGGTTTTTAAATTAGCTTTGGCATGGTGATGAGAATCACCTGGGCTAAGGTTTATGTTATCAACCAAGATGATGACAAACAAGGCTAAAACAAAAGCCAAGCCTTAAGTCCCAAAATGATTGAAAAAAAGTATTATGCGAGCTTAAAAACTATCATAATCATGATGATGTCACTTCTAAGTGTCTATGACTACTGCCAGGAGGTATAATAACACCAAACACTGCTTACAGGAATAAGCTTAGTACTTAAAGTGCCCGTGACATGAAATTTTTTTTGCATAAGTATTTTGCTTATGGTATGAACAAATCAATTTTGATAGGAGAAAAATTTCAAAAACTTAAAACTCGGTTTTTTTATGCCCTTACATGCTCTTATTTTGTCTTAAAAGTGTTCTGTGGACTGGTAGCAAGTTAGTGGGTGATTACATAGAAAACTGTGAAACCTCTCAGTTGACACTTACAAATCCCTCACATCTCTTGCAATTTTGTGTCAGTCAGCATTGAAATACCCTTTAAATAATGTCCAATAGCCATGAATACTTATCTTCAGCAAGCTCTACCAAGAGTTATGATACATTTTACTCCAGTTAGAACTGACTGAGGTAACTCTAACTAATGAAGTGGAGGTAATGTAGAGGTAATGATTGCAGTTATAAAATCTGTACACAAAATGATCAAGAGATGAAAGTATTCGATAACCTTTCCATGCATGAATCTGGAATATCCTCAGCAAAGCCACTTTCAAACCACCTCATGAAAATAAAAAGAACAAAACATAAGAAAACATTTACAAGAAACAGTTTAACCAAATGAATATAAGTTTTCACACCAAAGCCATTTACAACTCTAAAAGAGATTTTTTAACCCTTTCACTCTCAAGATCTGATTGTTAATTCTCCCCTCTTGCTGATACTCATTTCCTTTAAAACTGGTTCCAAGAATTTGGTGTTAGATCAAGATAACAACTTCTACCTGATAAGTTTGAGTATTCTCATTACCTGTCTGCTAAATAATGTTTGGATATAATAAGGAGAAGTTACATATCAATCACTTCTGGGATTTTAAGGGATAAGAAAAAAAAAGGGCTTGAAAACCAGAAATTAAACCAATCTGACCAGTGTAATGAAGTAAAATTTGGTTTTTAAAATTAAAGAAGGAATAGGGTTGAGAGAGTTGTTTTTACTGAGATTAAGAAATTAATAGCTCAAATATTTTATCTACCTCTTATGTGGTAAGACATTAAATGCGTCAATATTTAATAAGTGTTTATGAAGATGGACATCTTCAGCTTGAAGGTAATACTGAATCAGGTTTGCCTTGAAACACAATAATATCAATAATTAATAATAAAGAAGATTACAGCCCTAATTTCAAATAAGAAAAAACTGTAGCTTAAACAAGCATATTAACAACAGGCTAACACCAATTTTCAAATAAAAAAAACAATAAAAACAGGAGATTTTGGTGCACAAAAAATCTTTTGAGATTCCTACAAAAATGTTGGTTGCAAAGGTCCTACTGTGCAATTATAATAATACTGATTTTTGAAAAAAAATTGTGTTAAATTATTTGACTTAAAGTAACAACTAATAATAATTCATAACTCATGACCAAATTCTACAAACATGCTACACAACTAGAAAACTCATTAAAGTAGGCTAATGTGCATCACAGCATTGTTGTTGTTGTTGTTTTTTTTTTTAATATCATCAAAAACAACTTACTGCAACTCGTCATCAAACTGGTTTCAAATATTTTAAACCAAGAAAAAATCAAACCAATAAATGTACAAAGAAAGATTGGGTACAATTCAAACCATCATGCATCTTAAAAAATGTTAAAAACTGAAAACACTTGCTTGGCTTTTTAGTATAGTTTCTTAAAACGGTATGCCACAACAAGATTCTGTGTTACCAGTTTCTCTAGCTGTAGTCCTGACTGGTCCAGACACTTCATGAACTTTGCCGACAACCAGTAAAGATCAACTTCGTCTTCAAACATTTCGCTAAACACCTGCACTACAGATCTCATTACTTCTGCTTTCCTTTCAAGATCCTAATGGGGTACAAAATAAAGCTATTAAGTTGTGTGTCTTCATCAATTTCCAAACTGTAGGTAGAGAGAACTGTTTCCAGTGAAATCCCCCACTTCAAATGCAGGAGTTTTAGGATCCTTGCCCTACAAATAAGCCACACTTCTTGGTACATCCTTCACCCTTAATCTCCCAAGATCCAATTAGTAATCCTCCCTATTTCCTGCCATAGTTTACCTTTAAATTAGACAAAGAATTTGGTATTTTTTCAAAATAACACTCTTCAGCTGATAAGCAATTTTATTATATAGGCAGCAATGAAATACCAAGTGAGCTTTTGTGTGAAAACATGATCTCTTCACAGATAAAGATAACATGTTATATCCACACCTTAAAAGATTACTGTTGCTATAGTTACAAACAAAAGTAAAATCATCAGTTATGTTGTTGGTGTTTGTATAATAAATAAAATATTACATGGCCATGCCGAGATATGAAATTTCTCTTCCAGTGTTGAAATATTTGAAATATCTGCACACCCATGTAATATCCTTTAAAATGTGTCTGTTCTCATAACCTGTTTACAAGATAATTTATTGGAATTACAAGGTTGAGTTACAAGTCATTCACTTCTGGGAGTTGAATGTTTAAGGCTATATGGCAAAACAGCTGTAACTTTAACCCTTTACATCCTAACATCAATATGCATATTCTCTATACTGTCCTCTATAAATTTCCTAAGGTGCTGATAAGAAGAAGTTGTTAAATAATCAAGAGCTTTTTTAATTGGTGATCATTTCCTTTATTCTCATGACTTAAATGTGTGATTCAGGGGTGATATCATAAGGAGAAATTATATGCTGGTCACTTTTACAAGCTAAAGGATTAAACAATGTATCTTAAGGGTGTATTTACACTACAGATTGTGGATCAAGTAAGCAAAGCAAGAGTCCTTAAACTACATGAAAGTCACTGCTCTGTTGCTCAACTCAGCATTTCAAAATTAAGAAATAATTAAATTTCCTTTATATTTTACCTTTGGTACTTTTACAAATCGAAAAGCTCCTTCATCCAACAAAAAGACCATTGACATTTGATAAGGCAATTCATCTCCATCTGAAATTTTCCTTATAACTCTCAAAGCATGCTGAAGGTCATGAAAATGTTCACATCGCTGTTGCATTACAAACTGCTGGGCATCGTGGTAAGGGGGAATGATACCTGTTTTCCATGAAAACAGAAAAAAAAAAAGCAGAAAGGCAATGAGAATTTTTATCTGTTTGTCTACTTCATCAGTGGCTCCCAAAGCTTTACTTTTACTCAGAAAATTAGATCATAATTCGCTGTGCTGGGGACATTTTGTTATAAATTTAAGGTATGATTTTTATGGTTTTCAATTCCAGGTTGTGTTATAAGCTATTGCCCTTGTTCTCAGGACTGGAGTACTTTTAGAGGTAGTTAGCATTTGTATCCAGTTCACTCTTTTGAAACTGTAGTACATTTAATGAGGTTTTCTATGTACAAATCTCATGGAGTCCCAGAGGAACGCTTTATTCCAGCAATAGTTTGCATTTTTTTCATTGTTTTCGTGATGTAGTAACCAATGCAAGATTTTGAAAGAAACCCGCAAAAAAGTATACGAACAAGCCGAACGCGAGTCATTTACAAACTTCTGGACGTTTCCCCACCATTCCAAGGGGTTATTAACCGATAGAATGAGCAGTCTATTGCCTCTATAAAATAAATTTGGCTTTGAAAGTATTATAAATGATATATTTTGACAAATCCAGGCGCGAGATGTATCTCAGTTATGTTATTCTCGACCAGAGCAGCTGATCTTCAAAATTAACTAAACTGATCAATGCAAACTTCCGAGCGAAACTTTCTACCGCACAGTATCGATGTAAATAATTTCCTTCAGGCTACTTGCAATGATCAGAAATTTATCGAAAGGCATTCTTACCTAAAATCACTTTCCAGACATGGGTTCTGTAAACTGCAGGTAAGGTAAACCGAGTGCTAAATGTTGAAATGCGTTGTAAATCTAAAGAAAAAGTTTGGGTATTTCTGGACTTAGTTTCTAGAACTTTGGAGCATAAAAATCACCCCTGTGACTATTTTAATACCTATTGGGTCATCTTTCAGCAGTATCTCCAACGCTTTCCTTTGCTCGACGTTTTTTAGGCCTAAAGTATCATAATAAAATGTTCGAAAATTTCGTCCATTTTTGTCCACCATCTTGGTGCAGGATTAACAGGTGTCATGTAAGCGTCATGGAATTTAACAACACCTCGGACTTAGTCTGCAGCTCAAAAAGACCCTAACTAGCGCGACACCGAGAACATAACGTACGACTGAGAGAAAAAATCAGGGCGTTGGCGATTTCAATTAAGATATTTTTTGATTCCGTAGAACTAATTGTTGCCCAATGTAGTTTCTTATTGCCAAAGTCAGTTTGATATCTAAAAAAAAAAAAAAACCGCTGTTCCCCAATGCATCAATCTTACTCACCGGCGACTGGGGCTCACTAAAAGAGAACGGATGTCATTTGGGTCATTTTCCGTGAGAAAAAAGGCCATTTTCGAAACGAAAAGCGAAGCGTGGCATATGCAAGGAAACAATTACATTACAATCGTTTCGGATCAGAGAAACGTGACTCGCAGCTCATATGGAGGTATTTTGTTAAAACGGTTTCATTTTAAGAAGGCGTTTACAGTCTTTACAAGAAAAAACGGTTTTTAAATGTTTAGCTTGTCGGAACATTTTATTATCCACTGCTTTATTTATGTAACCGTCGTAGGAAAGCTAGGAAACCTACACGGAGGAAACCTACTCGTGACAAACAGATCGGACTCCCGCTGCGCGGTCGTCCGATTTTGTTATCACTCGTATGATTACAGACCGAATTGGACGACACGAAGTCTTACCATCAATTAATCATAGAAATATTAATTTCCGAGAAAAGAAGAATAGCCAAGTTATAATGTTATGTTACAGTTTGTATAGTATTAAACTTAGTTTGAAGGACGGCGGGACACTATGGGATTCGTTTGTGTCAACAGCTAGCTTGTTGCAGACATGTTTTGTGGCTCTCGAATTAAGACAACTCATTCATTTGAATAAGAATTTACAGTCCTCTTCAGCAAAGTATAACAGGTCACTGTTCGACAAAAATCTTTAACCTCTAATCGGAATCATCTTTGCAAACATCTTTGGAATCAAATTAAATCTCCGCCGGCCAAGGATAAGAGTTGGTGGAAAATTTCAAGTTTATATTTTGGCAAACAGGTGCAAGTTTTCTGGTTTAGTTACATCGTGTTTTGAGCTATTCTGAGCTATTTCGCGCATTCGTGGCTAAAACTGAAGTTCATTTAAGCTATTGCATGTTACAAACAATGAATGGGCACATTGTAGAGTGTTATTTTTCTCTTCTCTCCTCAAATACTTTAACAGTTCCGGTTGCAAGGGCGGAAATATTGATTCTATTTTAACATTTTTAAAAAAGAGAAATTCACACAAAAGAATCAGCGCTAGGAATTCGGATTTCTTCTACTTTTAAAACTCTACATTACTTGAAAGTTCTTGTTTATCCCGTTTTTCTTATAAGGGAACTTAACTTTACATGCCGTAATGTATTTACAACGTTTTCTCGCAAATTTATTATTGTACTATTATAATATCAATATCCTTTATCGTTAATTATTGTAAACTGTAATCTAATTGTGATGTAAAATAAATAAAATGAAATAGAAAACTTGAATAATAAACTCCTTTTCTCGTGTTACTTTAAATGTATACTTTCACTGGTATCGCTGAAGTAGTTACCAATCAGCGAAATCAAAGGTAAAGTATATATGTGATTCTACGCATCAAAAATCAATTTCGTTCTATTTTATCCCTGCAGCCGGCATCGGTCGCTGAAACTGGAAATCTGGTGGTTCTCGGGTGATATCAGGCTCAAATCTTCCTCTCTGGCGGTCAAATGAAAATCTTTGGAATAAACTGATATCTTCAATTTATTCTATTGAAAAAAAAGTATGATAGACTTAACATTTGCGCGATAAGACCTAAAATTACCGAGAAATGCTCAATAGCGAAAGAACAGTTAGACGGCATTTTAAATCAACACTTGAAGGTTATCTGTAAGTTCCACTGCCGTGTATTTTTTTGAACTAACTACATCCTGACAGCTGGCTTATCTTAGGTTATTCTCCCTGTGATTTGATAAAAATATTAGTTAAAAAATTATCAGGTTTTAAACTCATATTAACATGGTACGGAAGCGTTACAAGGTCGAGCTAAATCATGTGCGACAGCGGGTTCTACCCGTTTAAAATTTTTTAACCTTCAGTGAAGTCTGGTGTCACTATATCTTAAAACTAACATTTCGTTCAATCCCTGGGTTTCGGTGTTTTTTCCCTCCAAGACATTTCAAAACTTTCTTTCTTTCCATCCGGAATGTGCAATTTCCAACCAATTTCTGTTCTAACCGATTAATCGATTTCCTATTAAACACCTCTTTGATTATAAACTGTGTATTGTGTTTGGTAACAGAAGTGACTTACATTTGAGCGAAAGTTTCAGAACAGATTGAAACATTCTGTTTAACCAACAAAAATATTAATTTATTTACCTCAATATCCAATTCTTGCACAGTCTAAATTCCTATTTTTCCCCATCAAAACAACCATGTTCAATTAAATATGAATTATTGTTTTTGTGTACCTGTACGTTTCGCTAGTTTAACTCAAACATATGCGCTCGACAAGTTGAAAAGTGGAAAATAACTAGTGCCATTATGAAAGCACACCTCGCTAGATAAGCTTTATTTCTTCGACTTAAGTAAAGGAATTGTGGCGAATAATTTCGCAAATAAAGTAAGTATTGAAAGGAAATTCTTATTGGTTATCATGAGAATAAAAGAATCAGTCAAATCAAGTAATTTTTTTTAACCAGCATTGTTATAAAAATAATCCCTCTGCACGTTAATGAAGATCCGGTAGCATCTATTGAAGAGCAAGTAATCGCAGCCAGAATCATTTAACGGGAAGAATAAACAGTGGATTATCCAAGACACATGAGTGATCGGCCTTGACTGTTATACAAAGACCTGCATCAGAAAATAACAAGATTTTAATCTTTGATTTGCTTTTACGAGTACCTCCAGAAAGGGCCAACGGATTTCGAAATTGAATTGATTGATCAATAATATTGACACTTTTTAGCTGTATTCATAAATTCGTGTTGCCAACATTTATATATTATTTAAATTCATTTTGAACAATGACCAGAAGATTCGAAAACCATTTGACATCCATTTCTATCGGATGACAGAAACAAGTCGGGTTTCCTATTTTAGATAACGTTTCCGTCAAAAAGAAAAAAAGACATGTTTCTAGCCTGCAGTTTAGAAAAACTGCTTCATAATACCGAGATTTCATGATTAACGATAAAAAATTTAAGTTGACTGGGAACATTTACAATACAAAGGCAAGGACGTCGTTAATTAGGAAGCTTCAATACACCCGCGCCTCGTCTTGGCAATCTCTTTGTGCACGATTTCTTTTTCATAGTGAAATAAATGGTTGTTTGATGATCTGAAAAGTATTCTTAGCTTACAACGTTTACAATCTCTCTAAACTAATTCGTTGTCTATATCAGTTATTCTCGCAACCAGCTGTAAACAAAGTAACTTTAAAGTATAAGGCCAAATTAAATAAATCTAACGTTTTTTTCGACTATAATTAATTTTAATGCATTGAAAAGGATGGATAACCTTTGTAATTCTCTTCTTATCAGGCGGGCTTCTATAAACAAAGATGTTTTGAACTCTGGGGAAAGTCTTGTTATGTTCACCAACCGAAAAATAAACTCTCTTTTGTTCATTTAAAAATAATTCGTTAATCATTTTGTCCAGCCATTTTTAAGTCATTACTGCCTTCTTGACAGAATGGAATCCGCTTTAAATGAAAGAAACATAACTTGTTATTCTCATACTTTCCGGAGGATTTTTTTTTAAAATAAACCAGGCAGGTGACATGAAATTTACTAAAGACTTTAAAGCAGAGAATATATTTGGGTTTTTTCGCACCAGAAACGTGACAGATGAAAACTTATTTATTATTTTATAGTTCATATGAAAGCTCATTTTTAAAGTCATTGTTAAATCTTCAATCGAGAGGGGAAGGAACTTACTAGTGATCTCCTTTGTCCTCCTTCAGTTTTAAATTGATGCGAATGTTGCACGGAGACAAAACACGAGGTTGGCGTCGATAAAGGACCACTTCCTTGTCAGTGCCGTTTAAGGATGAAGGCAATTTTTGTGATGCTCTTGATGTTAAAAGCTGTGAGGTAAGTTCACCTAGAACATTGGGAAACGATTTATGGTCGTACTTCAAGTGATGTGAGTCAATGTTTACATGCACTCCAGTCTCAATGCACTGGAATTATTCGCACGGTAAGCATTCCAAGAGGATTCTTGGATTCAGGTCTAGTTCATAAAGCGAAACGAAAAGGCGACCGTGTTGTTGGTATAGTTGATAGAATACCCCGTAGAGTCGAAAAAAGTCTATGATACTTTGATTCGGGTGAGGTGTTCCACTTGAGAATTAGATCAACTGATACAAAAACGTTATTGAACCTTGGGAAACAGCTCACGGCAGAGAGATTTCAGCGCCATAGTTGCTTTGAAAAAACAACCGCAAGACGTTAAACAAAAGAGGAGATATTTAATGAAAATCTACAGTCGTACGGGGCTTAAGCTCTGATATAAGAAAACCCCTATGACCCTAAATTAGCAATAAAATAATGAAATTATTGAAAGGCAACCTCGGAATTACATTTGTTTAGGCTTGCTAAGAGAAAATGACACTTAAGATTTTTACGGTGTCCGGTTATAAATCAAAATGCAGATATCATTCGAGTAGAGACCATTTCAACTGAGCCATTTTTTCCATATGTTAAACATACTTCAGAATAACTAAGTGAACAATCGACCTGTCAGGCGAAACATGAATGTTTCTAAAATGTAAGGTAAAGTTGTTTATTTTGGCTACATAAAAACATTTTCAGAGAAAGGTAAAGTCAGTTTTATGAATTATGAAAGGGTTCTGGTCTACCAAAGCTGATTTGTGTAACATGTAACCGAAACAACAATAAAACCGTAGAAATAAAAATTTTCGTGCTCTTGAGTTCTTTAGGCATCTTGATTGTCCCTTCAGACGAGCTCTTAGTATCAGGTGCACGATTTAAAATTCTCTCACGAATTTCCAAATTGTCTTGAGCGACTTTAACATTCCTATCGTTATTTGATCATCCAAAATGTTATCATGCGAAATGATTTGCAACGTGAAATAAAATGTGATTTGCAGTTTTTAAGACCAAGTCAGTGTGGTAACGCGTGATCGGCAAGGCATCTAAGATTATGACCGCTCTCTGAAAATTCAGGTGTTTCCCCAAGTTTGTTTCCAATCTCTATGCAGCTTGCGTACAGCAAATTGGTTTCTACGTCATGATAAACATAAGAGACTTAAACTGGAGCAGGATTACCGCCCATGTAATATAACCCATTAATTAGTTGGATGCTTCTAGTTAGGGCGCGCAACGCACGTTATTGTTTACGTGGACGTAGACGAAGAATAGATAAAAGGAAATTAAAATAGTCATTTTACGTAAGAATCTGTGGGCAGACATTTCCTCCCATTGTAAAAAAGATAACCTGCCCACTCTGCACTGAGCGTATTTTCAAAGAACTTTTGAAATATGTTGACATATGCTGTTGCTATTTCAGTGTGAAAACTCTGCCTGAATTTAAATCCAGCAAAGAACCAGATAACAAGGCACGCGCAGATGACGTAACTGATGACATTACTTTGGAATATCGTCCTGAGATGTTAAGGGAAAATTTGATCAAATTATTCAACTTGACTGCACAGGACTTAGAACTAAGGTACGGAGTATTCTAATGTGTATGAGTGCGTAAGTGTGTGTGGGTGTGGGAGGGGGGGAGGGGAGGGGAGGGAGAGAGAGTAGGTCATTTGTGTGGGACAATAGGAAATGAGCCGAATAACCCAAAGTCAGCGTAGTATCAGCTGAAGCCAGAGCTAATTATGGCTCTTGCGGAACGCCCCCCCCACCCCCTAAGTTCTTTTCCAGTTTCTTTATCAATGACACGATCACGCTGAAAATTTACATTCGTCCTGTTAGCCCATCACAGATAACCACAGAACTTTTTCAGTCACGCGGTGAAAAATTATGTAAATTTATTTCAACAAAAGTAAATATTAACACAAGAAAAGCGGTTATAACCCGCGGGACTGATTAAGAGAATATCAACTGATATTCTCCTGGACTGACTTAATGCGCCAACATGGCCGCCATTTTTTTGTTTAGGTTACCAATATGGATGCCCTTACGTTACGTGAAAACGATCTATTATATTCCTGGAAAGATTGCCATTGTCCATTTCTACTCTCAGTTGGAGAGAGGAGAGAGGCTCCGTCGACCGTTGACATAGGCTCTGACTCTTGCCTGAAAACACAACAAAATGATTTCTTCAGGGTTAGATTATGGAGCCTTTGATTTTGTCTCTCGATTTATCGGTTTCGAATATGGACAAAAGAGGCAGGGATAATTTTTTTGCACCTATCTGGCATATCTTGCCAAAGTACACAAAATACCCTGGTTGTGTAGTATTCTATAAGGGATTAACATAAAGTTAGTGTGACGAGGGATTGGCCAGATTCACTTGTGAGATGCAGGATGAAAGACAATTTTAGGGCGGAACGCGGTTTAAAGTACAGCGAGATTGGAAGCCCTATTTTTTATCCCTATTATCAGTTCTAAGCTTGTAGGAAGATTGATTTTTAATTAGCTGTCGGTATATCTCGAAACATCACCTGACATAAAACTTTCTTTATCTTTTTTCCGAGTAGTAGATGATATTATGTACTATGAACAAGTTTTATAGTAAAAAAGAGCAAAAATTTCCTTTAACACTTTGCGTAATCCGGTTACAGACTGCGAACGGTTTTAACATTTCGGGCAAACTTTTTATAAAGTATTTATACGGTTATGATGTAACCCCCAAATTTGTGTTTTGCTTCTTTTTTTGATTTGTATTCTTTTATCCTGTTAAATCTGTTACACTTTCCACTCTGAGACAGAAATTTTACTCTTTCTTCTCTCTTGACAAGCCTGGCCTCTTCCAAACGGTTTGAAAATAATCGAATTTTGTTTTTATATTCCTAGTTATGAAACAATTTGGCCAGGGGGTCGTAGCACGATAACGCTAAAAAGGAAATCTGGTGACAAGAAGTTATTGGATGTACCCCAGGTTACAACTGGTGAGAAGAGTGACCAAAAAAGCGCGACACAGAGCAGGTAAAAAGCAGTGCATCATTGACTTTAAGGAACAGATTTGTCCAGGCATATTTCTTGCGTTAAATGGAGGCTACTTTGTTGGTTATCCTTCAAACATCTTTGCAACGCGTGTAACAAAACGTTACGAACAGCTTACCGTTTACGTTACCAACAGCATACCGTTTACTGCGTTGCTCATTTTTCACTGTTCTACACCATGGCTTTATGGACAAATGAATATGTTCCTAGTTCTGTAAGCAGCATTCGTCTTGAATTAAATTTGAAACAGACTTTTATCGTATTGGACATGAGGCCAAAAATTGGGCGATATTATTTGGGGAATATTTTTTTTTAGCTAGGGCATATCTAGTCACGTGACCCCTTTAAACCAATGGCGTGCGAGCAAAATCATTTTATAGCTCACTAAGATACGTATTAGGGAAGCCAAGAGTTACATCGACGGGTGTAACCTGAAGTTGACTACCATCTCGTCCAAGACAACTGGGAATTCTCCCCAGTCGTTTCATGGTATGGAAACCGGGGTAAGGTCTGGTGCTAATGAGTTACGTGGCTCAAAATGAATTGGAATTAATATGGGTCCACACTATCATTCCCAGGCAATGTTCGTGAGATTCTCGTGAATAACATTTGTATCAATTTCTTTCTTGAAATCACTAGAGGTACAACTCAAAAGCTACAAGCTAAGCGAGTGATAATTCCACCAGACGAACGAAAACAGCTCCCTTCCTCCAGTAAGGCCCAGAAATCACCACACTCAGCTGCTTGTAAAGTGTCTTGTAAAGGATTTTGCACCTGGTCTTGTTCAGGGACTTTGATAGGTCCGCATCACGTACTAACTAGCGCGCATTGTATCGACGGAGTGGATGTCGCTACTCTTCAGGTTGGGTTTCTGGAGAGAAATGGCCGGCTACAGTGGTACGATGTGATGAAAGCGTCCATGCCACTACGATGGAAAATTACTAAGAAAAAATATGATTATGCCGTGCTTAAACTCAAAGGTCGGGCAAATCGTCGATCGTACGTCAGTGTCGTATCCGTGTCCCTGCCCAAAAACTCGTTGATATCGATCACAGGTAAGCTAGGCGCTAGTAAGTATCGATCTTACTTCAGTGTCGTTCCATACCCTTACCCAAAGGAATGCTGAAAAAAAGTCCAGGTGACCTGGACGCTAATTGCTATAGTTTCGTACGGGAAACTTCAGGTCGCCAATGTCACTGTACCTGAGCGGTAGAAAAGCAACTGACAATGTTAAAATCAGTAACTCATTGAAAACATTTTGAGCCGGTTATTTAAACAAAGTTTAGCCGTTGTTTAACAAAAACCATCTTCAATTTAGCCGAACCTTTTGTCTAAACATTTATTTTTGTTGACAATGTCCAGATGGCCTGAAGCCCACTGCTTGCATAAAACCGCGGTTCGGGTTACAGGCCTCATGTAAATATAACCGGTCCTTCGGGTTTAACACTTGTAAATATTCCCAAATTCTATATGGAAACTGCCCGGACCCACTTAATAAATCAATTAATCAGTTATTTATCTGTACGTCATTAAACATTTTCGGTCATTTTTAAATGCTTGATACGGTGACCATAATTAATAAATAATTAATAAACAAAGGTGACCATAAATAATTAATAATTAATAAACAAAGAAGCACGAGCAAAAATCCACTTTTTTTTTCACATCGTACTTCCTAAATTGAATTTTTCATGTTTTTTTATTCGTAAGGATTTCCCGGTGACAAATCTCCTAGCAGTCTTTGGATCTCCAAATGTCGTGCAATCTTAGTGAGCAGCGGTCAGATTTGGAATAACTGTGACGTGGTGAGAGGGAGTTCGGGGTCAGGTGTTTTAGTAAAGGACAACAGCGGAGGGATAACTCGCACGGTTGTTGTCGGTGTACTGTCCGGCGAACAATCTGTACGAATTCGAGGACGTGTCAAGAGATTTAATGTAGCTGTTCATCTAACAGGGTCTAAGCTATCTCAGATTAATGAATGGATAAATAAATAAAGCCTATTTTAAAGCTTGAGAAGGAGAAATTAAAAGCATTTAAAGGAGTAATTGTCCTGTTCCGTGATTTAATTTTTTAATTATACCAATCCTCCCTTCGTATAACGAGATTATCACTGAATAACTTCAACCACAGGCAGCCCAAGCTCCAGCTATGAGATGATCATCTTGCGCAGTATGAGTCATGTCAAAAATATAAGACCTTGTATGGGAATGTGTACAACCGCTCTTAGGAATAAAAAAAATACAGTCAAATTCTCAATAAATACCTCACCTTACTTTCACAGTGTATTAATTGTTTTGTGACTGCTTACTTTGTTGCAACGAGGCCATTTTGGCGAGTTGGCGGTCACAAAAAAGGCAATGAAATGCACTTTGAAAGTAAGGCGAGCCATTTGATGAGAGTTTGACTGTATTTTTTTTATTCCTAAGAACGGTCGTAAATATTCCCATACAAACTCTTATATTTTCGCCATTTCGCCAGTTAAAATTCCAAAAGACGTTCGATGGCTTTTTCAAGACTGTTTGTTTGTTGGTGATGTTGTAACACTGAAATTGAGCATTCTGCCACGGAAGCAAGAAGTCAAAATAATCATGGTAATAAACCAAATTTTTTTATATCTCGCTTAATTTTATTTTGTCAAACAAGCTAAGAATCTTCTACCACTGCCGTAACAGCGCCCTTGTTGTTGCAATGGCTCTTAATCTCCTTGTCAATAAATTTCCTACCTCCGGAAAACATTGAATTTTGTTCACTCTCCCATCCTCCAAATTATTAAGTAAGCCTTCTTCCTTCCATATTTGCTAGGTTAAGAAACGTGACTATAAGCGAGACAGCCAAACCAAGCTCATGTGCCGTTGGTCATGCAACGTGTCTGGCAAAAGCAAAAAATATTACGACAATCTATTTCAGCTCTCTTTCTTGTGAAGTTCGTGTGTATGGGTCGACGTCGCTTCTCTGTGTTCAAGACAAATAACTTATCCATGATTTTATTTTTCTGCTGGTTCGTTTTCTTCCGCTTTTCCGCGATTGGCGTTGACATTCCGCGGGTATCTGGAAGGAGCGAACTTTATCAATGGTCTGGGGAGGGATGGGACGGTAAGGCTCGCAAATCTCCCATCCTTTCCTACGATCGTCATAAACTTGATATCTGGCGCGATAAACAATAGACTTGAAATGCGACATCAATAGCAAATATTTCTCACTTTTAAATAGCTTCTTTTTATTGAATCTCAAGATATGTTTTTTACAAGATTAGAAATGGTACAAAAAGATCTCATCTCCAGAATTTTTCCATACAATGTTCAAATCTGCATCACGCAGGATTTATTAAATCGCGTATAACTTTCAAACATTTTAAAAATCTTCCTTATAAAACTAAGGCAATCTTTCCACACTCAGAACTTCGTACGAAAAACAGTATATCGCATCAGGCCGCATCTCAATATTTTGATAGTTATTTAGTGACAACTGCAATTCAAATGGAAAATAAAAGAAATTTAAAAGGCTCTGAACAATTCTTACTCAACAACACAATATCTGGGAAACACACCATAAAGTGCTAGTAAGCTCCCACGGCTGCAGGGTTTATTCTAGTGCGCGGCTTTGAGGAAGATTACCGCATAAAATTTGCGTTTATGGGCCAGTAAGACGCAAACGGTTGCGTCCAAGAAAAAGGCTCTTTCCGGGTACTTTTTTAAATTATCTGTTCAAAAATATAACTTACATCAGGATTAATATAACAGCTCATATTTAAATTCTTTTCAAACCTCATAGCCTCTTCATGTCTCAATTGCTTATCTCTTCTTTGTTTCCTCACTGAAAAGACTCTTGAGGCGAATTTGAAGACCTCTTTGGGTAGCCCCCTTTTTTAGGCCCCTATCACGAGAAAGGGCCCAACAAAACCTGAACGGGCCCACTGAGCCTTCTTCTAGAATAAAGCTTGCAGCTGTCACACTTTACGGCTTCTAAAAGCCATTTAACCACCTTGGCGTGGCTCCCTGAGCTGCATTTTGTTACAGCATAACCAAATGGCCAAAATAGCGATGACATAGTCATCATTAATTTTATTGCAAAAGCGAATGGCGAAAAGGGTCTTTCTTTTGCAGAGCAAAATCATTCTTGGTCTTCGTTTAACATCAAACTTTGGAAAATCAGAAACCTTTTATGTTTCGGTAGGCAAAAGTGAAACGAGGAGGAAATGGTAGAATAATCTTTACTGGAATGCAAAATCAACGATCAGGTCTCCGGTAAGCGATAAGAAACTCGACTGGAAACGTTTTGACTGGTATACAAAATCAACAATCGGATTTCTGGTAGGCGATGACACTTAGGTTTTCTCGCAGTAAAATACAGTTTGGTTTGCTGTTGGCTAGTTTCTTCTTGAGTCACGGCAACGCTTTTTGTCGAGTACATACTGAACAGTTTTTCCACGGAAACCTAATCATCTTTACATGTCCAGTTAAGACTGTTGTCACCGTATACCCTCTCTTTCCCCCCACCCGCCGTGATTGATGATTTTCATCAAGGTTCTCGGTCCCTGCTTTTCTACCAAGAGGTAACTTCTTCAGATTTCTTTGGCGAAGGGACCCATTTCAGCGACAGATCCAACCTCACATCCAGCTTGTCATGTGACCTGAATGTCAGGTAGCCTTCGAGACACGTGATGTGAAAACCGCGTGAAAATTTAAACCTGGGTACATTTCACTCCAGGCAATCTGCCGCATGTTATCCACCAGTCCCATTGAACAAACACGGACGAGACCAGCGGGCAGCCAAGGCGAACTGTCTTTTCCCAGTCACGCACTTCGTTTCCCATTCGGTAATACATTTTAAATGTCACCACTAGAGGATCCTACACGTTAAGAGAGTGAGAGAAAGAGGACATTCAGATTTTTGTGTGCAATTTCTTCATCCTGAATTCCAGTTTCCAGCCGTTCTCTGTTATTCTGTCGGATACGAACTTAAAACAACTCAAGGAAAAAAGAGTTTGAAAAAAAAAATTTTTTAAAAATCGGCTGTCGGGAGCGAGGAGGGGGGGGAAGGGTAAGGTATGTTTCTTGAAACCCTCACCCTATATCCGGCAGAAAGATTGATTGTTTTCCCACTTTAATTAGCCCTGATCCAAACAAACCTTCTTTGTTTGAGCTTCACCAAGTTAACTTCAATCAAACATTTACAACAAATAATGAAGTGACATTGAGTAGAAATTAGTCCAGTGCAGAGTGTTTATCCACCCTGAACGTAACCAAAACCTGGGGAGGGGTGGCAGGGGCAGTCTACTAACCCACCCCTTTTGGATGAATAGGCCAGCTAAGTATGTAAACTGAGTGTACTTTCGATTATATAGAAGATTATTAGAAATAGAGCACATACCAGTAACTTTTGTAGTCTAGACAACTGTACTACTTGTTCTAAAACTCCTCCATTTTCACCCAGGAATTCACCAGAGAGAAGGCGAACTTTGCTCATGACAGGCTGCAAACAAATCCAAAACAGAGATCCCTAATCACACCTTCAAATTTTGAAAATCATAACTACTTTTGAATCTACTGACAATCAGAGCTGGTTTACTCCTTGCATAAGGAGTTTGTCACTGGCTTTTTTCTATTACACATGGTGCTGTGTAAACTTAGGTATTAGGATTCCATATTGCTTCTGCAGATGCTTGAGTTCTGCTGTCTGACTTATAAACCAATTATAGCACCTGAAAATCAGTGATTAATTAGTCAATGAATCAAAGGCCCAATCAAAAAGTCAATCAATCAATGTATCTGTCAATCAATCAATCTATAATCCTATCACCTACTTAGTCAATCAATCAATGTATCTGTCAATCAATCAATCTATAATCCTATCACCTACTTAGTCAATCAATCAATGTATCTGTCAATCAATCAATCCATAATCCTATCACCCTATCACCTACTTAGTCAATCAATCAATGTATCTGTCAATCAATCAATCTATAATCCTATCACCCTATCACCTACTTAGTCAATCAATCAATGTATCTGTCAATCAATCAATCTATAATCCTATCACCCTATCTTAGTCAATCAATCAATGTATCTGTCAATCAATCAATCTATAATCCTATCATCCACTATCAATCCAATATCAATCAATCAATCCACTTAGTCAATCAATCAATGTATCTGTCAATCAATCAATCTATAATCCTATCACCCACTTAGTCAATCAATCAATGTATTTGTCAATCAATCAATCTATAATCCTATCACCCACTTAGTCAATCAATCAATGTATCTGTCAATCAATCAATCTATAATCCTATCACCTACTTAGTCAATCAACCAATCAATTAATCATGATTGATCAATTAACAACAAAAACTGTTCTAAGAAATGTTTGAGGTTCAAGAGTAACACTGAGTTTGCAACTTACCGTGGGTACTTGTAGATCCATCACAACTTCTTGTAGTGGAGCAGTATTTGTATTATGAGCAGATATCTTAATTTCCATAACATTTGAAAACACAGGTCTGCATTCAAATGATATGACCAGTCCATCTTGGTCAATTGGTGGGATTTCATCTGGAAGATCTGCAGAAATTGTGAAACAAGAAAAATTCAAAAAGTGTGATACCACTTGAGGGGGGGTATGGACAATAATCTCCTACTCCACAAGTGTTCTTATTGCCCACCTCTTCTTCCCCCCTTCCCCCCTCCCCCCCCTTTCCTCTGATACCTTTCCACTGACCCCTTTACCCTTCCTGTAACATATCCTCTAAAAACATTCCTCCAGTCTTCTGTTGTGCTTTCCATGTGTATGGAAAACCTACTAATTTTGACCTAAAATTCAATGAGAGTCTCCTTCACTGGAAAAATTTCCAAACAATTACCAGTAGTTCCACCAGCTCCAAGGTTCTGCAAGCAACATTTGTTGTTGCAAAGTGCAGAACCCAGGCTCTTGTAGGTCATACCAAATGCATGCAAGAAAAACATGCTTATCTTGTTCCATTTTATCCGATGAAAAAAAAAAAAAAATGGCTTTGTACTTTAACCAAAAGATTTTCTCTGTTTCACATGGAAATGGACAGCAGCACTGCTACTCACAATGAGCCTGATTCCAGAGTTTCATTCGTTCCCCAAACTCCTCTGGCAGCAAATCTGGTACAATAGGATCAGTGAGTCGACAGTCTGCTACTGCATCACTCTCATGGCATGGTCTCTGGATCAGATTTCTGCTACTTGCACGGCTAACATCTGTTAAATACAAACAGAACAGAGTTCTTAGAAGTTCCAGGGTTCATTTCTTCATAGCAACTCAGATTGTTCTTTGTCCCACAATTGTGCCAAATTGATAAACATCTTTCTTTGAGAATTTAAGAGTCAAAATGTCTTACCGCGAGCGACATCCATAAGTATGAGCTCAATTCGCTCATTTCTTCTGATATGTCTCAGTAAATGTGTCGCATACAGGCCATTTGGCTGGTTTGGCTCTTCATATGCCTCCTGTTGGGAACAACTGATACAACAACCCAAGATAAAATGATTAGTTCTCCCCTTCTAAATCAAAATAATAAGGTGTTGCTAATTCATAGACTCTCCCTCTCCATGGCATTATGTGTTATTGTGGCATTAATGAGAGGAGCTTGGGAAAGATTGGTGCCAGTCCCTTTATGTTTTCAAAATCAAATTAAAAAAGGATGATAATGTATTTGAAATAGCACTATCCCTCTATAAAACTGTTTTAAACTTGCTCTCAAAGGTACTAATCTCTATGTTGAATCACTAATCACCAAGTAAATCAATACAGGAGTTAAGGTTCTTTGTAAGAAGAGTTTCTGTGACAGTCATACTGCCTGCTGCTAGGCTACTGTCTAATCAGGAATATGCTTAGAATATATTCACCAATGAGTTGGCATTTCTTTAGATTCACACCAAAGTGGAAAACTAGTTATGACAGAAAGAAAGAGTTGGAATAACAAGTGGAAAAAGTAACTTTTCATAGGCCTAGCATAACTATATCAATAAAGAAATCTTTCCGTTTAAATGAAAGAATTCTCCAAAAGACAGTTACTCACCATGAATATGCAAAAATATTATTTCCTTTTGGTCCTCTTTTGCAATAGTGAACAGTGCCAGTTTTCTTTGGTAACCTGTTCATAGTAATGGGGCTGTTAAAACTTCACTCATTACTCCCAAGGTAAAATTTATTTATTTCATGATTCTCTCTCCTGACTACAAAATATTTTCTTTTCAGCACAAACACTTTACCCCAAACAACTTAACAGACAACTTAACACAGCCTTAAGGTTAAACATTTCTAGACAAAACAGTCACACTAACAACTTCTTACCGTATTCGACAAGAATCAATGATCAACAAGTTTAAGGCTGTATCACATGCTTGCATGGTTTCAAGAATCTCCTGAGCACGCAGACTGTCTTGACGATTATACTTCAGATTTGCATCAACTGGAAGAAGAAAGTTTTCTCCCCCATCCTCATATCCATGACCAGCATAGTAGAGTACTCCATAAACACCCTTGCCTTAAATCAAATGAGAATTGATTTGAAATTATAAACTTGCAATAAAGTTTAGTATGAATATGAATAGCTTCTGGCTCTCAGCCACGGCTCTGAGTGCCAGATGCTATGAAGGTACTTTGGTTATCATTTTACTATAACTGAGTTCTCCTAACTTAATTTGAAAAAGAAAAATGAAATAGAAAAGATTTTGATCCAAGACCATTACCTGATCTTAGTAGGCAATATGTTTTTCTTTTGCAGTTACATATAATTTCTGTTTTGCATCAACAAAATTTTTAAATTCTGTGATTTTTTTAGCTCAATTGGTGGAGAGTTGTGACAGTGCTTTAGTGAGACTCCCATAATGATTGAAACCAGTTGAAAGTTACTCACCTAAGAGTCTGCAAAATGAAAGAACTGCAATCCTCATCTCACTCAGTGAAAGATTCACCAAAGCCACAACCTAATTAGAATAAAGAAATCCACAGCTTAGTTTGATCTCAATTTTTTATCAATAAGTGCTGGCAGTATTGACCAAAATGAGATTCAAAGTCACTGTGTATTTGTGGGTAGTGTCACTAAATGGTGATGAGATGGATATGAAGATGATATCTGAAGCTATCTTGACTAGCAACACAAGCTGGTGAAGAAGTCATTTATCAACCTTGTTCCCAGGCTACATGTACTTTCTCACATGCTTAGGAAAATACATGTATTCTTTGTGCCACCTCTTATAAAACATAACTACTCTCAGTCAGTTAACAGTCAGTGTCAGCCAATTCACAGTCTGCAGTATAAGCAAATGTCATAAACCAAAGTTTTGGTAGCAGAAGCCATCAACCCCTTAATTAACTCCCAAGGGCAACCAAGAAAGAATTTCTCCTTACAATATCAAAACAATATCAAACAGTAAAGTAACAAGAATTAAGAAACATATCAATTTGGGGATTTTTTGTTGATCCAATACCAAATTCTCCAAACTAACATCAAGAATTGTATGGTAGGCAGTGCTCTCCTGAATGGAGAGAGTTACTGTTAGTTTCAAGTGTCTTTCCCAAAGACACAATTCATACCCACACCACATTATACGTTGGAAGAGGTTAACCATAGAGCTTTTATCATCTGGCATGTAGCAACAGGCAGGTTTTACAATATACAAATCAGTACAAAAATATCATTTAGCAAAAGAAAATCAATCAAAACCCATGACTAAGAGAGGTGCATGACTCGTACATTTTTAACAGTTCTGGGATAATTGCAATCCTAAATCATCGTTTAAAGAAACAATGTCACACATGAGCTAACTCTGACCTTAAATCCAAGAGTGAAAAGGACTTGTGCCACATCGTATGCATCTTTTTCAGCATAGAACAGCCCTTTTAGTTTCCCACACTCATACTGCTGGTTTCCAATGACAAGAGCAACTTTGTCTGATACCACTGGGGGAATGAAATATTGAATGATTAAGTCCACTTTTCATATGTTTCATTATGTAAAAATACAACAAACTCTTTAATAAGCCATAAAGGGGTTTTTAGAACATTGAAACACAAGACAGAGTGGTTATTGGATTAAAGGTTTATCAAATTTAAAAATGCTTATCAACCCTGCAAATAGTCATTTCTCTCCTGAACCAGCTATCACCCAGCTTAAATTGATAACTAGGTTACGAAACCTAAAAAAGATTTAAAACACAAAAGGGTTTTAAGTACAAATATATTTTGCAGTGTACTGCTGCCACACACCCAAATGAACCAAAGTAACAATACTTGGGAATAACATTTTGCACCACGTTAAATACACAAATATATTACTAACAGTAACTGGTCCAATGAAAAGACTTCTCTATTCACATTGCTGCTTTTATTTCCTTTTGCAAATTTCATTCCATTATTTTTCCCACAGAAAGGAATCAATTACTCTTATGGCTCCTAACAACACTATAACAGCTGTTTTCAATTTATTAGTAAAATGACATGTCTCCTGTTATAATAAATGTTAAATTTTGTCATTTGAAATATTCACCTGGTCGTGGTGGACTTTCTGGAGCAGTACTTGGTTGTCTCATTGAACTTGGCTCTAACACAACATTTCCATCTTGAAGGTCAGATCCTTTATTTGAAACCAAAATTTTATCATAAATAATCAAACTTTTGTTCAAGAAACATAGTTCACATTTGACAAGGAGAACAACTCAGACTTCTTGAACATGGAAACCTTTAACTTCTGCATGCTTATTGATATGACAGATAATTACAGAAAAACACTGATGAATGATGATAACATTGAGAGGCAATAATATCTTACCATTTTGTCGATCTGTTGCAGGATGGCGGACTTCATCCAAAACCACACCAAAAGCAACAAACAAAAACAAATAAACAAGAACAGCTTTAGTCTCAGAGCCTTTTTTCTCTCTTTAGATGACTTCCTATTTAATTTTTTTCTGTACATTGCTTTCACTGTTCATGAAAGTGAGAGGGAGCCTATCATTAAATGTATCTAATATGTAGATTGCAGTTATATAATAAGAAAGATGTGAAACTTTAAGCTTAGTCATCTAATGAAGATAGATGGCAAAGTGTATTTGTTTTGCTAGCATGCAGTACAAGGAGTAAAGTTTTAAAACTTTTTCCTTTGTTTTGATTCAGTTCAATTAGACTTGGCTTCAACCCTCAGCTTTAAATTCTCCGAACTAACACCAAGAATTGTATGGTAGGCAGTGCTCTCCTAGGTGGAGAGAGCTACTCTTAGTTTCAAGTGTCCTTTGTTTTGATTCAGTTCAATTAGGCTTAGCTTCGACCCCGGCTTTAACAGCAAAGTTATTTCTCCACACATTGTGTGTCATCACCAAATCTTGTCTTTGGTTGACTTAGGTAACTTGAAATTATGAATCAAAAGCTTTAAAGAACTGGGCACCTTAGATTTCAGAGTCAAGGGCCTTCAAACAAGCATCTTGTGATTGTTCTTATGCAACAGCTTTGTATAAAACCATCCATCCATACCTTGTGGTCTTGGTTCCAAAGCTAAAGGGGATCCATAATCAGAGAACATTGTGTGCTGAACATTTGCAATGATTTCTTGGTAAGGACGAGATCCTAAAACATTCAAAATAGTCTGTTACTTTACTCACTTAGTACAACAGCATACCACAAAATAATACTAAAAGCTTAATAAAAAAAAAAAAAAAAAGAATCACTGGTCCTAATAAATTTAGGAGGAAGAGTTAAGAAGTTGGTTCAGTGCCACCCTTAAAACAGAGTTTCCAAAGACAAGCTTCACCAAATAAAGCTCACCTTCTATTGAAGTATAGTTAGGATGCAACTAACTTTATGGTTCCTGTTATCTTCTTGCATAGTTACAAAGTCTATTCCCACCAACTCTACAGAGATGCAGGGGGAGGGGGAAAGTTTAGAAGGTCAGCGGTATTGTTCTTTTAACCCTTCAACTCCTCGAAGTGATTAAAATGTAACTTCTCCCAATAATACTCATACAATATCTAAGAAACAGGTAATGAGAATACTAAAAAAACTATCCAGGTAGAAGCTGCTACCTTGATTAACATCTAGTTCTTGTAACTATTTTATAAGGAAATGTGTAGCAGCTAGAGGGGAGAATTAACAATCAGATCTTGAGAGTGAAAGGGTTAAAAGGAAAAATTCTTCAGTGGGTAGGAATCTTCAAAAAATAATTCAAACTTTAAAATACAGTCAAATAACTGCATTTCCAATAACACTTACTGCCATCATCCCCAACACAATATGCTGGCCTGGGTGGTGTTAAATTGTTATTGTACAGGTATTCATTCTCTTGAGGTGGGCGTGTTTCTTTCAAATCTAGACCACAGAATATGTTAAAAAACCTGTCAATTAATGACTGGCTTTGTTGAATGACACCTTAAAACTAGATCACTCTCATTTACATGTGTATATTAGTGTGTGAATTTTTTAGAGCAGTATAAAAAATTTGACAGTACTTAATGTAGTTGTGTGGTCTTAATTCTATATTCTGCCTGAAGAAAACATTCAAAATCATTATTTTTAACAATATCATATTTGTTCTTGCTTCCACATTTCATTGCAGATCCTTCAACTTTAAGGCTGAGTTGACAAACTAATTTCCCACATCAACAAAATGCTTTTAATGGCTACCTCTCATCTTTCTTAACGAGGTTAACAAACTCTTTGCTGCTCATCAAAAAAACTGAATGGCATAAATAAAAAACAAAATGACAATTACTTGGAAAAACTCTTGCTTTTGCAAAGTGTGATTAACTTATAATAATATAATAATAACAATAATAATTCGTGATCATAGCTTATAACTTATTTAGTATCATCTGAAGTAAATACCTGTAGGTAAAATTAGTCTTGCATGTACAGTGAGACATTAAGTAATGTTCTGTTAGGGCTGTTATGTAATATCAGTAACATATATATAGTGTTATAAATAAAAAGCACTATTTGCTTGTCTTTGAATATAAATATAAATATTCTCTTAAATTCAATCAAGAGCAAAATTAACAAACCTCCAGTGGAATATGCTCCAAATAAGTTACCACCAATAGGAAAAGGTGCTTCAGGAGGGAGAGTGACATGCGTGGGCTGGTAATCTTTTCCGCTTGGATACTGTGATAACTCTAGAGTAAATAATACCAGTTGATATGTTTTAAATGGAACTATTGTTATTAGATTTATTAAATAACTGCCTCCAGCAGAAGGTAATATCACATCAACACTGTCCTAATTAGCTACCCAAGTCCCCCTTCTTCACTTGGGAATGCCAATCTTGACTCCATAAAAAGAAAAGTTCATGTCCCCAGGTTAGAAAGTGTATATTAAAAATGAGAAGTCCCCTCACCATTGTTTCAAACTCAATTCCTTGAACCCTGTAGTTAGATGAGACTGGCATTTTAAATAGGGCCTTACATTTATCAACAGTTTGCTATGTTCTGACACTTTTTCAGGCTTGTTCTTTTATTACCAATCTGCCGATACCCACTGTAAGTTTGAACAATTTTTCCCTTTGTCATCATAATAAACAAACTGTTGGTAGTCTTCTCTGATTAGATAGAGCTGTTTTTGAACAGTTTACAATGTTCTGACATTTTTTCAGGTTTTTATTCTTTTGTTACCAATCTGCTGAGACCCACTGAAAGTTTGAACAATTTACTCCCATGTCATCAAAACAAACAAACTGCTGGTGGTCCGCTCTGATAGGATAGAGATGTTTGGTTTTTTCTATGTTGATATCAAGAATAAGTTAGTTGATAAGTGAAGGTATAAATTATGGTTTGTCTATTTTTAAAATTGTTTGAATGATATTCACTGTTCTCCAAATTATATATATTTACCATAACTATACATATTGATTTTTGACCGGAGGTTTTGTAATAATTTCTGTCACAAGGTCTGAAATACTGAGCCTAAAAGTAAATTTTTGACCCCATCTTACAGCCTTTATCTGTAAAGTTAGTTCAGTGTTGTTATTTTTGAAATTTTACAAACTAAATGTACCCAGACTGCAGGTGATTTTTGTACTGTTTTGAGTCCTTTACCACCAAGCACTTGCACCCACATTAGTGATATTACTGTATGACTACTAAATAATTTAAAAGTACTGTAATCAGGTATGATGATTGTACTAGCTTTATACATTGCTGATTGTTAAATGAAGACAGAGTATAGAAAGGAATGGAAGAGTGAGTGTCTCCTGACTGACCACTAAACGAACGCACAACAATGTTGGTTTCTTAAGTGCACATACTGTGGTATATAACCCATACCAGCAATGATTGACGAGAGCACCAAATAAATAAACAGCCAGGGCACTGAGAAAGAGGTTAGATGCACATTAGAAACAAACATCATCTGCAGCCTGGAAGACCAGTAACATGCCAATCAAGTGATTCAATGGGGGAGGGGAGGTGAGATCAACTGCCATTACGAGGAGACCCTTGACATCAGAAGGGAAATCAAGGAGGCTTTTCATATCCCACACCAATGTCGATTGTAATACAGAGTTAAGGACTATGAACTGTTGAAGACTGTGAGACAGGATCAAAAGTCAAGAGGCTGCAAAAAATAATGAGTGGGAAACTACAACTTCTTTACTTATTTGTTCACCCCTTCTCTTAACCCTTTACCTCCTAAGAGTGACCAAGACAGAATTTTTCCTGACAATATCCATACAAAATCAGGCACACAAGTGATGAGAATAAGGAAAAATATCAATTAGGGGTTTATCATTTGATCATTTATCATTTGATCAATTACAAATTCTTATAACTAAAATTAAAGGAAATGTATGGAAGACAGTTTGGAGAATTACTTTATAAATCTTGGGAGTGAAAGGATTAAGAAAGATAATTTCATCTACTGAGCCACCGTACCTTAATCGTTGAGAAATGTTTTTTCACATGAAAGCTGCTATGAGCTTACTTAAAGATTGAAACGTTCGCTATTGTAAACTAGTCGATCTTTTAGCGGAAAATGGATCTGTATGCAAACAACTGAAGGTCAAGGCTCGAAAAGAAATCAATCAGGAGGTGTTTCTAAAGAAAAATTTCGTTTTAAGGCGATGACAATTTCCAGGAGAGAATTGAAGAAGCTGTTTGTATACAAACGGACGCAATCGAATGGAACCAAAAGGTTACATTCTTTCTACTGATCGAACGAAGCATCAAAAGCAATTAAGTAAAAAATAAAAGAGAGACAATTCAGTTATGCTCACGAAGTTTTATGTCCACGACTGGCTTTTTTTCATTTTCGTAATAGCTTCATACATGCCCATGCAGATCATATTAATAAATGCAAATTTACTGATTCTGGGCATGTTTCTGAGAAAACGCTCAAGCTATTTGATTAGATCTACCTGTAAATTCGACGGGTCTGAGAATGTTAACAGCATCGTCTCTTCCCATGCTTTTTAGAAGTTCAATCAGATGTGTAACTGTTTTGACTTCTCCATTTCTTTCCGAAGACATCCACCATTCGTACAACAGGGACACCGTCGGGTTCTTTTGTCGCTCAAAATTCCTCACGCTTTCGTAGTTATAATTCATTTTCCCAGCAAGAAATCTGAAATCTTTCATTGGATGTCTGGGATTTAGTTTCATACCAAGCTGTTCCAGTATATCCATGCTCAAACAATTCATAAGTGTACTGACTCGCTTCATCTTCTCGGAAGCCATGTTTTCTTCTCCTGAGTAGGGTAGGGTAGGGGCGTGCCTTTCGAGCGTCGAATACGTCAAACAGCACCCCGCTGGTCCGATACTGATAAACAAGCTCCATAAAAGCACCCTTCTCCCCTCCCACTATGAATTGCACTCGCATGCCAATCTTATTGGCTTTGCTACTCGCCGTCTATTCCGCCAGAGACAGTGAGTAAATTAAGTAGCTCAACAATTTGGGGTTGTAAACAAGTTAAAATAGAAACATGTGGCTCTCCAATGATGAGTTTTTGAACGATCATTGGACTATTGAGCGACTAGTGGGGTTTGCCGCTGGTGCTGTAACAATATTGAGAGCCTCTCACTCCGTTACAAGTATATATATTCCTATCATGCTTTAACCTCATCCTCACAGTAAAAGAAGCAACGTCTTTTTGTGACTTGTATTTTACAATTCTAACTTAAATTCATTTACATAGAATATATTAAAGTTCACACGACAACCAGGTGGACAATCAGACATGGTTTGATGCTATTCTGGTTTACAGATTTAATGAATGTAACCGAAGAAGTTACAATTCATAGACCCAACGTTTCGACACTCCTGTCTAGTGTCTTCATCAGGGGTGATCTAAACGCTGCAACAAGAGGTCCTTTTATATGATAACTAATTAGCGAACTTTTTTTCTGACGAGGTGTAAATAGGCGTCAGGAAGCAAACCGCCATCGTCACGATTTAAAGGAGCGTGGACGGGGTTAATATGCCAAGCCTCCAAACAAAGGTGCTGATGGTCACGCCGATAAGTGGTGATAATTTTAGGATTATCCCACCCAATTGTATGGTTAGTTAGGCATGTGTGCTCCGATAAAGCAAAAAGAGCACCAAAAAGCGGTTTTCCTTTGCAAAAAGGAAAATTCAGCTTTATCGGAGCACACACTGTAAACCAGAGTAGCATCAAACCATGTCTCATTTACATAGCTTTTTTGTTCTTTTTTTTAACCATAAAAATCTAAACTTTTATTTCGTTAACACACTTTAGGTGAAGGCTAAAAACTCTCTCGGTGCCATAGGGATATTCTTATGTTTGCCTTCATACTTACGCGCAAATGTAAGTCTTTCCTAACAGACCTAGAGCAAGCGCATAAATCAAATCTTCCAAAATTTTCACATTTTTCTTTTTTAACACAATTTGATCAGCGCCAAAATTTCTCTCTCTCAATTACAGTGAGCTCTCTCTTGGGTAACCGCCTTTGGTGCCGGAAAAGCAAAACTAGTCTCAAATTTTGCGAAAGATCACAGCGATTTAAAAAGTTGAAGGACTTGTCTGGGCGGGAGACAACACGGCAAGAGGGATTTGTGATAATGACCTGTTGCAGACACTTTGTTATAACTTTTTACTTATTGTCTTTTCCTTTACGCTTTGATTTCCTTTGTTCCGACATATCATCAAGTCTTTTGTCCAATTTTCTCTGTAGCTGCGCTTTACGAGTCACGTCCAAAGCTTTTGGTTTCCCCGCCTTTGGCTTGCTAGCTTGTTGTCTAGCTCTCAATTTTGCCGCTTCACCACAACCATGAACCTCGGGGATATGATGAGACAAGCAGAACGTACCATCACAACATTTACACAACTGTCCAAGAGTTCTAATACTTTTTTTGCAGCCGTCGAAGCCACATTGTGTGTCTAATTTGTTAAAAGAAGCCAATAGTTTGTCAAAGTCTTCTTCTGGTTGTAACGCTGACAAGGATTTGGTTTTAAGTTTTGTCTTCTGCGGCTTCGCACTTGGCGGAGCCGACATCTCCTGATTCCTTTCTGCTCTGTTTGTTTCGGCCAGTTTAGATCTCTGCATCTGGTCGCAGCGAAGAGAGTGTAGCTGGAGATTACAGGCTGGGACTCGTTTCTTGCAAAAGGAGCATGTGCTCAAAAGGTCGGAATCATCTTCGTCGTCTACAAAAGACGGAGAAATATTAGAATCTGAACATTCTAACTCCACGGCTCCTGCGGTGAGCCATTAAGGGTCTGGAGAAAGTCGTTGCTTGTCTCTAAATCTTTTCCCGCCTCATACCCGCTAAGGCAAAATATTGCCGTGAAACACGTTCAGTAGCTTAAAAAACGCGAAAAAGAACTTGACACGGAGACTGGTTCTGGAAAATAAATGTGACGCTTCCATTTTCTAAGGGAGTTTCCATGAAAATGATAAATTCTGCTCGAAAGCCGTATCCTAATTAAACTCTGCACAAATTTTGGGGAAATTGGAAAATCCCGCCCTATTAGTGAGCTCGGTGTCTGCTGCTACAATCAATGCACTCTGCTCGAAATTTGGTGGCAAAATTAATACAAGCCTCACAAACAAAATCAGCAATGTAAGGTACATTTTTCTTTGGCGTCAAAAGTATCCCAGAAATACCTTGGATGTGTTTCACTTGGTTCATTCTATCTCAGCCAATTAGAAGCAAAAATAAAACTGACCAATCGCGAGCTGGTCATTCGCGTTTACTCGCGCTTCTAGCAGTTTACTTATGCCTACAATGCGCTTTAATCGGCTATTTTAATCAATTTAGTCTTGGTTAGCGACCCTTCATCGAAAAGTAGCCTGTGAAAAATTCTGATTTGCAATCGCTTAAGTTGAAATTTTCGCGCGAATTTAACCACCAATCAGAAACCTCGCATTGATTTCCAGACGTGGGTTTTTGAGAGTGTGTCAAAGTTTCCCGCAGTGCGTTGCAAAACTACTATCGCATAAACACACTTATTTAATTTAAACTTGTCAAATAAAGTTGGTGAAAGGATGGGTAAAAACAAACCTTTTGAAGCTGATATCGCTTTTCTAATCACGATATACCTCTCCTTTCCCTCTCCATGGCTTTCATGACAGAGAGACAACTTCTCTGCAATACTGTGAACATCAAACCTCTGTTGTGAGCTCAGCGACTTCGGGAAAATCAACTCCTTCTTCGTAGCATCCTGAGTGAAAGCTACAATTTCTTTTTCAACATTTTCACGGCTGTAATTCGTAACCGCATTACTGATATTTTTACTTTTTTCTTGCTTCATTTTTTTGACATTCTTTCCAGAAATTTGTTCGTTGTTTTCTTCGGTAAGATTGGATGCTTTATCAGAAACAACCGACGAAACATCTTTTTTCTCCTCAGCTCCGCTGAATTCTAATTTCCTTGTGCCCTTTCCGCTTTCAGAATTATCTTTTGATTTCAAGTTCTTTTCTCCTTTTACATCTCGTTCTTCAGAATCGGGTCTTGTTTCTCCTGTGCTCTTTTTTTTCCATTCATTACCTGTCATTTCAGACATGGAAACTTCGTCCTGCTCGTACGTGTAACAGTTAACACTAGTTGGAAGTGAATCCTGGAGATATTCATGAGCCGATCGCACCTCTCCTTCGCTGCTCATGTATTCCACTAGGGATTTTAGAAAGTTATCATGATTGACAGTCTCGGAATCAGCAACAACAGCCAGGTGGCGACGAGCTCGAGTAATTGCAACGTTAATTCGTCTGTGTTCGGCGAGAAAACCAACTTCACCTAAAAGAAAAAAAAAGATCGATGAAAAGGCATTTGAACAGTTGCTACATGGAGAAGAAAAAAGCGCTCAGTTTTGGTACACAGTGACAGCAAATTTCAGGACAATGTGGGATCATAAGCTTAGATTAAGGATTATCTAAAAAATTTTAATAAGAGAATGGTTACAAAAAGAGAACCAAAAAAATCAAAACTAACAAACAAAACAGGCAAAAAAACAAAAAAGAAAGGGTTGGTTTACTTTACTTTTAAAAATAAACCGTCACGTAGTTATAATCAAATCAATTTAATGTCTTACATATATGGCCCAATTGTATCCAAAGGGGACTAAAAGTCACTTCGTTATTGCGTAAATGCAAAATTGAAGGCTCAAGTTTTGTGGGGCTTTATCAAAGTGCAGGAAAAGCCGAAAAAAAACCATAAAACTAAATAATATTAACACAATACTTGAATTAACTTGATCGTAAGTGGAGCAAATTTGATAAAGGCTGAAGTATGTTACCCTTTTTGTTCGAACGGACCAGTGATATAACAACAGCTTCCTTCTCTCTTCCTTGAAAACCATCCACAGATTTGATTTCTAACGCTGGATACTTGGAAGAGAGACGTAATCTGAGTAGCTCCACCTTAAAAGTATTGGGCAAAGAGAGAAATGAATAAAAGAAAATTTAAAAGAAAAAATATTTAAAGAAAAATTTTAACTTCGCTCTGTGATTGGTCCTGAAAACTTGCGCTACTCTCTCCTTCAATCAGATGCAAAAACCAAAAAGTAACGACGGCTCATTCTCTTGCCTTTTCTGGTGCTTCAGGAAGCCCTGGCACTGATGTATGGGCTTCAGGAAGCCCTGGCATTGATAAGCCCCCATCCTCCCTCTCCAAAGCTTATCTGAGTCTTTGATAATTTGTAGTTACCAAGGTAACCTTTCAACAAAAATAGACGTGTCAGACCTAAGTTATCTGTTTCAATCTACCTGTAAGTTGTAAGGTGCGATGACGGCGATGTCATTAGGTTGGAGCCCAGCCGTCATAAGCGCCATGACATGCGCAGCGACGATGTCAGCCTCGCCTTCATTCCCTTTTGACACTTCATCTTCCACCTCCTTTTCTCTGACGTCACATCCCGCGGTGTCAATCAAAAGAAGTGGAATTGACGTCTCGTCTGTTTCTTGAACTCCAGGAAGATCTTTTAAAAGATGTGAATTCACAGAGCTGTCTGCGTTAAGTCGACCATCGTACAGTTTTTCAGACGACCACTTCATAATCGCCTCATTCATTCTGTAACAAAATTAACATGTTTTGTTTTACGTTTGATAACTCAAGATTTATTAGTCCCGAGAAAACGATAGAGAAAACTGTCGTTTTCCGCCAGGATTCGAAACCAAGTTCCTTCTGCCCGTTGTTCTCTCCACCACTCAGCACCAGAGTAAAACCGTCGGGGTGAGGGGGGGGGGGGGGGTAAGGGGTATGGGGTATGTTCAGGTCTAGAAACTTGCTAAAACATTTATTCCACCTTCACAGCACAAATTACACAGGATGTGGATTGGGATTTGTTAATGAGATTTCACCCTTGAAGTTCAAGATTTGAAGCCGTTACGACCAAGAAAAATACATGATTGTAACAAAAAAAGAAATAATGCCTTCTTTTTCATTTGAAGGAAAACTTCAATGACTAGGATTGCGTGGCACTCGAGAACACGGAGCGAACAAGGAGCGTTTCGCTTGTTTAAAGATAAATAATTTCCACTTTCCAAGTGCAATAATTACAATGTTACAAACCTGTACTGCGTTGTTAACATGCGCACGGCTCCATCTCCCAGCATTTTTATGAGCCTCTCCATTAAAGTGACATCTAACCCTTGTTTGGCCGCTTTCTTGGATAATATTGTGGGAGGTAACTGAAGATGATCACCTGCAAGAACACACCTAGCAAAAGAAAACAAACGCAAAGATACAATAAGGCTCACGCAAATAATACACTTACCCCAAGAGGCTACCTTACTCGCTTAACACAATTCAGGAAACTTCGATTGTGGTTGGTTCAGTGCGCAGTTTTTTGGGTGAGTGAAATTCACCGCAGAAACACAAAATATGCAGCTAACGGTCTTATTACCCTTCAACAATTGGATCTAATTATAGCAATACTAGTTTAAATTTCCTAACACCTAAAATATGTAATTCTGTCACAATTCACATTTGCTTCTTTTTCACAATTCAAATTATTAAATGTACTGGGTTTCCTGTGGTGTTTGCTTACCTTGACGCCCGTAATAAAGGTATCCAGCAGCCAGCCTCGAGAGATTGCGCAGCCTCATCAATAACAACCAAATCAAAGTGGTCTTGCTTGACAAGTTTAAGGGGACCATCAGATGACGCACTAGTATTGGTTGCCAGGACAACATCAGCGCTGGTAAGAATTTCTGTGACAGCTTTATCCTCTCTTTGCTTCAGCTCTCCTCGTAGAGATTTTATTTCTTGTTTGAGGTGCTTCTTTTCTGATTGATTCCTTGATTTTCTTACTTTTGACTGATGACAGCAGGGAACCAAAAGACAAAAGGAATAAAAACTTCCATCAAGCTCTCAAATTTGCTAACTGAAAAGTAAATAAGCTCAAAAATTGCTCTGGACTTCTATGGAATTCACAGAGACCCTTGCTCATAGGAAGCCATGTTGCTGGGAAAGCAAATGATTTGCAATAATGATTCTTTTCATACATCTTTCATTAAATCCATCAAGTATTTATGAACTCTGTTAAAGCAACAAGCTTTTCTATATCTAACTGCCTTGATCTTCCTCAAAACCAAGACAAGTTGCAACAGAAGCAGAGCTTCTTATGAGAAATTCTGTCTATATTCCAAATGCGAGGAAAAGCATAAGCCTGGGGCAAGCAAGTTGCTAAACATCCTGGAAACCCCATTCAAAGAAAATAATAGAGTGGGAAGAAAACAAAATGGTTGTTTATGTTCAGCACAAAAGTATACTTGAAATCTAATCAAATTAACTATCATGTTACACCAAATCTCTCTCTGGCATGTTTATTTTCCCCTAAGTCTCCATGGATAGAGGGGACTAAGGAGAGCATACATTTTTCCCAGACCCTAGCTGATTTTTGCTCATCTCCATGGCCTGAAGGACCAGCACAGGCTATTAATAATTGTCCATACCAGTGTATCATCAATGTCTTTTCTGACATCTTGCACAATGGCTGTTCCTTCAGAAGTAGACAGCAAAGCATCCAAAGAATGATCCTGAACAACACTCAGCAGTCGAGCAGGGTGACCAATCCTCACAACCTGAAACACAATAATCAATCACAATTAAAAGAAAAGAACCTCAGTTTGTATTCAGGAGTCAGTCAGTCAAATTTGTTGGTTACCCTGTATAGTTTTGCTAGCTATCTGATCATAGGAAATTAATGCTCGTGTTATGAAAAGTATTTGAAATTGAAGTGAATTGAGAGAGAAATTCCTTTGTCAGGACATTTCAATCAAAAGGAAATTTTGGATATGTCTGCCAGATGGGAATTCACATTTAATTTACTTGTGTCATAAAAATTTTCCCAACAGTTACTTTAAATTAGTAATTAAAACATTACCTTAACTTTGCTTTTAATCAACTTTTCAACCATGTTGTCAACAGCAACATTTGAAGGTGCACAAGCTAATACCTTGAAGGAAAATGAGCCATGAGATACATATGATGACCTGAGGCAAAATTCTTCTTTTTTTTTTCTTTAAATGGATTAAGTACAGCAATCTTCACTTAACACTACAAGTATTTTAAAGCATTTGCAACAGTTGAAGTGTAGCCATTGTTAATATAAGATTGAAAAAATATGGGAATTGTGAGAAGACAAGAACAACTAGCTGGGAGGAGTAGGAAAAGGGATAGCGACAGACCCCTCCATAGAGACAGAGAAGGAGCACTCACTTATAAAATAATTAAAAATTTTATTCTATTGTACTGACGTATCCAACCTACACTTAACCTTTTAACTCCCAATACCGGATTAAGTTAAATGTTAATCATGTTGTTGGTAATCACTTTTGGGAGTTAAAAGATTAAGGGTACTCTTTAAAAGGTTTAACTCCTTAGCTGCCAACTCCATTGAGAAGTCCTGTGCCAATACAAATGGATTAAATATTTTTCAAAATTGTAACTTACTTTAAGTTTTAGAGGCCAGTTTATTTTACATCTCCAGTGCCAGAGATTTGACTGTTACTCTCAAACTTTTGACATACTGAGTATGTCATGTAAGCACACAATATCCAAATTTTGTGACATACACAGTACATCTAGCAGGCAATAAAGGAGTTGAGAGATAAGTTTTACCCTTTATAGATCTCTAATCTAAAGAAGTCCAGTGTACTTTAAATCTATCACTCTTAAAGTTTAGGGACAAAAATCAACAAAACATCTAAAATCTTCATTTACCTTCATTTTAAGATTTCTCACAGCCTGAGTGATAATCTCAACAACAGTTGTAGTTTTCCCAGTCCCAGGTGGACCATGAACTATCGCCACTTCTCTCTGACACAATGCAAACCTAACTGCTTGCCTCTGTGAATCATCAAGACTTTGATTGAAGAAGATGCATGGCATCTCTCCTCCTTCTGTGAAGGGTCTGATCTGTAATGGAGGTCCAGGAGGTACATTCCCAAACAGTACATCAATCAAATGAGCAGCTGGCCCCTCTCTGTACTTTGTTAAGGTGTCAAGGGCACTAAAGTGGTAAAGAAGAAAATTAACTTTTCTCAACTTGAGTTGTTAGTTCTATGCCATGATAAACTTGTCCACTCATGGTGAAGATGTTCTCTTCTGACTAGCCAAAGTAAGATAATGCTTTAAAAATTTGAAGACAGGTATAATGATTCCAGAAGGTTATTAATTTTGCCTTGGATGTTTGATATTTTGTTGGTGAGAGGGTGGAGAGGCAGAGAGGTGAGGAAAGGAGAGGGAATTGTCCTGTACCACACAGTTAATTGTAAGAGAGGAAGAAATTTGATAAACCCAAAATTTTAAGAGGGCACGCAGTTTTTAACAGTTTTCTTGAGAGTGTATTGTGATTTTTGCCAAAATGACCACAAATCAGCTAAGAAAAAAATTATGACTAAAATCTTACATCATATCACAGTACCACACACAACATAAAAAGGTAAAATAATTAAAAAAACCAACAACAACAAAAACAAATAACAAAATGAACCTCACCAGTGAAATACAATTGAAATAATAATATTCTACAGATAATAAGGCAGAAAAAATTAACTGGTTTGACAGGGTTTTAACTCAATCCTCACGGGCATTAGTTGGATACTACTTCCATCTAAACTAAAAGCTACATGTTTAGAGCAAGGCAAATATTAGAGGGTTGTTTGTTCCCTGTTAAGAAATCACATTCCTAAGCAATTTCTTTTATTGAACTTCACCTGTGAAGATCATTTTATAACTTGTAAAGTTTACATGACATAGTGAGTGCAGCTGGTGGCAAAGTCTGGCCTCTAATCTCAGATGAAGACTGTTAACCCTTTCACTCCCAAGATCTCATTAGTAATTCTCCTTACTGTCTGCTACACAATTCTTATGATGTTATTTCAGATAATTTGGTATTGGATCCACTTATAATCCCATGATTGATATTTGTCTTTATTCTCATCACCTACATGCTTGATATTTTACTGATATTGTAACAAGAAATTCTGTCTTGCTCACTCATGGGAATTAAAGGGTAAAGAGTAGTAGTAGCCATAGCAAAGTGCACTGGTTTGGCTGAGTAATAATGACCAATATCTTCTGACTGGGTGATTTAATTACCTCTTGATTCTTTTGTGAGTTACATCATTTGCCAATTTGATTAGTTTAAATGGACCATCATCATCAAAACTGAGGTTGTCAGCTGTTTCATCAAATGCTACAGTAACAACTGTCTGGGAAACACGGCTTACAATTCCAGAGGCAATATCACTTGCTGCTTGATTGGAATTCAACCAACTAAGTCCCACTATGTCTCCTGAGTAAAGAGAATTCGAACATTACATCTATTTGATTCATTGTAGTGCGTTGTGGATTGTATCTTCATGAAAAAGTGGAGCTAGATTGTCCACCAGAACATCGAATAATTTGGGCCCAGGGCGAGCACGTTAATAGCTAACGATTGTAACTTTTCACTGCATCAGATAAAGAAACAATACTTGCCAGGTGTTAAAGAATGTGTCGGGAGTTTGCCATCAGAGCCAGGCTTATTTATCTCGAAGGTCAGAAGAAGTCGTCCATACAAGCCCGTCCTTCGGCTTCGGATACGAAGTTTCAACAGACAAACGCCCCTTCTTTGAAGCTCCTTTGGACTGACATTCTCTTGAAGAGATTTTGTCTCCTCGATTTCAGCTTTCCTTTCTAAACTTAGGAGAGAAATTGTCTTTACTACAAATTGAGACACGTCGACCGCCATTATGGCTCATTGTAGTGCAGCGAAAATGAAGTACAAATGAGTTGTTGGTGTGATCAGCTCCTCTGACAACTAACAATGCAGGCTCGACTATTTCCGGTTCTGTTGTTCTTTAATTACATTCAGTCCAGACATTTGAAATATTTTTTAAAGTTATTTTACATTATTTCATTGATAAGCTATATAACGACTTCAATGTTTGCAGAAATGAAGGGTAAGTAACCAAGCTTTTAAAACTGTCAGCCTTCCTAAAAGTTTGGGAAATTTTCACATTTTTATTGAACACAAAATTTTAATCCTCTCTTGTGAGGATGTTATTGAGAGATAAGGGATATTTTCAGGGGGCTGAAAGCAGAGACTGATATTTTTTAAGTGAACCCATGAAAAGTTTTTACTAACAAACATGCACACTAACAAACAATTTTAACTGCAGAAATTTGGGCCATAGCGGTTTTGGATCTCTGAAAATGGCCTCGTTTTAACTAGGTTCCTTACGTTACTTTTCATGTCCTCCACATGCGTGTACAAGCCTGTCACCCTTAATAGAATTAATATGCCTAGCTTGGCTAAAAAATTATGTAGTGGATATCAATCTTACGATGCAAAGTGGATAATATACAGTGGATTAATAAGTGTTAGCGAGGAGCTCAAATCTTTTTGTAATTAACAATTAATTTTGTTTTCACAGCTTGCAGCCGTTTGATTTTGAATTCTGAAACAAAAAAAAAGTATCCAAAGTGGGAAATATGAAAACATTTACATCAGTCCTTTCTTTTAGCTCTCCAGGAGGCGATTGCAACGTCTCTTTTTTCTAAAATGAGATAGTCTTAGTATTTAAATGGCATTTAATATTTGAATCAATTTAAATTCCCGTTGCATGGTACGCATGATTTGCTGCATAGTCATGCAAATTTCTCTTTTGCGTGACTCTAAAATTTGATTGGTTCAGCGTTCGCATCTGTTTTGCTGTCCAAGCATTTGATTGGCTAACGATTCAAACGCAGTTTGTTTGAATGATTTCTAAACTGTCGAGCTTCTTCGAATCAGTCATTTCCTTCAAGCGAATGTAAAGTTCGTTCTGTGAATGCTTACTTTGATCTATGATCAGTAATCTCGTGATTTAATTTTTCACAATTACTAATCAGTTAAAAGAGCCGAAAGCGAAATTATTTCCTGTTTCTTTACACTGGTAGCCGAAAACAAGCTTGATAAGCGACCAACAACCTCGAGTAAAGATGCACAGGGCAACATCTAGGGAGAAGTTCAGTTCTGCAAAACTTCCTAAAGAACTGGATCAGTATATCGTAGATCCTACAACGAAAAAACGTTATCACCGCGGCCGTTTCCTTGGCAAGGTACATACGGTTATATAAAAGTATAACCCCTAAGCAACGCGAGCACACGAAGGTTTGATCGCATGGTCAATCTTCAAATGTCTTAAACACTTGTTGCTCTTCGTGATCTTTCAGGGAGGATTTGCAAAATGTTACGAGCTCACCGATATGGAGACGAAGGAGATCTTGGCGGGAAAGATAATTTCAAAGACCATGTTGACGAAACCGCACCAAAAAGAAAAGGTGAGCAATTAAACTATGGACGCCGAAGTATGGACTAGTCGTTGTTCCGTTGTAACACTGAGCTTATCAACCTAAATTTGTTTAATTGAACTCTCGTTAAGCCTAATTCGCGATTCAATTTCTGTAGATGTCCATGGAAATTGCCATTCATCGTTCAGTGGGACAAAAGAAAAGTCTTGGCTCCCAGCCGCACAGACATATCGTTGGTTTTCGTGGATTCTTCGAAGACGATGACTATATTTATATTTTACTGGAGTTATGCAGAAGAAGGGTATGTAAGACTTTAGGAGGAAGCTGTGGAAGCTATAATCTTGTCAGGGTTACGTATTTAAAGAATATTTTCACTTATCATCGTGATTTTCAAGACCTATTAAACTTTTTTTTTTTGGTGTTAGAGACCGTTCGATCCGCCGCTCATCCATAAAATAATTTATGCAATCGAAGGCGAATATTTGAAATAAACGACGTCGATGTGCTGATAAACAGGACGCACGAAAAGGCCATTTTTTGTGTTTACGATAGGAAAAGAGTAAGAAAATTGTGTGCGTGGCAAATTCTGCCTTAAAATCTATTGGAAATAGAATAGTCGATATTTTGAATATTTAATTTAGTTGAATCTTCCACGTATTTGTAAGTTTATACTCCAGCCTTTGTTCTTCGTTCAACGTTTTTACAACTCCACTGAATCGTTTTTAACAATCATTTTTTCCTGCTTGTTGCTTTTCAAATCTACATTATATTTTGACACGCTGCCTCAATGGGAAATCAAAATTACTAAGCCGTAGGGTTTATTTTACTAGACGAACTTTAAAAGGAACTAAGTTCTTTTCCCGAGAAACACCTGTTGATACTCCTAACAGAGCTAAAACATAAATATTACATGAACAATGAATAATAAAAGAAATTTGATATTAATGATTTAGGGTAAAAAAAAAGAACCCTATGTGAGCTGGTAGTATAAAGATTTTTGTCTAAGTTAAATACACTTGTTAGTAATATCGTTTTCCTTCTTTTTTTGCCTCAGTGTAATTTTGATTCTTTAATTTATGCAAAGCGAGATTCACTTAAGATTAAAAAGGAAATTTGGCTGCATGTTCACCTGGCATAAGCAACAACAAAAAACATTAAAAATAAACATTAGCAAAAGTTTTCATAAGACTAGTGTATTAAATAGATTAAATTTTATATTAAGTCTCTGGTTTTGCCTCATCTCCAAAAAAAATAAGTGAAGAAGCTAAAATTAAGTTATTCTTTACAGGTATGCTCACTGAATTGATCTTGCCCAATACCAAAAAACTGCTGTATATTTTGTTTTCTTTTTGTTATTTCTGTAGAAGCATTCAGTACCCAACACTAAATATTTCATTCACTGTTCAGGTTTTCCTCTAATTTATAAGAAAAAATTTGTTGTGAAGCAATCTTGTCTTACTTGGCAAAGCATGCTGCATTTTGAATTAGTTTTATTTCAAAATATCTTTTTAGAAGTATGTTTTCATTTCCTTGGTGCATTAGGGAAATTAATGATTTGTTTTGTTAGTTATGGAGGTTTTGTGAACAATGAAGTTTTTTGAAGTATTTTATTGAAAACATCATGCATGGTTTGATGCGGTTTTATTGTCATGATGAAAATAAATTTATTTCAGAGATGAAAGAGTTTCGAGATAAAAATTTATGAGGTAAATAAAGTCAGAAAAAGAGAAGTCTAAATGGATATTTAATTCTCTTCTTCCCCAGAAAGGTTATATTCACAAACCATGTATAACATGAACACAGTTTTTGAACAATAAAATTTGTATTTAAAAGGGCAGAGTTGCCAACAGGAGCTGGTTTGCTGGCTTGTCTTCAATCTTTAGCCACCTTCTTTTCTCTCATTTCATCATAAACATTGATTTGTTTTTGAGTGCAATTGAATGTATAATTTACCAGTAACAGGTTTAGAAGTGTAAATTTATTCCCTTTTCAGAATTTGCTATAGAATTAGTGTAAATTTCATCAAAAAGTTGCAACAGTTTAGCAGAACAATTCAAAACATAGCTTCCATGATACCCTTGCCCTTTAGTATACCTTAATTACTCTCTACATCAAAACTAGTTGACAGACTGCATGTCCTGGAAGGGTTAAAGCTTATAGTCTGTTGTTTTGTGTATTTCAGTCCATGATGGAACTTCACAAACGTCGCAAAGCCTTGACTGAACCAGAAGTCAGATATTTCATGAAGCAGATTGTTGAGGGCACCAAATATCTTCATGACAATAAAATCATTCACCGTGATCTTAAGCTTGGAAATTTATTCCTGAATGATGATATGGATGTCAAGATTGGAGATTTTGGTCTGGCAACCAGAGTGGAGATTGATGGAGAAAGGAAAAAGTAAGATATTGGAGGAATATAAGCTTCCAGTACAGGAAAAAGATGGCTTTATGCTTAATAAATGAAAACATCTTGTGATGTAGAGCAAATGGGAAACATGCACAAAAATGTACAAATATGAGCTGTTGAAATTTAAGTTTCCCAATACATTTAGTTGCTGTTTTGCATGAAATGATATCATATGGTTGCCATGATTAAAAAATATTTAATTAATAGCCCTTTTGTATGACTGATGATGACTTCTGCTTGGAAATGTCAGTCACTGTGACCAAAAAAAAACAGTCTTTCTCAGGACTACACCTTCGTCTGGATGATCAGACCACATGATCAGTTGTACTTTTGTTAAGTCCAATGAAGATCATATCGATTACAAGGGCTAAGGTGAATTGTTACATGATCAATCATGGTTTATGACCAAGTACTGAAATTCCAATTTCAAGATGGGATACATATATTTTCTTTTTGGAGTTTTTTCCTATTTTAATTTACTGATAATCTAACAGTTGGGCTTTCCTAAAAAATTGAGAACAATTCTTGAATTGTAACATGCAGCTGTGCAAAAGACGTAAAACTATGTATTAACAGCTAGTTTTATTACTTTTGTTTGACTGTGCCATGTACAAAAAGCAGCTGTGCAAAAGACTGATGCAATGACAGCTTGCTTTATTACTTTTTTATGACTATAACATATACCTTTATTTTATTGAACATCAAAAGAGTTTACTTTTAAATTAACCTTTTTTCTCAGAACTCTTTGTGGAACTCCAAACTACATTGCTCCGGAAGTGCTCAATAAGAAAGGACACAGTTTTGAGGTGGACGTCTGGTCATTGGGATGTATCTTGTAAGTTCAGTGGGGCCAATTCTCACGGTGGTTGAAAAATGTGTATGACCTCTATAATTTTTACTTCAAATTTTTTTGAAACTGTTTTTTTAGGACCCTGATTGAAAATGGCATAATATTTATAAATACAAGACTAACAGACTCTTATGATAATTACAGGTACACTCTTCTTGTTGGAAAGCCACCCTTTGAGACCTCTTCCTTGAAGGATACATACCAGCGTATCAAAAGAAATGAATACTACATTCCTTCTAAAGTTTCTCACTCTGCACAGCTTTTGATTATTAAGCTTTTACGACCAGATCCTGCAACAAGACCTGGCCTTCAACAAGTTCTAGATGATGATTTCTTCAAGGGATTCACACCGAGCCGCATGCCAGTTAGTAGTTTAACCATGGTGCCCAGGTTTGCCTCAGGATCTTCTGCCAACCTTCTTGGCACATCCAGACGGCCACTAAATGAGTTAAACACACAAGAACCTGTTGCTAGCACAACCAGGAAAGACAAGGCTGCCTTTCTGGAAAAAGTAAGCAACAGAAGGTCACTTGGTGTTCGAGTTTGTGGTGCTGAGAGTAAACTGATTATGCCTGGTGAAGCTGTTGCTGAAGAGTTGAAGGAGGAAAACCAAGATGGTGAGTAAGGGTTTTCTCTTAGTGTTGTATATTTGAAAAAAAAAAAAAAATATATATAATATATATACCAGTGAACAGTAAATTATGGTAATTACTATCAAGTTTTACACTTACATCAACTTGGAATACTGCATCCTCTCTGTTGCATCTTAATGTACTGTTCAACTGAAATTGCCAATGAAACCCTGTTAGTAATAACCACACAGTCAGCCTCTGGGTTCTTAATAAATAGAATCCTTCTCTTCAGCTGAAAAATTCAGTGGCCAATTTTGATGACATGTATTTAACAAAATAATGTTGTTGTCATTAATAACTGGCATGTTATTGTTATCATGGTCATCATCAAAGACCTTGAGGTTTCTTGTATATGTTTGGACCTTGAATTGAAAGTTTACATATTGCTGTTATTATCAATTAGCTGATCTTCCTGTGTTATTTTTGTCACAGAGATACCAAAAGACTGTTATCTTTCCCAACTTCACAAGCTTATTACATCCTGTCTGGACAGCAGACCTTATCCTCCCCATCGACTCACCATTAATGAAGGTAAGAAATTTTTATATATAAATATTATATTTAATAAATTTTAATAGCTTCATATGAACATATTGAAAGTTTTTCAAAGGATAGTCTGTAAGTATCCCAGAGAGATCAAGGGAGATCCCAGAACCTGAGCCCTCCTGTTTACTCGCACTTTGATAAAGAAGGCTAAGTAAGGGCCATTGCACAAAAGTGGGCAGGCTTAGATTTGTCTCATCAAATTAAATCCAAGGACAACTTTGATCTTGTCTGTTGCATGCATCGGTGTATTAAAAATTTCAAAGTTGTCAAATTCTGTCAGTCCTGATCTTCTCAGACAAGCGACTGTCATAAGAAAGTAAGTATCTTTTCTCAATGGATTAAAATTTAAGTAGAATTGCCAGGATCATCTCAAGTTGTTTTGAAATTTTAAAATATGCAAGTTTTGCAAAAAAAAAAAACACAAAAAAAAAGACAATTATTGCCCTCCTGGTAACAGCTGCAATCCTTTTGATTATGGTTCATAATTTGATTAATAGAGGAATTTTTATTTTGAAACAGATGATGCTGAAGACCCAGCATATGTTCCAGTGTACTGGGTTGGTAAATGGGTGGATTATTCTGACAAGTATGGCTTTGGTTACCAACTAAGTGACAACAGTGTAGGGGTTCTGTTCAATGACTTAACAAGAGTCATTCTTTTCCAGGATGGAGAGTAAGTAGTGGAGAGTTGATGTCCTTTTTCATTACTTAATCCAATCATCTTTTTAGTACTTGTATGAGGAACCAGGTATAGAATTGGTTGACAAATAAGTTTTCTTTTCATATCGTAGGGACCATGAATTTATTAATGTGTAAAATTAAATTAGTATTTTGGCGACAGTATGATTAAAATCTTTTCTATCTTGTTAACACTTTTGGAGACATAAGGCTCCCCTCAACTTGTCTTTCACAGTAAAGTTTAAAAATGTGTCATTCATATCTATTGTTGCATTGAAACCTAAACAGATAGTTAAATGTACAGTCAAGTAAACATATTTTTGATTTGGGTTTGTTTTGGAAAATTTATAGATTTTCTATCTAAGTTATTTTAATTTGTACCAGACAATTTATTTTGTCAATTTTTTCTCCTCACAGCAACCTGCAGTACATTGATGAAGAAGGGAAGGAGCATTACCACACACTAAAGGGTTACCCTAAATACCTTGAAAAGAAAGTGACTCTTTTAAAACACTTCCTGACTTACATGAATGACCACTTATTAAAGGTATTTACAAAGTAAAAATTGTTATTTTAGAGTACAATGTCTGTCCACATGGCTTGCATGGGCCAATGAAAACCAGGAAAGTTAACCAGGGAAAATTACTAGCAGGAGTTGATCTTTTTGAGAATCCCAAAGCAATAAATACTAAGAAGTGTGATTGAATGATTATTTTCAAGTCACATTGTTTGAAAGTAAAGTCTCAATCTTATGTCATCAATAACATTAAATAAGTGCTCAGAAAAGGTCATGTATAGTCATGGTGGAAATGAAAAGTTTTTCAAACTAAAACCCTGATTTGCTTCAGAAGGCAATTCATGATTTTGATTTGGTAATAGCATTACGATTTTTTCTCTCAGGTTTAAAGTAAACAGATGTTGCTTAGAGTACAAGAGTACACTGCCAAATTTAACTTATTTTGTCTTCTTTGCAACATCTGGTATCAGTTTATGGTATACCTGTGCAGAAGTAGCAGGAGAAAACCTTGTGAAGCAACCAATGAAGACTCCTGACAACTAGCTCTTTCGTTCAACTTGTAGTACAACTGCATGTGGTGAATTTATGTGACAATTGGGTTATTGCCAAAAAAGATGCAGCTTGTACATCAGTGTTTACAGTAAATTGAATTGCACGTGGTCATAAGTTTTAAATAAATTTAAATTGTTTGTATTCAGGCTGGTGCAGGTACCAAAGGTGCCAAAGAAGATGAATCGGCAAGGTTACCTTTCTTGAAGCAGTGGTTCCGTACAAAAGAGGCCATTGTATTGCATCTCACTAATGGCACTCTACAGGTGAATACATAAATTCTTTCAAGATATATTTATTGGTACTGATGTATTACTTGAAGAGGTGCTGCACCAAAAATTGCTGCTTTTACGACCCCCTAAAATTGTGGTGTGTCATTTTGAAGCTTTAGTGCAGAGTTTATAGAACCCATTTGTGGCAGAGCATCTTAGTGCTAACTGCAACTGTCAAGGATTTCAATGCTGATGGGACATTAACATTAATTTTGTTTGTAAATAGAATAAGAAATTTTAAATTTTGAGCTCAGTAAGAAATAGTAACAAACTTTTATACATAAGATTTTATATTCATTGTTGGAGCTGTATTTTGTCTCTTGACACTTTTTAATTGTAACATTATCAATTCTTTATGTTTTTTTACACAGATCAACTTTTTCAAGGACCATACCAAGATTATGGTGTGTCCTCTAATGGGGGCAGTGACATACATTGATGAGAGCAAAAGATTCAGGACATTTCCTTTGAAGAGCATTGAAAAACATGGCTGTAGTGCCAGTATAGCCAAACGACTTAGCTATGCTCGTAAAATGATAGAGCAAATACAAGAGTCTGAAAGGAGAAGCAATAAGGAATGAATGAACTGGATTACCTTAGTAGTAATCTTAACTTTATGTTTTTCTCTTGATTTCTTGATTATTTCCTCATTTTATTCAATTATGATCTGTATGGGAAGATTTTACTGTTTATAATGATGAATTAAATATTTCATTATTAAACTATTTATTTGCAAAAAGTAGAAGCTGTTAGCCAGTCAAACTTTTAGGATAGTACTTAAAAGCAGTCTAGTGTTATACTCCTGAGTTATGCTTTGTCAATCACTTCTGTTGTTTCACTCAATGCTGTTCATCTTTCTTCAGACCTTGGCAATTTGAGAATGAATTGATGAATTGATTACAGAGGTCTTGTAACCAAGAAACCTCTTTGTAAGAAAAAGGAAGAAATTCAATCCATAGAAGTTATAAATAAGTTAAGTTAGCTTCTAGAGTTTATGGAAAGAATTTTACTAATTTACAAATGTTCATCCAAATGATTTGATGAAGGCTTAAGATAATTAATTTCCCTTTATAGCTTATTGTATAAATACTCCCAATGCTTTTCAACCAATTTAGAGTCTTTCAGTATGTGAAAATAACTAGTGAGGTCACTACAATTTGTTCTAGAAACTATGAAAATGTGAAAGAATATGTTCACAATAGTTAAGATGAATACTTCAATTATTGTTTGTTATTAATAGTTATACCTTGTCATTGTAAATAGCGATTTTACCTGTAATAAAAGAATTTACTCTACGTCACATCTCTGGTGTAGTTCTCTTTTTGAATTTCTGTCTGGACTTGGAGGTAAAAAATTTAAAATATTCTCTGAATTCAGTGCATCAATTATTGCTGCAGGTTCTCATCAAAGCGTTTACCACCAATAGTTTGTGAGTAGACCAGAAAGAAATGCCCCCAAACCTTTTCCGAAATTAATGATTATTAAGTTCTTTCCAATTTAACCAACCAGGCAGATAACACTTTATGTTTCAAACTACTGACTTTGGAGATCCAGTTTACTGACTTAGAGTGGACTTCATAAAATTGATGTCATTAACTGCCACCTCTCTGCAAGCAGTTTAGGCAGGACACAAAACAGCCAGTCTTTACCCACAAATTGAAAGTGACCAATCAAAAATGATGAACACCAGACTGATAACCAGCCACTGACAAACAATTCTTCACCTCTCGCTAATAATGACTTCTGTTCAAGTAATATTAGTTTTCATTTCACCCAAAATATTTTGAGGCCTATTGAAAGTTGCTGGTCAAAGTTACCTTTTGCAGTTTAACATCAGTATGCATAGTCTCCATACTTTTCTCTAGACATTTTCTGAGGTGCTCTCAAGGATGAATTGTTTAAAAATTAGGAGCTTCTTGAATTAGTAATCATTTCCTTTTTTCTCCTATCCTGAATGTGTAATTCAGGGAGGATAATGTAAGGAGAAATAAGATGCAAGACACTCTGAGGGGTCAAGGGGTTCAAAGGAAATAAAAGACAAGGTCCACAGTGTGGCAAATTTTGCAACTTTTCCCCAAAACAAAGTGGCGCAAGATTGAATCAAAACATGTACTGGTTGAAATTATGTAGTTGGGCAATAAAGAACTGTGATTTAAAAATGGGTGCAATTTTGGTTTAAAAACATGCGTATGCTTTTGGACCAAATTGCACTCCACTCAGTTCACTTAGAGTACCCTCATAAAGAAAGCATTTACAACTTGCTAGGTTATGAGGAAAAAAAAAAACATGAAGTAAGCATGACAATGAGTTTTACTGTAGTTTTATTGGCAAATAAACTGTAGTTAAGTTTAAAATCTCATTGCAGAAGTATGAATTTTTTTTTTATTTTGTGTATAACTGGGAAAAAAATGAACTAACTGACCATATCTGCAGCTGTGATCTGGAAGTGAACTTAGGGCTGGTTTCTCAGTATAAGCAAGGACATACTGTTTCATCTAGATGGTATTGGTGTCTTAAGCTAGAGTTCCAAGCAAGAGCACCTTGCTGTCCATGTATACAGTTTTTTTTTGCTCAGGCTTACATCAGAAGGAAAGCTATTCTTAGAGAGAGTTAAGATGTAAACTTAAAAATATAAATTTAATGCACACCTTTGCAAATTCATGTCTTAGAGACTCAGGAAAAACATTTTGTTCGGTTCCTTCAACAGGTTCACCTCTGTACACTTTAAGTTAACATCAATGTCTTAATGTCTTAATGTCAAAATGTCTCCCTTGCAAAACAAGTCTTCATCTGAATTGTCTGGACAACCTCTTTTGATAAAGTTCATTGCATAACTAGTCAATAACAAAGTAAATAACAATTTATTCCCTAAACAGAATTGTCATTAAGATTTTCCTACAACTGGCCTTGGCTGATTCCCTCCTCCTGGTGGCCCTGGCATTCTTCCTGGTGGTGCCCCATGTGGTGGTCCCCCAGGTGGTGGTCTAATACCTGCTGGTGGTGGCATTGCCCCAGGGGGTGGTATTGGAAATGGTAAAGCTCCAGGGGGTGGTAAGGCTCCTGGTGGTGGCATCATTCCAGGAGGTGGAGGCGGCATCATTCCAGGGGGTGGTAGGTGTGCAACTTGTGGGGGTGGAATGGCAGTACCAGCTTGATAAGCAGCAGCTAAAAATGAAGAATGAAACCATGCAATGTTATTGTGACATAATGTTTCTTAGGCACTGGTACAGAGACTGCACAACACTGCATGTACCTTAAAGCAAAAAATTTCCTTCTCAAGTCAATTCAGTTTGTAAAGCCTGTCCTAAGATGGACAGTATCATAATTTGTGTGCATTTTCAAAAATAAGTCTCGCTTGTTCCTTCTTAAGGGAACAAGTTCAAAAGGCATGTGATGATAATAGGGTTTTGAAGCTTTGTCACTATTGGAGTCTCAAAGTTTCAGTACAAATTAATTTCATACCAACTTTTGGTGCATTTCAGTGAGTTTTTTTAAATCTAATTAGTGCTTAATCAAATTATAATTCAATTCTCTTGACTCAAGAGCAGCAAGAAGCAGCGAGAAGTTTTTGCGAAAAATAGTTGTCTCTTAAGTAAATATATGTTAATGTGAAATGCATACTTGTCTGATCAATCAAACTCTGTGCCTGTTCTTCCATCCACTTCGTGTAATAAAACCTCACATTTTCCTTGTGTTTTCGGCCACCATTGTGTGTCTTCCGGACTGACGGCTGGGAGTTAGAGAAACAATAAAACCAATTTTGTTAGCATAGGTAAGGAAAGGAAGCTGTCTAGGTGTTGTAATTCCAGGAAGGTACTTGATAATTAAAGGGAAGAGTAATTACACCAATACCATTATCAAACAGCCAATGTATTACTATGAGACTAACAAAATTGTAAATACTTAGGATATTTATGGAAAGTCTACGTTTTTTGGGAAAAAGCTAATGTAGGCTAGAAAAGTAAACCACAAAAAGCAACAGTAATACATTTTCCGTGGTGAAATTTGTGCCCATGTATTGACTTTAGTTGCAATTGGTCAGTACAGAACTGACCTGTTGGAATTAAATTGAGGAGTTTTATAATATCTAGTAACACGGGATACATAATTATCGACACTTTAACCTAAAACTGAGAAAGTTCACCTAATGGAGAGAAATTTAACCTGTTACTCAAGAAGGGTAAGAGACAATGCAAGTATACAAAGCAAATAAATATCAAGGAACAAAGGGAGAGAGAGTGCTTTTGGAGTGAGCCCTGTAGAAAGACACAGGCTTTAAGATGCTAATGAAAGAAGTCAAAAGTTGTGGTAAATTCCCAAAGAGACATGAATTATTGGTGCAGACAAAAAAAAGGCAAAATGTCAGAGTGCTGGAGAGAAGAGCAATGCGGAACTGGCTAAAATAAGCGTCGTATCTCAAACGAAATCTAAATAAATAAATAAAGACTTACCGAGTCATGTGTTAAGTAAGTGTCGCAGTAATCACAATAATACCTAGAACGGAAAGAACCATTATGAAATTAAATCATAAAGCAAGAATTCGTCATGAAATAGACTAAAAGAAATGCAATACAACGTTATTTTTAAGCTGGAAATCGGCCCTACTTACTTAGGCATTTTGGTACAGTGCGTCCTCCACGTTTGCGCGTTGTAAAGCTACGCATAAATTTCGCCAAGTTGCCGCTGTTGAATAAAATGCTGGCTCGCTTTAGAAAGTTGCGTCACACGTGGGTCAAATAATCAACATGGCGATGCTCGCAGAGCCGAAATCCAAGCAAAAATGGAGCAGCGATCCACGAAATACAGCGTGGACCAATGGTAAGGAACTATTTATTTGTCAAAAGTCTCCCCTGGCTTTTTTATTATTATTTGAAATTGTTTAGGTCAATTGATAGATTGCCGTTCATATCTGAACCATTGGGAAGTCTGAAAATGGATCCACTTTTAACCGGCCGATTCTTTTGGTTACCATCCTTTTGCCAAAGCTTGCCGTTTACCCTTTCTCATGATTGGTCGATGGAAGAATATAATTCAGTGTTGATGATTGTTTTGGATGGAGCTTTTGCTTGGAGTTTCATGATAACTCCAAGTTTATGTAACATGTTAGATATTACATACTTGAAGAGATCCATAGCAAGGTTGACGGCAGAGTATAAGGAGTTTCCAAGGATTCAACCTTTTCTTGAGAATGGCTATATTATTTGGAAGGTTTGTAAAATGAGACAATGATATATTTTAAGAAGGAGAGAGATTATCAGAATGTTAATTGTTTAAACTATTTTGATCAGATACCAGACGGTTTGGTTACCAGATGTTGACTAAAATGGGATGGGAGAGTGGAAAAGGACTGGGTGCTAAGGAGGATGGAACTAAAACACATGTTAAATCTGTCAAGAGGCAGCAGAACTTAGGTAAGAAAGCAAAATATTGTTGACATTAGTGATAAAGATTGCATGCATTTCTTGATGAAATGACGTTTTCAGTAACTATGCGTGAAACAAAAATGAAAGATCCTGCACAGTCTGGAAGTCTTTATCTAAAACTGCACCATATTAATGTTTTCATCTTTGATTTTTATTGACTTTCCTAAACAGTCAACTCCACTTACTATGGTGGCATGCCACTTGAAGGGTGTATGAATTTTTTTTTTAAAATTATCAACTTGGTTAATTCAACCAAATAATCTTGTAATACCCCCCATCTATGCAGAGCCACAGTTTCATCAGAAACTTACCCCTTTAAGCTTTACAACAGTGTAGCAGACATTTATCCCTGGGTATCATTCTCATCATGAGGATTTAAAGTTCATTTGCATGTATACACGAGTTAGAGCATTTGTCTGAATTTCAGTGTAGAAAATGCTTATTAGACTTAACCAACTGTTATGTTGTTCATAATATTCAGGTCTAGGGGCTGAGAAGTCTCATGAAGATAACTGGATATCACACCAGGTAGCATTTGATGATTTGCTATCTCAGCTTAATAATCATGCAGAAAATGATAACGGTGAGATAACCAACAGTTTTATGTGTGCATTTGAGTATCTATCATTACTGCCATGGGTTCTTCAAAAAACTTTTATGTTTCCATTATTTTCTTGGTATGTAATTAGAGTTTTGAGGTTTAGTTTGTCTTTAATCTGTGTGTTACAGAGGAAAAGTCAGTGAAGAAAGCAAAGAGTCATGAAATGGAAAAGAAAGCCAGACAGTCCCGAAAAAGAGTGTTGTAAGTACTGTTCCTTATTCTTAGAGGACCTCACTAAAATCACTTTTTAGTGATAAAAAGTCTCTTGTTACTATAATTTTTTTATAAGTTAGGTATGAATCCTGTGCAAAATTTCTAAGCTGCCATACACTTATGCTAGTCACTCTTAGAAGTTAAGGGTTATCTCAGCTTATGGGTTCAGGGGCCTTTCATAGTTGGAGCTTGGATGGGATACTGGTCCATTTCAGGTTACCCTCAATCATTACATGTATGTCAGTTTTCCATTAAATTTTGGCGATATGGATTTTTCTTCTTGAGAAGAGAGATGCAAGTCTTGCCTAACAACCAAATGACTTGGTTGAGGCTTTAAGCACATCACCTGTTGACTGGTAGCTCAGCATGCCAACTGTTAGGTGGCTATGTGCCTTGAATGTTCTACATAAATTGAATTTGTTTTAGACAGAAAAACTTTAAGTTGGCTTTCATCTTGTAACATGTGTACCACCATGCTTCCCAACATTGACATGAGGATGTGAAATTGAATTGTGCTTTGTAGAAAATATGGAATGTGAGAGTTTAGGCCAGGAAGGATTACCTTACAGAATTAGTGTAAGAGGTTCTTTTAGACTTGGTGCAGAAGTTAAGCATCCTTGGTTAGAAGTTGCATTTTTCCTGGGCTTTGTTACCCAAGACAATGTTATTTCTGGACCATTTATGTGTATAAGTTTAATGACTGATTGGCTGTTTTGTATTCATAGTTACAATCGCTTCATTCAGAGCAAAGACTTGTCATCTAAATCAGCAGAAGACATGGCTTGCATCTTTGGTCAGAGGTGTAAGTCAGCTCCTGGAACTCCTCAAGAACACTCAGAGGTTGGTTCAAACATCTTTATCGAAGTTTTGGGGGTATTTTATTTCGATAGCCCTTGTTCTGACTAACCGAAATGTACCGTACCGGTTGCTTTGTTTTGTTTTGTTTTGTTATTGAATACCAAAATACTTAAAAAATGTTGAAATAAGATTTTTTTACAAAGCTACTTTTCTTCTAATGTAGGACGAAGAATCGGACGAGAGTACTGCTTCCTGTCCGCCGCCATCTTCTCACGGTGTGCAGACTGTAAACTCCGGACAAAGCATTCAGGAATACTTTGAGATGAAAATGAGGGAGATGAAAGCGGCTCGAGAGAGGAGGCAGACAGTGGAGGTTAGCACTTTTCAAGAAGAAATAGTAACGGGAAAGGATCACAATGAGGAAGTTGACGAATCAGAACCGAAGAGGAAGAAGAAGAAAGAAAGTAAAAGAAAGCTTAAACATGCGATTGAAAATGAGGAATTGGTCAATGGCGTAAGTGTTTCGCATTCTTTTGATGTGAAATGTTCAGCTGGAAAGAGAAAGAGAAACGGTGCGGTGGAAGAAAGGAAATCTGGATTAGAAAGTGGATGCAAACCCTCGAAGGATAGGACGGAAGAAAAAGGAAAAAAGAAGAAAGCAAAAGAAATTAATAGTCAGACTTTAGAGGTTGACAGCAGCTCTTTGGGAAGGCTGGAAATAGCAGAAGGGGTGAAAGATAAAAAGAAAACGTCTAAGAGAAAGAGCGAGAAGGGGATTGCTAGATTTGAAAATGAAGATTTGGAAAAGTCGTCCGAGAGTAAACGAAGAAGGGACAAGACAAAAGGTAGCTTTAGCGACGATAAATCTTTTAATGAGACAATTTCCGAAGTGGAGGAAGCAAACGATGAAGGCAACTTACGAAAGAAGAAGAAGAAGAAGAAGAACCAAGATGTCGGTAATAGTCTAGAAACTGTCGAAAGAATGAAAAACGAGAAAAAGAAAAGAAAAAAGGATAAAAAAAGAAAAATCTAGGGAAAAAGATGGGGGTGACCGGGAAAGACCGAAACAAGATTATTTTAATTCTACCGCCAAAAAATAAACCAATGGCGATGGCTGATTTTTATGTTTATGTTCTCTTATGTTACTCACGGTACCAACTCTACACACGATAAAACAATCATCGTATGCTATTTTAGTAAATGTAGAATATTTGAACTTACTTTGCCAATCATTACTTACAAATGTTTTTGAGACGCGAACGGCAGCCGGAAGTTAAAAAACTCATTCATGGTGCGCATTACATCTTTTTGGTCAGCACAATTTGGTTTAAAATGCTATAACGAAGACTTAACGGCCGATACAATATTGGTGTCAAAGCGCACTAGAATTTATTTTTTTCTTTTCCGGTTGCTGTCTGCGGCCCAAAACTGTCTCTGCTTTACTTCCCCATTGTCGTTCGAGAGCGCGCCGCTTTCACGGTCTTACTTTTAAAAATGAATTGCTAAGAACTAAATACGGTCTTAAGCGAGAAGGAAGAAGAACATTTTCTGTTGCCGCACCACTTTTAAAACTGAATTGTTAAGAACTATATGCAATCTTAAGCGAGAAGGAAGAAGAACATTTTCTGTTGCTGCACCACTTTTATGGAATTCCCGAACCGATGATATCAGGAACTGTGGATCTGTATGTAGTCTAAACCAAAAAGTATCTCTTAAGCAAAGGATCTCAATGATAAAATAGCTTTTACTGCAAACGGTTAAAATCTTGGCCATTTTATAGCCATAGGTTAATTTTTTTCCTTTGTTTTTAAGAGAAAAACTTCTACGGTTTACTTTTTTTACGACCAACGGTTAAAATTTGTCAGTTTTTACGCCTGACGACTGATTATGTTTTACCGTTTCACGGCTAACGGTTAACCCCAAGACCTTCTAAAAATATTGCAATTAAACACCTGCATAACGGAACGAATGGATTAAAAAATCTTCAGGCTGAAATTTGGTAAATAAAACATCAAACTAATAAAGATTGTCAGTACCACCTGAAGAAATTGAACAGGTTCCTATTTAATAAAATGTGAATATCAAAGTAAAAGTGTTAGACTATGAACAACACGGCACAGAAGGGATTGGAATTTTTAGAGAAAATCTGGCATTTCAAGGGGAGACGATCTGAGCTGGAGCAACGAATGGAAGGGTAAAGAAATTTCCTGAAACCACACATACAGTAAGCAAAGAATACGTTGAAAAACTTTGTAAAATTAAAAAAAATAAGTGAAAAATCGAACTGAAAAATTATTTCCTGAAAAAAATCCCCTCAAGAACAGCATCGAGCTGATTACTCAAGAAACCTGATATATAAGGAACTCATCAGCCTGGACTAAAAAAGAAAAGGCTCTTTGATGCCGGTATTTGTCGAGTATCAGATATTCAACTGGATGGTAGTTTTAGTGAAAATACGTCCAAACGAAATACATCGTAGAGTGCCGTTGAACTCTCGGAAATAGTGCTACACGCGAATTTTTAATATTATCTGTATTATGCAACATATGAATGCATAGAAAATTAGGGTATCTACTGCATGGTCTACAATAGGTACATTCATCTACACTGTCTGCAGTAGGTACAGCTATCTACACTGTCTACAGTAGGTGCAACTATCTACACTGTCTGCTGCAGGTACAACTATCTACACTGTCTATAATAGGTACAACTATCTTCGCTGTCAATAGTAGGTACAACTATCTACATTGTCAACAGTTGGTACAAGTATCTACACTGTCCACAGTAGATACAGCTCTCTACACTGTGTACAATAGGTACAACTATCCACACTGTCTACAGTGGATGCAGCTGTCTACACTGTCAACAGTAGGTACAGCTATCTACACTGTCTACAATCGGTAAAACTATCTACACACAGTCTACAATAGGTAAAACTATCTACACTGTCTACAATAGGTACAGCTATCTACACTGTCTACAATATGTAAGCTAGTTGTACCTACTGTAGAAAGTGTTGTTGAAATTTGCTGAAAAAGTACATCCCGCGAAATTTTCAAAAATTCGAGGGAGACTATCCCACCAAAACGAAATATAGCAAATTCCACATATAAATTATTCGATCGTTAAAGGTTATATACGAACGAAGATTCTACCAACTTTAACTCCACGTCTGTCGCCATTTTTGTCGCAGCTCCAGCGGGGGGAGTGTAAAGGTATTCAGCGGATACGTATCTTGGGCTATGGGATCCACATAAGCTTCACGGAAATTACAGAACATTTCACATTAGCATACAAGTACCCCGGCTAAATTTAAATATAAGCCAGCTTCCATATGGTATCACCTGTTGATAACTTATATTTGGTAAAACCCCATCTCTGCCTGCTTTATCCAGAACTGAGAACGCTACCATGGCATCTTGGAAAAATTTTGCAGAAGATCCGCGCGCAGTGACGAAGTTTATGTCTATCCAATAATTAAAAAAAAGAGAGATAACGGGCACGAGGTAATAGTTCAAAAATAATTTAAAGGAACTACAAAAGACAAAACTCATAAAAAGCAAACAAAAAAAAAAAGCATTCTGTTTCAAGTTTTGGTAAAGAATGTAGCTTCCCAGTGTTTCTCTGTTTTTTTTTTCTTTTTACGCGGTTTTGGTACGGTTTTTGGTACTTGTCATTTTCTTCTTTTTCCTTTTTTACAAGTCTTTGTGGATGAATCTAACATTTGACTGCCCGTCTTTGAAAAGGTAACATAAGGTAAAGGAAATCTATTTATAATAAATACCTTCACAGAGGATGCATTTTTACTAACTTTTCTATTTTTACCCCTTCTTATCATCATTTTTATCTTTCCTTTTCCTTTTTTTGTTTCCGAACATTTATCTTCTACGGTTTTCGTACTTGTCACAATCGGAAATGCCTCTCTCTCGATTCGCACATTTTGTTTGCATTAAGCCAGAGCTCGGCACGTAGACATGCTGAGAAAACGTTTACCTCCTTCTAACTTGCATTGCCTAGCTTGAAATGGATAATACATAAGAAAAGTCAAAGGAAGAAAAGAGGTTAAAAAAAATACATAAAACGGTTAAAGTAAAACAAAACCATTTCTATTTTAAGGAAAAAGAGTCTTTGCCGGCGACTTCTGAGCAACAGAAAACACTACAGGATTCAGAATATAACTAACAATTAACAAAGTGGCCCGAAAAAGAAAACTGCTCTGAAAAAAAAAGGGCAAAAAGAAGATAAAAATGATGATACTAAGGAGAAAAAGTAGAAAAAAACAACATGCAGGTTCCGCGGGGAGGAGTTCCTCGGCCCCCAAGCCAGTTCGAGAGTTGCTCCTTGTCCGCAAGCTCCAAATCATACTCGGGGAGAAGTTATTCGGCCCCCAAGCCAGATTGAGAATAACTCCTATAGCGTGATTCGAACCCGCGACCTCGATGACCTCTCTTGCACTCGTTGCGCGCCTACGATTGCCGCTCGACCATCTCGAAACTATATATTTAATAAGCATGAATTGGCGGTGTATCGAGTTTTAAAATACCAGGCTGGGGGGGAGGGTGAGGAACTTTGTGTTACTGAGAGTGCAATCGAGCGTTTCCGGTCAAGAATAAAAGAAACAAGTCTAACAAAGAACTAACAAAAGCGATCTACACGAGGAATATTAGCATATGTTGTAATGGCGGACGACTTCGTTTGCAGAAGCTCTTTAATATGATTCCTCAGTATTGCATTGCACATCTTTTACTGCATATAAATATCACGCAATTATTTGGGCGAATAAGCGCACTTATTGAATGTTAATCCATGGAATAGGTTAAAAGGCTCGATGGTCTTTAGCTCTTGAATGAGAACGGTGACCTATGCAGATTTCGTGGGGAGGAGCTACAGAAAACACTACAGGATTAGAATATATAGTTGACGACAATGAAATTATGAGGGAGTTAGGAATTAGTAATAAAGTGTGAGAGACATGCTGCACCAATTGAATTGTGCTTAACGATTAGCAAGGCTGAAGTCAATTTGCGATTCCCCTCTCAAAAATCTTAGCTGCGCCCTTTCCCCAGGAGACTTCTTTGCGGACCACTTGATTCGAAAAAAAACTAAAAAGAAGAAAAAGAAGAAGAGACAATAGAAATAAAACAAAACCGACACGAACCAACAACTGTATCAAAAAAATTACCTCAGTGGCCCAAAAGATAAATGCTCAGAAATAAAATTTTTTGCCCAATTTTCTTTCTGTTTTTTCAGAGGAATTTTTGCATTGTAAATTCAGAATGACCTTTCCCGCCAATTTGAGAGGGATCCTTTGTCACGAGACTTGCTGGGGAACTGGATGATGCGTTTCATCGGTCGATCGGCAGCATGTACACATCGACACACGCTTATAAGGTGCGGAAACTGTAAATTTCTTTGGTGGCCAGTTTACGATCGGAAAACGACATCCCAAGGTTAGAGTTCGGCGTGTAGACATATTAAGAAAACGTTTATATCCTTTTAACTTGCATCGCCTAGCTTGAAATGGATAATACATAGACGTAAAAGGAAGAAAAGAGGTAAAAAAAATACATAAAACGTTTAAAGCAAAACAAAACCATTTCTATTTCAAGGGAAAAGAGTCTTTGCCGGCGACTTCTGAGCAACAGCAAACACTACAGGATTCAGAATATAACTAACAATTAACAAAGTTGCCTGAAAAAGAAAACTAATAAGGAGAAAAAGTAGAAAAAAAACCAGCAAAAAGAAAAATACAATTTCGCGGGGAGGAGTTCCTCGGCCCCCAAGCCAGATCGAGAGTTACTCCTTGTCCGCCAGTTCCAAATCATACTCGGGGAGAAGTTATTCGGCCCCCAAGCCAGATTGAGAATAACTCCTATAGCGTGATTCGAACCCGCGACCTCGATGACCTCTCTTGCACTCGTTGCGCGCCTACGATTGCCGCTCGACCATCTCGAAACTACATATTTAATACGCATGAATTGTCGGTGTACTGAGTTTTAAACTGCCAGGCTGGGGGGAGGGTGAGGAACTTTGTGTTACTGAGAGTGTAATCGAGCGTTTCTAGTCAAGAATAAAAGAAACTAGTCTAACAAAGAACTGACAAAAGCGATCTACACGAGGAATATTAGCATATGTTGTAATGGCGGACAGCTTCGTTTGCTAAAGCTCGTTAATGTGAATCCTCAGCGTTGCATTGCGCATCTTGTACTGCACATAAAATCACGTAATTATAGAGGCGAATAAGCGCGCTTATTGCATTTTAATCCATGGACCAGGTTAGAAGATATGATGGTCTTCAGCTCTTGATTGAGAACACTGACCTATATTTTCTATTGCATAATTTTGGTGTACAAATTATCCCTTTTAGATTGGGGAATCTTATTTGGTTTTTTTGGCTCCTATGAATCCTTCAATAAAGAAGATAGTAGTCCTTTTATAATAACAACATTTGCATTATCATTAAAAAGCTCTTTCAGTTCATGCAAAGATAAAAAGGCGTTCGAGACTTAAACTGAATTAATCTGCAACTTACTGGACTGATGGCCTAAGAGTACCATGATTTATAAAAAACGGCTAGAATTTTTAACTGTTTGCAGAACAAAACAACCTCGCGGATTTAATATGCCTTGGTTTGACTTTGCACTGCTTTATCATTTTATCATTCTAAACGACCATAAAACAAAGACAAAGTTCAAAATTAAAAAAAAGAACCAATGCATAAAAACATTTTTTTTTTGACCGTAAAAGATACTCCAATAAATATTGAGAGAAAATAGCAAACTAGAAAATAGCGGTATTGTTGTGTGATCTCTGCTAGACGGTGTGAATAGTTGTACCTATTATAGACAGTGTAGATAGTTGTACCTACTGTTTGCTGTACTAGTTGACACAGTGATATGTCTTACATGACAGTTCCACAAAATGACACAATAATATAGCCTACATGAATCAAATGTTGTTCTTTCATGCAGTATATACCAAAATTAGTCACATATGGCCTGAAGCTTAATCTGTATTGCTTATCAGGAATTCATCACTAATAAAAAATAGCTCATATTAGTAATATCCTAGATCTTAACTAGTATAGGAATAAAACAATTTCACGGAAGCACTCCCCAGCCAGTTGACCTATTTCTCACGTTCATTACGGCGTTCTGGAGATAAAAACTCTAACAAATTTATCTCCAAAGAAAGTGAGCACGTTTTTAGGGTTTTTAAAAGTTTAACAGGATGTCGTGATTTAAGGTTAAGGTAGACTCCAGTCTCCCGGTTGTTCCTTCCAATATCACACATTCACCATGTGAGTCAAAAGGGTGGCGTGATAGTGGCGTGACAATTATAACGGAAGTAGTCTATCATGTGAGTTTCCCTTCGATTACTAAAAATTGGATTGACAGCCGTTTTGTTATTGGATTTTTTTTGTTCAGATTCGTAGTAATAGTATGGATTTACTCGAGGCAGTCTCCGATAAATGCTGGCGTAGCCTACGAAAACACCCTCGCTCCCAGCGTACCCCTTACCCTACCCCTGAGAGCACCGTCAAGAGCTCATGGCAAAGAGGCCGTCACAATACAGCACCAGCCAAGATGGCGGTGGCTGAGGATATACTGAAAGACCCCTACTTTGCAGATCTCGACATTGATTTGAGCCAATTTTCTGAAGAGGAGAAAACGGTGATACTTGGCGTCATGCAAAAAGCCAAGGTAAGGATTTGAAATATATGGAAATCTCGGATTGTGTTAACTTTTGCGACTGTCAATACAACAGAATTATCGTTCCATGTGTTTTGTCCGCTTCGATCAATTGTGACTCAAATGGAATTAAGGGAAGATTGGTTAAATTATTTCATGACAAAGACCATTTATATTTTAATAAACCCAGTTTTCTGGATTTATCCATTTTAGGTTCTTGATCAGCAGCAAATTGAAGATAAATTCAGGTAAGGCTTCACAATTTTCAGCTTAGATTCAACATGCCAGCTTTTATGGATGCATTAAGCTTCATTTGTGAGCACCTTATTTTGGAAAAGAGTTATGCTAAAGTATGCGTGCTTAAATTTTAATGAGCTGAGCTTGGAAAAGAATCTCCGAACACACGGATTTTAGATTTTTATGAACAGGTGGAGGCGTGTACAGTTGAAAATCCTCTGTACAACCTTTAGACTTGTAGGGAGGAGTAGGGGAAGGTTTCCGGCAGCTGTGAACACATGCGCTTACAGCTGTGTCTCTGTGCTCGTTTAAACTTTTGTTATTCAAAACTTCTGTGTGCATTTTGTAGATGTAGATTTTGTTGCAATCCAAGAGTATCTAAGGTAGAAGTTGACCTACTTGATTAACTCTTAAGCTTCCAGGAGAGACCAGGAAAGAATTTCTCCATTCAATCTCAATACAATATCAAGTGGACAAGTGATGACAATAAAGAAAAATATCAGTTAGAGGAGTACTAGTTGATCCAAAACTAAATTCTCCAAACTAGCATCTTAAGAATTGTATATATCTTGGGAGTCGAGAAATTAAAATCATGATAAATTATGCGACAGACAATAAGGATAGTTAATATTGAGAATTTTGGAATGCAATAGAAAATATGATTATGGTTCGCTAACTTTGCCAGGAAACCAACAGAGGGACAACTTAGCAAATGGACAAATCTAATGAAGGGCTGGCAGTTTAGATGGTTCACTCTTGATCCTGGTTCTGGGTTATTGGAATATTATGTGGTAAGAATTGATGATCAATGGCTGACATCTGTGCTCCAAGCTGTGACCTTTTTGGTTGCCATGGTGACTAGGAAAATGGAGGCTAAATTTAAAATACAAGTTGCCAATTTGGCAGCCTGTGTTTGACAGCCATGTAGCAAGTTGTAAAAAAAGGAAAAAAAAAACAAATGACCATAACTGGATTTTTATGTCATTCAATAACTAAAAGTGAAAAAACATGAAGCCCTTTCTAATTATATTTCACTATTCTCCTGCTTATTTGTATTTTAATGAAAACTGTGACTCTCAGGCGCATGATAATTTGAGTAATGATGGGGGAAAAAGGGAAGAAATTTGTGTAGCTTGATAACACTATCTCCCTTTCTATCCAGGTAGATAGATATGCCTTCAATATTCAAGCAGATTTTAGCATAACATTATATGATGTTTGTGTTTTTTTTACAGTTCAATAGGAGAATTTAATACTCAACAACTGATTGGAGCACTTAGAATTATCTACTTCTGTTGCTGACTTAAAACAAGGCCTCTTTCACAATGATACTCATCTTCTAATTATGCTTAATCAGAAAAATCCAGAATTTTCATTTCTTTTTCTACTAGAATTACTAACTGTAACCTTACTGATGTTGTATTGAGGCAGAAATAGTGAAACTAGAATCAGTGATATATTTTGATTTACTATTTTGTAAATATTAGGATAAAGAGAAGAAGAAGCTGGGACCAAGAGGATCAGTTTATCTTGGGGTAAGATTCCTTTATTGAACATGGAGTACAAGTTTCACAAATTAGTTGTTTCATGATTGCAGTTTTCACAATTATCATTATAGTTTACATTTCACTTCTTGATTTCACAGGAATTAGAAGTGTTACTAGGTAGTTTAAAATGCAACTTCCTTATTATGTGGCAGATATTCTATCAAGGTTTCCTCTGTCTTGGATTGAATTTTTTCATTTACTGTTTGTTTGTATATTTTTTTGGTTTCTTTGATTGTAATAGGGAAGTATGATAGCTCCCAGTGATGAGGATTCATTCACATTCAGTGTTAGTGCAGCTAATGGTGATATTTTTAAACTGCGAGGTAACTGTTTGTCACAACATTTTAAGCATAATCTTGTAAGTTTTTTGTAATGCTATCAAGATGGAAAACAATGGCGGACATTATTATTTAGAATACTAATTAGTAATACGATGTTCAATTATAATAATTTCATATCTAAATCATTGATTAACCTTTAACCCCCAAGAGTGAGTAACACCTAATTTCTCCTTACAATATCACCCCTGAGTCAAACATTAAGGTCTCAAGAATTAAAGAAATGATCACAACTAAAGGAACTCTTGATTGTTAAACAAACTCTCCTTTTCAGCACCTTAGGAAACATGTAGGGATCAGTATGGAGAATTTGCATAATGATGATAAGTTGCAAGGGGTTAAACTACCATTTGCTATCAATAGCTCCATTCTTTCTTTCAACTTATGTTTGCTTACAGAAAAAAAATCACTGTCAAGTTCTTATTTGATATGTGTGCAGTTGGTCAAAACCTTTTTGAAGTAGGAATCATTATTTAATGGTTCTTTGTTTATTTTTCTTACTTCCTTATGAATTATGATGAAAACCCTTCTCTAATTCTTATTGTGTTTCTCCTGAATTCAGCCAATGATGCAAAAGAAAGACAGGACTGGATTAATAAACTGAGAAGCGTGGCAGAGTTTCATACATCAAGTATTGCTCAGGTGCAATTTTCATGTTGCAATTTGATTTAAGTTTGATAACTGCTCCATCCCCCTCCTCTAATTGATTATTTTTTTGGCAAATCATGAAAATGAAAAAAAAATTTCTCCCACTTTTTGTTGCACAAACCCTCTCAATTGTTTCTATCCAAACATTTATTGATTTACAATCTGCAAAAGTTGGCCTGCTAGTTCGGCCAATCTCAAATCCATTTTTTGAGGTTGATTTTAAGAGACAAATTAATGAATAGATTTGTTGACTAGCTCTTAAAAACTTGGCACCTGTGTGAACTCTGCTAAATCTATGTTTCTTACTAGGCTGCCCCACCATTATACACCACACACAGTTTTTCTGTGTCAGCTGCACAGTCAAGTGGTCCTGTCAAGCCAAACACAACGACAGCATCCTCAAGTGGCCATCCTAATGTTGCAGCGGCAGATGAGTTGGTGTCAGACTCACCCAAAGTGACACACAAAACCTATCATGTACCTGAAAAGATCATGGAGGGAATGTCCCACGTTAGAGATGACCTGTACAGAATAGAAGATCAACAGATGGTTTTTATTGATCAATTAGAGGTTAATGCTCTTTGCTAGTTACTAGTTATCCTGTTTTAAATTGAAATAGTTGAGTTAGATGAGCATCACAGATTGCGCGAATTTTTCCTTTGATAGGGTTAATCAATCGACAATAAAATTTTTCAGGTGTACATTATAGCAGCTTGTTGTCAACTTCACTGGAGAACATAGTAAAACTCAAGTTACAAACAATTTTAAGTTATGGACAGAGTTGATTCTTAGTTAGTTTGGTTGTCAAGTGCATTTTGACTGTGCTTTTGTGAGACAAAATAAAATTGTATTGGCTAATGAGGACTCAGTAAAAAATATTCCAAGTGGCCAATGAGAACTCTAAGTATAAACAGATGTCAAACTTCCTGGAATGAAAGGGAATGAGAAAGACTAAGTCACCTTTGGTTTTAGTTATTTATCTGAATGGGTGGCATGAGTTTTCTCGACCAATCACAGAGTGAAGAGAAGCAGAACAAAAGTAAACATAGGTTACCTTTAGTAACTTCAGATTTGCAAATTTCCATTCTCTCTCTCTCTGCTGATTCCATTACCCCTATGAGTTTGAGGTACATCTGTATGCTGTAGTGAACAAGGTATTGATTTTCGTTGGTTGTAGTATTTTCTGCAACAAATAGCACATGACTAGTTTGTAACTTTGAGAGTAAACATCAGTTATAAAGCATAAAGGCTTTTGTAAATTACGTTCCATACTATTAATAAATCATCTGAATCCTGATGAAGTGTACAACCTTCTTATTGCAGTTGGATCCAACAGGAGAAGAATCACTCTTTCCTTTGGATAATGTAAGTAATGAAAATGTAATGAAATTACCTCTGGATATAAGTTTATCAGTTCCAATTCTATCAGTTGTTACTTTTAGGTGAGAATCAATTATTAATATATTAATTATAAGACTTTTTGCACACTGTCTGTGCTTGGCTAGTTGCTATAACACAGTTCTTTTACTGCATGGTATATTTTGTGAATTGCTGTCTCAAATACTGGAAAATAAAACTATCAGTTTGTAGTATTGATTTGATTTGTTTTTCATTTCAGGATGTACTGATTTTAAAAGCAACTGCTCAGGTTATTGTCACTGATACTTTTTTAAAATCCCTTTTGCATAGAAAAGATGTTGTAGTGCAAACGAAAAATTTCAGGTCATCATTGTTTCAAACTTGTGTGATAATTATGTATCTCCCTTAACTCTTTTAACAAATAAATACACAAATCAAACCATTTTGATTTTATTTTAACCTAAGAAAAAAATTACAACAGACAAAAACAAAAAAATTTTGTGATACCATTTTTTGGGGCTAGTTTTAGTTATTATTTGAGACAAGGAAAGCTGAAAAAACTACAAAATACACAACATAGTAGTTTAGATGTAGAGATGAATTTGAAAGAGGTTTTACTAAGTTGAGAGCAGAGGAGAAGATTGAGGATAGCAATGGATTTCAAATGCCTCACTAAAAAAAATTCTACCAAATTCACCCCATTGCATTGAGGTCTGATTGCTTGGTACATACACCAGCTATAGTAACTGTAACTGTTTGAATTCATGTGCTAGCACATTGCCAAAGTGCCACATGAAAACCCATTTTTTACATTATGTTATTATTTTTTTGTTTTAGTCTGCTCTCAGTACGCTGCATCACTGTTTTTCGATCCTCCAAGGACAGGTATTCAGTGTATTTTCCGTGTAACGTCTGCTTCTAGTACTGGTAGATTATTTAAGCAGACAGTTGACAAACTTGTTAGTAATGGTTAGTCATTTCTATAGCACCAAGTTCTCTTTACTAATTTGCAAAGGAAGGAATAGCAGCTAGTTGAGAGAATTGCTTAGTAAATCAGATCTTGGCCGGCAAAAGCCGCTGAATTAGTAAGTGTGATACGCAGTGTAAATAGTTTTGAGAATTGACATTAACAGTATTTTGGTTCCAATTTAAGTCTGAAATATATCTACTTTACAGTTTTATTGTGACTTATCCTAAGAGTAGCTTTTGCAGGTGAAAATCTAATTACACTTTATCAATTATTTTTATCTGGATAATTCATTATTAAAATTTCACATGGAACTTGATAGCCTTTCAAAGCAAAAAGTAGTTTAGGACTAAAAACCACAATATCTTTCCAGTTGTGTTTCTCCTTCCAACTATGAAAACAGAATTAACAAAAACTACCTTTGCTCTGTTTGAAATTTTTTTTAATCCAAAAACACATTGCTTTGGCTAGTTCATAAGAATCTAGTGTTACACTCCTCTTGATGTCTTTTCCATTTCCTTGTTACTTGTCTGCGAGGCATTGTCGTTGAAACGAGAAACTAGTGTTAAGTCTTCAATGAAAGTAACTCACCACTTAAGTTGAGCTTTATAGTTCATTTGTATTGTTTCCTTTTACAGGCAGCCGATGTTCAAAGTGAAACTTCAGGTACCTTTCGTTCTTTTATTTTCGCCGAACATTTTCATTTTTTTTGCTTTTTTTTTTCCTGTCGTAAACATTTTAAACCGTAATGTACATGTTAACTTTGCAACCTGCCTGGCCAGTCTAGTGTCGCCTGCAAGTTTTTTTCTACTTTTTTCTTTTTCTTTTTTTCCAAGTACCGGATTTTCAAGGTAAAATATCATGCAACTGAAAACGACTTAAAGGAATTCACCGTCGATATGTTTCGCTCTTTTCCAAGGGATGTTGTCGTCTATCTTCGTATGTCCCATTTTTGTTTTTATCCATCGAAAGTTGTGTTCCAATCTCTTATTTCTCTTTTTCTGTCTCATTCTCTTTTTTTCAAACTTTGCGTTGTCACAATGATCTGTTTCCGTAAAGCACCGTTAAATAAAGTGAAATTTATTTCTCAGTTTTTGTATAAATATATAACAACCAGGACCTGTTTTCTAGATCACGTACAGTCTCAAGGGTTTACCCAACAACTTTTACAAAATTACGCGTTTGACGTCCATTGTGATCAAACCCTTGATTGAATAATGGTTGAATTTTGACTTTGTCGACAGCGCGGCTGTGCCATTTGCATCTCCACCTGATATTATTTTATTCCTTTAATTGTCATGCCAAAACAGAACTAGTGGTTTCAGTGAGATACTGACAAAACTGTGATAGCCCGTTTTAATTTGGCTTTTAGTTTCTTAAGCAAAAGTTGTGTTAACAAAAATGATTTTTAACTAACGAGCTTTCCGAGAAGAAATTTGGTAAATTCGTGTCGAATGTAGTTTTAAAGTTTCTGTCGGTGCTTTCTCTTACCAAGGTTAATTTTTGGTTTAACTCAGTATTGGCTCTCTTTTAACAGAATCACGTCGTGAGTCCATAATCAAATGTTTTTAGTTTGATGTATTTAGATGTACATACGATACATTTATTATCACATGGGCGCACGAACCACTTGACAACTCATTTGTGTTATTGACGTAACAAGCACTCTTTAGCAAATTAATAATTCATTGTATATACTGGCCGACTTAGCTATATAAATGTGTAACCACCACGACACACGCTTCTTTATTCGGAGTTTTATTAAACCAGATATCATGTCAAAGCGTCTAATTAACTTCCACCGATACTTGAGAGTGGCTGGCTCGGCTGTCTCATAAACGTGGTACGTGCTGTAGTTTCCATGTAGGCGCCGAGCAAATTTATGCTAAATTTTTCACTCATTATGCTTTGCAGGTGAAAGTTTTATTGTGGGAAGTCTTTATTTTCTCCAGAATTGTGGATAGTGTTTTTTGTTTGTTTCAGTCTTCGTGTGTAAATTTTGCCAAAGTGTGGTGGAATCTGTTTGTTTTTTTTTTTTGTGGTCAGTAGAACCCACTAAATGTTACTACTGCGCGAATTATTGAGATGCAAAGAGCAGGCTTATGTAGAATATTCTTCACAGGGAGAGTAATTATTTTGCTATTGAATGTTTGCTATTGAAGGTTTCAATAACAATTTTGCAGCAAACTTAGGTTTAGCTCAACGTGGAGTAATTTGAACTGAGATGGAACCTTGCGAAAGATTATAGTACTGCGCCATGAGAGCAGGTTGAAATTAAATATAATGCAATGGAGTGTTGTTTTTTGCTTGTTTGCGGCTGTTTCCTCGATTTACATAACTTTCTGCTGAACACAAAGCAAAAAATTACTTAGTAGTGTTAATTAGTAAAATTGTTTGGCTATTTTTCTTTCAGCAGAAGCGTTGCAGCAGGACGAAAATACTTCCGAGTAAGTATAGCTTTCTGTTCGGATTTTGAGTCGAGTTTTCATCCCCAGTGTTAAAAAAAATATTCATTAATTCCTCCTCAATTTTCGCTGTCCAAGCGCTGTGAAAACGAACTTGTTGCATCCCTCAAATATTTATTTTCATAAGAAATAGATCAGCTAAACAAATTTCTCGCCAGTGATATTCTTGCGTTTTAACTTTTCACTTAAAATAATTAGGCAGCAAATGCTTCGCTGTGTTTACGATATTCTATTGTCAACATGCTTTTCATTTAACAGACGTTGTACTTATCAAACCCAGGCCTGGTCACAATTTACATTTAGCAGATCCCGCATTTATCAGATACTATCTTTATCAACCATCGTTACATTTGTTCTGTCATTACTCTGTTACATTTTTTTAATTAACATCTTTTTAATCGGGGTTTCCTTGAATATCCTATATTTCTTGACGCAACCGCGGTTTGTTTCGTCAGGTTTGCGGGAAAAAAGCGGAAGTGATGGATCGAGCTTGAAACCTGCTTTCTAAAGAAGTGTTATTTTTATGTCTTGACGAATGACACTCGCGCAACCTGCTACTCTGAGAATGAAAGCACTTGTTTTGAAACATCAAGTCTAAGTACAAAGCATTTTTTCTGTGGCAATTTTCCAAACTATTCGCTTCAACTTTGCAGGCAAATTTCGTCGTCTTCCATGTAATCATTTAACCGCATGGTCAAAATGTCTATCCATTGAGCCAAATGAGTTTTTTACTTCAAATTTAAAAGTGACCTGTCGAAAACAGCTATTTTAATCATTGGCTTGTATTTAATTTTCTCGAAAAAATAATGACTTAAGACCAACTATTGTTTGAAGGCGTTGATGTTTTGACAGATCTGACTATCTTGTTCAACGAAAGTCAAATTTGAGAAAATTATTGCTGAAAGTCCTCAAGTATGCTACAACAAGGGAACATGAGCCTAGCTTATTTTCTCTAGGCCAAAAGAAAGTAAACGGTGTGTTTTCATGAAGGCAGCTTTGGAGCTCACTTTATTTCGATGGAGAAAGCACTTGTTTCTGCAGCTCAAGACTGACTGGTACAATTAACAGTATATAACCACCTAAGCTTCCATTCTCAGATACCAAGTTCTTTCAGACGAGTCCTGTTTGGTAAGGATTGAGTTAATTCAAACCCAGTCAATAAATTTTTCTTAATCAACTTCAAGTTTAATTAATCGACCTGATTAACGATACAACATTTAAAGCGTGTGATTCCGTGTGCTTTGGGTTTTCATATGCAGGTGTATAGGTATTAGTCATCATAAAACAATGATAAATGAAAACTTGTTATCTTAAAACCGTGCAGTAAAACCTTCATAAAGTTAAGAAATGATAAAATTGACTTTTTTACCCCTTTTTCAGTTAAAACAAACACTTTTTGCGTAGCAAGGAATCAAACACGTTTTCTGAATTAGTGATTCCGTTCTTTTTGTCGTTTTAAAATTCTCCTAATCTCCTTCATCATAGTAACTTTAAACAATATATTTTGTCGTGTTCATTAAAAAAATAAAATTATATAAACGTATAAAATATGGAAGAAGCAGTATTCGAATTTTATACGTGCTCATGTAAATATTATTTAGACCTAAACACATGCTTTACTTGAGCTAAATGATTTAACTCAGGTTTCAAAGAACTCAGGGTCAGATCAGCGACAACGCTATGAGTCGACGACGTCATTTGAGGTAATGAATAAAAATGCGCATGTCATTTAAACATAGGTGTAACCTCTTACTTGTTTGCGACTTTCTTCGTCATTTTTTTCCGAGGGAGCAATCGACGTTTCGTTAATCTTCGCAAAGCTTATCCGAATATTTTGCGAATGAAAAGGTCCTTTGAAACTGATGCACCTCTACACTACCCACTGCTTTTAGAGAAGACTATTTTTTTCCTGGAACCGCGTTGTCAACCTCTCTAAGCAGAAGTACACGAAGTGCGCTGTATTTGGACGAAACTCTCGTAGATTTTCCTTCTTTTACCAAGATAATGTATAATCATGTTTGAAAGCGTAAAGATGTGGCTTGTAAAAAGACGTGGTTTTTTTTTAATTGACCTTGACTAATTTTATACATACAACTGAACAACTTCCCTCGGCAATGTCTCATTTGAGCATATTCGTTCATCTCCGACCGATTGAGCGATATTGAGCCCGCAATTTTCTTTTACGATTGTGTTGCCAAGCAACGCTTCCCATCTGTGAAGCCCGTCGACCACGTATTCAGTGTTATAGAGTTCTAAGATCGGCCATGATATCCAGAAGTGAAAACTGGGGCGAAACGAAATGAAAACATTGCGGACGATTGAGGAAAACGATGATTGTTCCCTCGGAAACTGTAACTTATGATAAAGCTGATGAAATCAGTTAAGGAATTATTGTTATTGTAACCTCAAAAACCCAGATTTTTTCATCAAAAAAGCCAGTTATACTCGGCAATTTTGTAAGATCTGAACAAGGGAAAGAAACCAAGGTTTGCAGTGTTGTTTTGTGCTACCGAGAATTTTGAATTGTGACTGCTTGACAACTAATACTTTAAAGTTTTAAATCAAAGCTTTCTGGCTTAGTGCGATTAACATATTTGTTCTCAAAGACGGGTAAAAACTCTCTCAGCCTTAAATGTAACAGTTTTGCTGGGAAGATTTGACGACAGAGTGTTTTGAAATTGCGAAAAAATGATTGCCAAGCAGTATTCCTCGGCAAACCAATGAAAATGTAACAAGATCACAGTAGCAATAAATTTTTTATGTACTCTTGGTATTGACGTAACAGTCTCTGTTTTGAGAGATGTAATCACAGACATTTTTTTCTGTTGAAGTGACCTGCGTCCAATTATCTCCTGTGATTTGAGAGATCTAATATATCGTTATTGAATGAATATGAATGCCATTCCGCTCCAAGATAATGAAATCCGAGTCCAAAAGTTCTGTTTTCATGAATGATTAAGCAAACGATAAGAAGGCGGAAAATACAGTTTTTTCTATGTTGGCGTTGTAGAAGAACAACAATTTGATATGAATAAATAATAACCAAACTTCAACATTCGACAATACGCGATGAATTCTTCAAATCCGGCTCTAGAAAAATCGACAGACACAAAGAACGTCTACCAGGGGAATATTTCTCGACTGATTTCGACAAAGCAGTGTTTGTAAGTAATTTTCGTGTGGGAGATTAGGCACTAGATAAATTCTATATCAAATGGCTTCGTTTAGCTCTGATTTAAGGAGAGAAGTGTTGCCTTTGCTATGGCCTATGTTACACCACAACAGGTCGGGATTAAACATTGTTTTCATTAGATTAGTGTCATATATATTTTTCACGTCGCTTTTTTTAAATTAAAGCTTCAAGACTCATGGGGATAAAACCGGCGGAGAGAGTAGGTCGTTTGGCTTCCACAGAAATGTTGGGACTCCAAAATCGCAAAGAAAGGACGGCAAAACATCTGATATTACCACGGATAGCTCAGGTGTAACGTGTTGCGAGAAAGCCAGGGCCGAGATGAAATACATTGACGGTGAGTAAAAATTTTTCTGAATTTTAAATGTGACCCGAAAACTTTACGTATTCTGTCTCAATTTTTTTTTTCAAACTTAGAATTTAAAACAGAAACACCTGTCGGTTTAAGTAGTAAATGTTGAATTTCAATATTTTAGGGCTATGTTTCGCGCAATTTAATTATAAGCGAGTACTATCTTGTCCTGAATTCTGGAACCTTCTCTTTTCTGACGATCCTCGACACCCATGCTGTTTCAATTTACTTTCTCTCTTTTGATGACTGCAAGAACCATGCTGTTCCAATTTACAAAATATAGTTAACAATTCTTATGAAACCTATTTTTTCGGCTTGAAGTCTGTGGAACACTCTGTGTAGATGAGGGTTGTCGGAAGCTTTTCCATTGTGCATGAAAGTTAATGAATGATTTGTCGTTACAAAATTTAGACACCCTTCCATATGCGACCAAAGAGTTCAAAAGTTATCATCTTTCCGCACAGGGTGATTCACTGATTTCTGTCACAAGTGAGCCTTATTATGGGCTAGCTCACCATAGGGCTTTTATGTAGCTCAATGGAAGAATATCGCATTACCGCGAAATCGGATGTCTTGGGTTCAATTCCTTTAAGGGGGACTTTTTTTTTTCGTTCCACGCTCGTGTCTAAACGAATTATTACTTTCTTTATTGACCACTAAATTTCTTTTGTTTCCTGAAATAAACATAATGCATTCGGCATTTTTGCTGTAAGGATTTGAGAACAGCATTGTAGACCAGACCGAGCTTAGTGTACCACGATTGCCGAGAAATCATTGCATTTTATTTCTTTGACGAGCAGTCATAAAAATAATGAGATAACCGTGTGTAAGTTTTTCTTATTCCATTGCCAGTTTGCCCAGACCATTTCTTCCCTGCGTGCTGACCATTCGGTCACCACGACCAAGATGACTAAAATCTAATTTCTCCCTACAATAACATTCCAAAATCACGCATTAAGGTCATGAGAATTAAGGAAATGATCATCAATCTAAGAAACCTTTCAGATTGTTATATAAATTCTCCCCGTCAGTACCTTTGAGAATGTTAAGAGAACATTATGGAGAATATGCATACTGATGGAGGGTGTAAAGACTTACTTATTATTTTTGGCGTTGTAGCTCGTAGAGAGGAAGAGGAAACTGACGACGAGGCCTATTGTACAGGAGAAGAACCTGAAAACCAGTCGGTTGAGGAACATAAAAGTGTTATACTACATCTTGTCTCTCAGCTCAAGCTAGGAATGGACTTGACTAAGGTACCTTGTGGAGTTCTCGAGATGTGCACAGGACTGAAATCAGTGGAGACATCGAATTCGAGTACTCGGTAACGAGTACAAGATTTGAACTCAAGTTTTCAGCATATAGTTATTGTTATTGTTTACGAAAGTAATTGAGCCCTTTCTTGATTGAAGAAATGTAAAACTTCTAACGTCAAGAGTTTTGGAAAACGTTAAATTTATAGCAAAAATAAGAAAATTTTTACACCCAGCCTCATCGTGTTCCATTGTTTCTAAAATTTGCATTGAATGGACCCTGTTTTAACGGTGGTCATTTCTACTGTGTTTTTTTTTAAGGTTGTTTTACCAACATTTATTCTTGAGCCGCGTTCCTTGTTGGAAATGTATGCAGACTTCTTTGCCCATCCTGATTTGTTTATTAAGTAAGTATCATTACTTTAAGAGCATGAACACCACGTGCATGGTCTGAGGTTGCCATGTGCAAGTCACATGCATACGTTTATGTCCATTATTTTTTTGGTAAATTGAAATTTCGTGCCTTTTGTTGACTGTAACCCTAACTCGAATATTTTCAATTTCATATCGTCTTTTTTTTTAGAATTCCTGACGGTCTCACGGCAGAAGATAGGATTTTATCTGTTTTAGAATTCTACTTAACTTCCTTCCATGCAGGAAGAAAGGTGAGATATCCAACAAGTTATCGTATATTTCTTAGTCCGTTCCTTCGTTTGTCTTCGTTCTTGTAGTCATTATTGTAATTCGTTAAAATATCTCTACATTTCTTTTTCTACGTTTAGGGTTCTCTAGCCAAGAAACCCTACAATCCCATATTAGGAGAGACATTTCACTGTTCCTGGAAAGTGCCAAGTTTGTCTAGCGGGAAACAAGCTTCCACAAACAGTCATATTGATCACTCTTCGACGGCCTCTGATGAAGGAAAAGTTTCGTTTGTTGCAGAACAGCTTTCCCATCATCCTCCGAGTGAGTAATTTAAACAGGTTCAACAATAGTGAAAATATCATTGTGCTTATAAACGTAGAAGAAGAGCTGTAGCGTTATTTGAATTCTTCTAGGAGTACAGAACAAAATATCGGTACACCATCTCGATTCCGTCACCTCATAAGATCGACACTGTAAGAATTTTTTAATTCATTGTGGTCTGTTGTCACTCTAACAGTTTCCGGGTTTTACGCTGAATGTCCAAGCAAGAAGCTGTGTTTTAATGCTCATATTTGGACGAAGTCGAAGTTTTATGGAATGTCTATAGGTGTAGTGAATCAAGGAGTAGGTAAGGATTGATCGATATCTGTCTTCTCCTTACAGTATCGATACGGTGCTAAGCTCTAAAGGAAAGAGAATGAAGTTGTCCTGATATTTGTCAGTTTTTATGTGAATTTATGCTTCTCCCTCCATTTTAGCTATGTACTATGACAAAAAATCGTTTTAGTTTTCCATCGCCGTAGAATGTTTGCTCTTTCCACTCCTTTTGGCATTGCTAAACTATTCCATAATTTCAGTGATTTAGGAATGGTAATCAAGAATATCGTACACTCAAGTTTTATATTGAAGTTGCTACCTCGTTTGTTTCAAATGTACAAATACATGGGACAACATTGTCTACTTTTTTTTAAATACTCTTTCTCCGATATTTGTTCGAACTCAGGCTCTAGTCGTTTTGGGAATCTGACTCCAAAAATTCCATTTTAAACAATATTTCAGTGTGACACTTTACTCGTCAACTCACGTTGTACGTTTGTCGCCTCTCTTCAGGTGTAATTACCTTGTTAGAGCACAACGAAGATTATGTTATAACGTTTCCTAGCACGTATTGCAGGTGAGAGTTGTACTTTGGATGGCTATGTTTTCAATCGAGTGTAGGTGAAATTCAGGCAGTTACAAAGGGTACTAAACAATAACAGTCATTCTGATTTTGTTCTTAATAAAGTGATATTCAAAAAAATTAAACGTCAGTGAATTTGAACAACTCCAAGGTGAGCCAACAGGAGCTCAAAGTTTTGAGGGAAAAGTCACTATTTACTAAAGTCTTATCTTTGAATGGCGGTTTAGCGTAAGATTTTAGACCAACCATGGTCAGGGGAACTCCAATTGTGATAACTAGGATATTTCGGGATACTTCTGGCACAATCTAAAACCTCTCTTTTAAAAGCTTATTGTCACTTCACTAAATCGTTACCTGGGTGTATTTTGATGAACGATTTTAATTCTGGTACCTAATTTAAACTGATCACTTATATCTCAACAATATTTGAGAGAACTGATGAATTGTTCAAAGCCTTTTCTTCGACAATTATTGAAAGCGTAAACCATCCTTTTGTTGAAATGTCTGGAGCTTTTACTTATCTTCTGCAATCAGTTTAAAAATGATATTTCAGGAACCCTGACTCTCCTACACCCCATAAACGCCCAGGCACGTGCTTAAAAATTTCAACCCAATTTCAGGTCAATTTTAACCTTTCCCTGGGTGGAGTTAGGTGGAAAAGTGAACATCACGTGCGCCAAGACCGGCTACAACGCGTCTGTGACGTTTCACACCAAGCCTTTTTATGGCGGGAAACTTCATCGAGTCACTGGCGAAGTGAAAAACACGTCATCTGGAAAAGTTATCTGTAAAGTGAATGGCGAGTGGAATGGCCAGATAGAAATGACCTTCACCAGTCATCAGGTTTGTGTGATTAAGCCCCCCAAGGGAGTTTGGGTATTCGGGTTTCACGGATCTTTTTTAGTAAGGTATACGGTATTTTATGTCAATACGGGAGTACCTTTCTCGTTTTGCAAGTAACGTTTTTATAAAACTTTGAATCTTGGGTGAAAAATTGGATTTATCAGTATCCCATTGGCTGTGGATAAAATTGTTTGGTTTTTTGTCCACACAGGAAGAACCAAAGATTATCGACACAGAGGCACTTCAGGTTTATCGAAAGAGTATCTGTCCTCAGTCAAAACAAGAAGAGTTTGAGTCTCGCCGGTTATGGCACAGAGTCACGCATGCACTGAAGACTGATGACATCGATTCGGCAACGTCAGCGAAACACGAGGTAAGCATAAAATCATTGTCTGCGAAATGAGGAACTTAGCATGCAGAAATCTTAGGATAACAGATTTTCATAAGCTGTAAAACGCTCACTACTTACGAAAATCTGCTGCTAATGCTCTTTAGAATAGAGGGTGACATCAACTAAAGGCTCGTGATTTACCAAATGGAATGATGTGAAACTATTTATTACCCACGTTTTTTTTCGTATAAATGATAAGTACTTCTATATTCTTGGGAAGTACACTCTACCACCGTGTCGTAAAACGTTTATTAATCTTAAAGCAGGCATCAGATGACTTTGTACAATTTTGCTTTTAGCTTGAAGAAAGACAAAGAAAGGAGGCACGAGAAAGGAAAGAGACTGGTGTCGAGTGGAAAACAAAAGTAAGTCGTCGCCCCTAAAAGTATGAGGTACTGAGGTGTGGTTACTGTTTATAAAATTTGGTTTAAATTAGAAAAAAAAATGATAGAAACACCTCTCGTTTGAGGTAAACATGCTTTACTCCAGACAAACAATCGTCTGAAAATAGGCCCATTTTTACACCGGCATTTCTCAGATGATATAAGTTGCACTGACTTGAAATCTCTAGTACTTATATGATGATGTGTTTTTTTAAGAAAGTGAATGGTAATTCTTGGTGCCATTATCGAGAAAGGTGTTTTTGTCGAGGATAGGGAATTTCTACCCTACGGCGTAACTAGACTGATACACTCATATAGAGAATTTCGTCAGATTTACGTGGAAAGTTTCTAGTCATCTGTCGATTCCTAAATCGTGTCCATTGTGCCAGTTAATCTCTTGTAAGGAGTTAGGAAAACTACTTCAAAAAAGATAATTCGAGTTAAAATTGACTTCCAGTTTTGATAGGAGCCAGAGCCCCTCTTATTTTGTGTGTTTCTTCTGTTTCAGTTGTTTCATCGCCATGGTGATGGTTGGATGTATAACCATCACATGAAAACTTTACTCAAATCCAGTTCAGAAGAGGCGTCTTCGACTTCAACTCAACCAACAGAGCAATGAGAAATACATTGCAAAGTCAATGGAAAAAGTGACCAGCAACTACCGCATCAGTTTTAGGATAGCATCCTTCTTAGCGAGGAAAACAAGGAAGTTACCACTCCCTTCATCTGTGGAATATGATTTATTTCCCGCCTATTACTGATTAGTTGATTTTATCCAGCGGATGACATATCTGAAAGAATAACGAGTTCATGTCTTCTGGAAGAGTTGGAAACCATTCTGTTTCTACTGGGAAGTGGAGGATGCCTTTAGACAGTAATAAAAAAGTGACAAACGTGATAGAGATAGATATGTTTGTACATCACGCGACTATTTACTTTTATTTAATTGAAAAAAATAACTTATTAGGTGAATTTTTTCATGATCGTGATAACGAGTTCTGGGACGTTTGCGATTGAGTGGTTGGGCAACCGATCAGAAAAGCGTGCTTGAAATGTATTCCTAGAGGCTGCCTGAAGTAATATCATCTGTCTTACACTGCAGTCTTACGATCGACTGGGTGCGTGTCATCTTTTAATTTGGTGGTATTCAACACCTGTAATTGGCGCATGTGTTTCCTTTGCGATCACATCGCGTCCAATCCTCGGTCTCGATCCACATCGGAAGTGACCAAATCGTTAGACAAGTGATAACGATTCATTACGAGAGTAATAACTGTTATCTTTTGTACGATACTTATCTTTTGTTTATGACAATTTCGACAATATCTTTGTAAAAGTAACCCCCCTCCCCATGGGTTATTACGATCATTAAAATGAGCGAGCCTAACTGAACGTAAACAAGTATATTTTTCAAACGCAGAATCGAGTCCTATCAGAATTTGCCACTAGGTAGGAGAACAGATAGAATGAAACCTAATGGCTTGACGAAATTCTGCTGAAGTAACTGGAATTTTTATAGTTAATGCATGAAATGGAGTATAGTCCATTAAAAATAGCGGAATATTAAAATTGTCAGTTTTAGTGCTTCTAGTCTATGGATTTTTCTTTTAATTTTAAGGACTTTTGAGATGATTAGGGGAACTCCGAGTTTCTCTGTGTCCCACCAGCCTTTGAACTAGGGTCATTTTATGTGATTTTGTGTGATCCATATCGAAATAGACTGACTTGCAAGACAAACGGTAGTAGAGACAATTAATGACGACAATAATAATGGTGTTTTCGTGATACTAATAGCGAAAACGATGCTCTTCACTCTCATTAAATCAGGAGCTATTATTACACTAAAGTGCTCTGAAATAGATATCTGAGAAACGTTTCCACTTAAAAGCGTAGGTCATGTCGGTTGTAAGGGAAAGTAAAAGCGTAACCAAGAAAGTTCCTTTTTTTAAATATTGCCTCAACAGGCATGAAACGGATAAAGTTAGAATCTCTTAAAAGAATGCTACGCTGTATTGTTGGGCAATTTTAGCACAGGCGCGAAAAGAAAGCGTGACCTACGAGCTGAGTCAAGATGGAATTCGCTTACGACGGGTAGGATATTGTTTTTCTCGGGGGTAAGTGACCGACTAAGAGTAGAATTGCAATAGGAATTTGAAAGGAATTCATTTCAAGGCTTATACCGAAAATGTTTCTATATTTTTTTTGTAGCCCTTTTGTGTGCCAAAAAAATCGCATGTATACGGCAATCTTCGGCTGTGATATCTTCCCAATCAAACATTACTTTGAGGCTTTGCACTTCGACCTTTCTCTATTAAAATTGTGCGATACTGCACACATTTAGAGAGCCGGTATTTTCTTGTTACGCTTGTCAGTGTATAAGAAATTAACCCTTTAGCTCCCAGAAGTGATTAACAAGTAACTTCTCCCTACAATATCCATGCACTATCCAGCAAACAGGTAATGAGAATATTCAAATATCTCAGGTAGAAGTTGTTATCTTGATCTAACACCAAATTCTTCTATCTAATTTACAAGAATAAAGGGGTAAGTTTCTAAAGAAACTGTGGTGCTGCGTCGGTGGGAGAGTATAGCAGGCAATTTAGTGTTAACAACTGGGTTGAAAACGTAAATTAGGCACCGTAAAGAGTAAAAAAGCTGACGTTTCGAGCGTTAGCCCTTTGTCAGAGCGATAGACGAAGGGCTCTGACGAAGGGCTAACGCTCGAAAAGTCAGCTTTTTTACCCTTTACGGTGGCTAATTTACGTTTTCAACCCAGTTGTTAACACTAAATTACCTGCTAATTTACAAGAAAATGTGTAACAGCTGGAGGGGAGAATTTACCATCAGATCCTGGGAGTTAAAAGGTTAAAGCTAATAAGAAGGTAACTCGATCCTCCTGTGTTTTTATCTCAGATGAAATGCAGAGCATTAATAGTCTTATCTGTCGCTGATCACTGACTTGTTGTAAGGTGGAACCGTAATATATTAGTCATTGTGCGCTGGATAAGGCTTAGTTCAAACGTCGATCTTTACATGTACCGAACCTAATTGCAATTTGGGTCGACTCGAATAATTAGGAGCGGCAGTTGATTCAAACGTCGATCCGAATTTAGTCGATCCTAATTGCAAAACTGATCATAACGCCATTGTAGTCAGCGGTTAATGCCTACCAATGGGTATACAGGTATATTTTGTGGATTTAAAACAAGAGGAGTACGAGCCTTCCTCCTTTCCCGCCATATTGTTTGAATGGTTCGAAGGCTTTCGCGCATGGCACGTAAGCGAACTTTCTTGAATTGTGGATAAAACATAATTATTTTAACGTATGTATAATGTATGCATTAAGTTCGGTACATGCAAAGTACGACGTATGAATCAATGTCGATCTTTTACCGTTCTATCCGACTAGCCGAGTCGGATAGAACGGCGCTGTCGATCCGAATACAAATCTGCCGATCCTAATTGATTCAAACGTCGATCTTTACATGTACTTAATAGAAACGTTAGGTTCGGTACATGTAAAGATCGACGTTTGAACTAGGCCTAAAACTATCATTGCCGTTTAACTTTAGCAACACAATAGCATCTCACTGCAAAATACCGCCCTTGTCCAATTTTTCATTTGACACTTGGCAAATCCTTTCAGAAATAATGATGAAAATTGTGATAAGAGTGAGATTAATAATAACCGTTATACCAGGAAGAGAGGTGATGCAATCAACAACGACAGTTATAAACAAGCGTATTTAATATCTGCTAAATGCTAAGGTGACAGTGAACTAATCTTCTAAAACTGAATGGCTGCCTTTAGTCACTAATGGGTCTTCCTACTTGTCGACTTGTTTCTTCCTCTGAGCCTTCTTTAGATTCCCTATAAAATGAATAAAAAATATCATGAGATTATACATCATTTTAAAACAAGACCTGACGACGCCTATCCCAATAACAAGCGTAAAACTCAAAATACAAACTATGTGTATCAACTAAAAAGTAAACAACAAATTTTAAGTAAAGAAAAATCTTGCCCAAGTCTTACCTTTATGGGACATCCGTACAACTCTATGCGCATGCTCATCCAACTATTGTAGGATAGTGGATGGATTTTGACAAGGCGTGCGTGGAATGCCGGAACAAATTCATGAGTAACAATGGAGTGGCGATCGTAATTTCCAGGAAATACCTGTAATAAAATTTTGTTGAACATCAATCTCAAAAATTTCTATCTAGATACATATTTCAAAATATACATGCGAGTTCAAGCTCATTCTTTGCAACTCACGAGACTCGTCGGTTGATTTAAGAGCATTTATCTATTTAGAGTCGTACAGATAAACAGAATTAAGGAAAATACCACTAGCAGCCGACCAGAACTCCCGGTAAGGCTAAGTTACTGTCAAAAGCGAAGAAAACGGTGATTGACCAAGTTGCTATTGGTTTTAGGTTTACTGCTGATTGGATTAAAAGATAGCACGATGTTCTCTAGGCCGATCTTTATCCTGAGTATGGTGGACTAAAACCAAAGTAGACCTATATTATTTTAGAAAGACTGTCGAAAATTAATGTGACGTTGGAAAAACAGGATTTCTCCAAGATTTACCTTCTTGTTCCCACGGCTCATGTGGTAGACCCAATAGGGACTCACAAGACTATAGGAAACAGCATAGCTGGTCACCCATTGATCACAGCATTCTTGCCTCCCTTGTGTGGCGACTTTGGTCACAGTAGTGGGTCTGCCAAGATCGATTTGGATCCATTGGTGGGCATCTTTGGTCTTGACACACCAGGCCCCTGCATAGCCAGATGGTGGCACCAGGTTTAATCGACCTAGTTTGACGGCATGCTTTGCGTCGTAGAATGACGAGGCAGACAGTGCATTGTCTTTGATGCGGCCATCTTCCATTCCAAGCGACATCTGGCAGTGATAAGCTTGAATATGTCGAAAAAAAGACAAAAGGGAAATAAAATGGTAAATATTCATCGAAAGATATAAATGTCAAATGATCTATAATTTTTAATTTTTTTTTTCTCATTTCGATTAAAATTTCGATTAAGCCTTGTATCCGATATCTTAAGACACAGTCGGTTTTTTATCATTTAGATTTTCATAATTACTATGCAGCTGAAAAAACGTTTTACGTTGTAATGTCTATAGACAAGAAGTTTCTTCTCAGCCTTAAGATTGAAGTGCGCTGTATCGCAACGAAACATGAATGTGTAGAGAAAAAATAAAACAAGAAAATGAAAGAAAAACCGGAAACAAAAAGCTCCATTGCTCTCTATTACAAAGTTATATTTGTACTTCGTATCTTGAAAAATGCCGGACTTAGAATGAATTGATCCAACCAAAAGTAAATTACCATTGCATCCGTAAACCTCAGCTCTCATGGAAATATGTTTGTGCCAAGTCCAAGGATGGAATCGGATATATGCGGCTTGGATATGGGGATGGAGGAAGTTGTACACAGGAGTGTTTTCATCTACATTTCCTCCAAATATCTGGTGATATGAAAAGCATCTAATTTATCACTTCAACATAACTATAATGCACAACTCAGATGATGTTTTAAAAAAAAATTTAAATTTGAAGCCTGAAAGGACACAGCACTTGATGTCATACGTATACTCAATGAGTGCTTAATTTAAGAAAGAGAGTGTTCACTCCTTGATTTAGGTATCAATATTGATCTCGGTTTTTCCTGTCCTCAAAGTTAGTATTTGTCTCACTTATTGTTTAATTAGAATGATTTTAATAACTTGGTAATGTCAGCAAATTATGCTTCTCGTTCACATGAAACATCTGAGGAAAATAAAGAGAATAAAAAAGGTAACACAGACTGTGTTTTTTCCCTTTCGGCCTTGAAGGTGACTTCTCAGTAAAAGTAAAATTGTTGAGTGAACTACATTAACCTTGGTTTGTCCATCAGAGAGTCTGTACCAGGCCCAATGGATTCCATCTGAACTGTAAGATAATTTGAAGCTTGCCACCCATTGACTGCAACAACTATACCTCCCTTGAATCGCCACCTTAGTCACTGTGGTCTCACGTCCAAAGAAAACTTGCAGCCATTGGTTGTGATTATTACTGGCAGCGCACCATGCCCCAGCCTTACCCTTGGCGGGAATCTTGTTAAGGCGGGAAAACTTAGAGATGTGATTAGCGCTGTAAGATGTGGATGCTGATAAAGCACTGTCTGGAAGATAGCCGCTTTCCATTCCTAATGGCAGAAAACAGCTGCAATCTGTTGGTAAAGCAGAGCGTGATGATAATAAAGTTAGACGACTTACGGAAACTGGTGGATCTTGGAACATTAGTTGAGCAAAAGCATTTACAAAACTAGTAGTATCAGGACGCCTCAAGGTTCCATTATAATACTATTTATTATGGACATTTAATTGGACACATCAAGTTCTTGCGCTTATTTAAGAAAAGGGAAGCTTGCATCATAGCTCAGTATTTATAAAAATTTCACAACTATTCCTGTTTTACCAAGTAATTTCTTCAATTTTCTACTTATAAACTCTTACTACTGATTAATTACCTGTTATGTTTGGTTTCGACATCGTGCTAAGATAAACATGCTTAGGCTTTCAATAATCTTGATTTTTTTACCGCCAACCAATACAAAGTTAACTGTACCTACCCCGAATTGACCTGGCCGCGTGAGTGTGTCCAGTGCTTCTTTTCATGAAAGATGCTCCATGAGCTTTGTTTTCTTCGGCATAGGAAACCTGGTTTAAAAGTTGGGAAACATCACATTTTTATTCTGTAAAAGTTGTTTTCTTGATAGAACCTTCAGTTCTTAGATCTTATTTTTAATATTATTTTCTGATTATTCAGCCTTCAGTTTTTCTCTATCGAGACAGTTATACGTCAAGATGATGGTTTTAATTTTATGGCATTCCGTGTAAATCATAGCATCAGTTTTTTTTCGCGATCCCTCTATTTTCCAACTTGGGAGAGATATTGAGAAATGAATTTTATTGAAAGCCAGAGACAAAATAATTTCTGCGTTTCGATTTATCTGCATCCCTCCTAGCTTTGCATTGTCCCTCTTTACTGAGAAAGCTTTTTTTTTTTATGAATGTTGATAATCAAGTTTATCGACGTAGTTTAATAAACCAGACACAGGTTTTCAACACATTTAATTGCTCTTCAAAAGAGAAATTTTGCTGGAGTATTTCTAAATTTTTTTGGAAACTAGAGACGATTTGCTCATTTTTCTCTCAACTTGTGTAACGAAATCGTCCTGTGAGAAAATTGCCATAGAGTGACAGATTCAAGGTTTAAATTTTGAAACGTTTGCCTCCCGCGAGATTTGAGACATAAACAGAGCTTTCGTCGATGATCATGATTGTTCACCAATGCAATTCAAACAGCAGGCACGCTAGAATTATAACTCAGCAAAATTTGCTCAGGGTTAATTTAAAGGCAGTAAACGATTTTGCCATGTCAAAAAGTTGTTCAGTTTGCGGCTTCTCATCCAAAAATCGATCGCACATCTTGTTCGCTGTGCAGAATAATCGCGTTAAAAATTATGTGCATGCTCAAAAAGAGTCATTGATAATCTAAGATGATGATGCTTGATTACTCACCCGGACAACCTTTGCTTTTGAGAAAACCCCAAACAAAACGAGGATCAGTAAGAAATTGCTTAGTCGAAACATTGTAACCTGACTGATAACTAGGGTTTGTCGTAAAGCTTGCACTGAAGCAAGTAACAACAAAGATGAATTAAGGACAATATTTTAAAGGTTAGATATATTCAACCGTTTTCAGTTCGGCAAGCAAGAAATTTCCCGCTTTAATCAGTCATTGTTTAACATACCAAAATATTGAGCATCACTTCTGAAACTGATTTAGGCACTTTTGAAGAAGAAATGGAAATGCTGGCAGATTATACAATCTGTTCTCGTATTCTCTTAAACAATCATGGGATATATACTCCTTTCCACGTGAGGTGTTTAATATTTTATTTCAAAATAAGAAAGAAGTTTTTAGTTCGTGACTTGGGGCCACACCTGCTGTCAGATGCCAAAAGACCGACAGTGTTTGTTAGAGTACTGCAACGTGGCCAATTAAGAAAAATTTGCATTTTAGCGAAAACATCCCTATTCAGAAGACATCCATGATCATCATTCAGAGGGCAAAGTTGGAACCTAATAACTTTGTGGAACAATAACTCAGTGGTATTTTTCTATTTGTCTAATTATAAGTAGTGAGGTCACACGCGACTCTTACGACAAGAGCAAACGGCTAAAGAAAGTACTCTGATTTGAAAAGTAGTGAAAGGGGTATCGTATTTTAATTATATGCAAATACATTTATAAATATAACTTCATAAAGTTCAATTTTTATCGTTGACTGTTTGCCTAAAACACCGTACCTAATCTATCTAAGGAACGATTTTGTCCATAGCTTCTTTTAAAGGTTAATGAAGTCCTAACAAATTTAAAGTACCCAAAAAACATAAAAAATGAAACATAAGATGAGATAACATCACAGAATTAAAATAATTTAATCGTTGTGAAAATCAATAAAGGGCATTATTTGTTAAACAGTATGACACTTCTATTTTTTCAGTTGATGTCTCCTTCCTCGGAGACCGTTTTTCGTCATCCTTTCAACTTCGCCGGCATCTGTATTAACTTCTTCGCTCTCTTCTCTCGTTTGCACAATTATTACAGACAAAGAGGAATCGAATCAAACGAAAACAACTTAAGTGGAAGAGCACGTAAAATTCTGCTCCTCAAGTTTGCTATCGCATTGAACGAGTTTATTTTCCAATCGCCGACAACTAGAATTGCGTGGAATTTTTATAGTGATGAGGAAAGATTTGACAATCTTTCAAGCCAACCACAGCGATTTGACGCTTCAAATTTCTTTTCATGCTTTGTGTAAGTGCGTGATAAATTCGCCCGACCTTATTTGTCTGATTTGGGTGACTTTATGACTTCATTATAACGATGTGCTCACAGAACAGCGATGTTTGTTTAGAGAAAATCAGACTTAGATGCATCATACGATTCAGAAAACTATAGTCTTCCCATAGTAAATTTTTTTTTTGGCCTTTTTTTTGGTGGGGGGAGGTGGGGGGCTGGGTAATTGTTTGTCTTAGTTAAGATAACCAAAACAAATGAAAGCGCCACAGCATACTTATCAGCTAATGAAATGACAAGCTATATCCATCTTAGGCGTATTATTTTGGTTTCCAATCCAAATTTTTGTTACTTTCTGAGAATGGTCACCGAAATCTTGCGTTTCTTTTTCATAATAATTAACCAAAGAGCCCTTCAATTTCAGACTGATACTACAAAAAAATGAACCACAAACCCACTGGGGAACTGAAAATAGGGAAGATAAATTGGACACTATTCACAATTCAATGGAATTTAGTTCTTAGACCATAGATAAAGATTTTATTTTGTTTTAGGAAAAAGCGGAATGTCTTATGATTCCATGTATGTCTCTTATCAACGGTCCATCTAAATGATCTTTTCAGTCGGCTATCCTTTGATGCCGAATGTTTACTCTTCGTGCTAACACTGAAGTATGCTTGTTCCTCTAGGATGATTAATTTTCCTCAAAAAGAGAACAGAATTTCGTTGGTTCCTTTTCACGAGAAAAGGGCCTCCATTGGTTTACAAATTTTTCCTGTTGGTAGATTGCAGTGACAGTTTCGTATGAAAGCTGGTGACAAAACATGTTTCTTTCGACAATTGGTAATCAGCTTATAGCAATATTAGAAATAATTAAACAAAATAACAGTAGATTATTTACAATTTTTTGAACTGTGATTTCTCTGAATAAATAGACATCAACTTTTTCACAGAATATTTATTTGACTATTTAGTTTTAAAAACAATGAAAAAAAAAAGATCAAAACTTCTTGCAGTGGAATAAATTATGCTTGCCCTCTGATGTATCTTTGAGATTCATCTTTTAATGTCCTTCAGAATTTTAGGAACTATGAGCTCTTGACCCTAAGTAACTCATCATAACTAGAACATGAAAACAGATTTTCTTTTTGGGTTAGTCATTCCGTCACAAGTTTCTCCGTCTTAAATCCAACGGTTATTATAGAAGACCTAGAATTTTGATACACTAAAACTTTGAGCTCTCAGTGCAACAGAAATGATCTTATTGCGATTCCGATGATCTTGGCGAAGCAAACAACACTAGAAAATGCGCAAAAATACTCTAGATGATGATCACTCTTTCTGAGGTCACTACTTTAAGAAATAATTCCGTACACGCAACTAACAGATACGATAGTGATCCTAAGGTGCTCGGAGCTAACACGTGACTCTCCTCTTTACATTCACATTCTTTCAAAATCAAAACAAAATGATCTAAGAAAACATTTTTTAAAGTCATATTTTCCATTAGATAGATTAAAGAATTCCTTCCACGGTTTACAGTTAGTCAGCACTCAAAAGACGAGGAACGAGAACACGAACAAAGAAGCTGTTGTGTGGAAATTTTTAATTTACTTTTTAGCACTTGGGGAGCTACACTTCCTTATTTTCACAGATCGACGGCTCTGTTGATTCACCTGTTTTAACTACAAAAATTAATTACTTCAAGAGCTGAAAGACCAAACAATAGTTGTATCTCAACACTCTCACTTATACCTTCGCTTTGAGGAGGAACAAGACCAGCCGTCTTTCTTCTTTCCATTTGAAAGATATGATTCAGCTATCCTCAAAATGGAATATCGTTTTTATAAAGTGAAAAATACCATAATCTCTCTGCTTTTGATTTCTGTCGAAGTTATATTTGTGAATTCGGCATCTCCAGCAGGTAAGAGATATTTGGCGACTTTGACGTGACAAAAGAAAGAAAAAAAAACCGTTCGCATTTTTACTTTGAGCCTTCTCCCAAATATTTTGGACTAGCTGTAGGTTTGTCGCATTTTCTATTCCCTCTTAGAAGAAGATTTGGAAAGGAACGGAAAGGTCGGTTTGCGATATTGAGTCTTCTTAGACTATACTGTTGCTGCTATCACAAAAAAAAAAAGATTTTCTGGGGTGATTGATCATGTTTTTTTTACTTTTTCTTGGCTTGAAAGTAAATGGTGGTTGGTCCGGTTGGTCAATATGGAGCGGATGTGCGGCTGGGATTTGCGCGGGGAATCAGCGGATTAGAACAAGGACTTGTACCAATCCGATTCGAAGTAAAGATGGAAAGTACTGCGTTGGAGAGAGCTCTCAGCAGATGGACTGCATGAGTAAGTGTGTTTTTAGGCGTGTGGTTTGGAATTAATTATTTCCTGATTAACAAAGAAAATCACTAATACAGGCATCAATAATCGTGGATACAGTTATACAATGAATGCTAATGGTCTGACGTTCGAAGATGGGAAACTTTAGATCATGAGACTAAAGAAAAAAAGATAAACTTTTCCTGGTGCAAAACAGTTCCCATGAAAATATCTTGAAAAAAAAAAAAAACAAAATGGCACACCTAATCTTTCATTTAGCTTAGCCCAACCAAAGATATTATACCGGTTGTAATCGAAAAAAATTTGATTGAAGGGTTTCCTTGTGGTACCAATATTCAATATGTATCACAAAGTCATGCTGACGTGGCTTTCAGAAAGGTAATATCTACATCTGGCAACCTCAAAGGAAAAATTGTAGGCTCACCTTTTTTTTTAATTTAAACAAAAGACCAATATAAACAGCTTTATTTTTCGCCAGTTATAGATATTTTCGATTTTTATGAAGACTTTAATAGTATAAATTGTGCCCAAAATAACATAGATGAGGGGATCAATTATTATTCTAGAGATATCTACACGAGATAAGCTTAACTAGAACGATACTAATAAAAACATATTTTGATAATGTATACTTAAAAATAAGAGAAGTGTTTTTAGAAATTAATGTATTTCTCAGGTAAGAACGATTACGTGACCTTTGATATATATTTTTTTATAGCAACGGAGGATTAGTTTTTTCATAGGACTTTTGCACCGTCTCCAGCAAGAAGGATCAACAGTTTGAATGGATGATCCGCCAGATTCTTAAAGTTCTGAAAATTTGCCTATTAACACTTCACGATTTGCTTGTCAGAATCTAAATCTGAACTTATTCGTCATCTGACAATATTTCATTGCAGTTGATGGTGGTTTCACAGAATGGAGTCAGTGGTCTCTGTGCGATAACCCTTGTGGGGGATCTGTGGTTAACAGGACAAGAACTTGTGCCAACCCCACCCCCTCTCTGGACGGGAAGCCATGCACTGGAGCCACAGTACAAACGAAGATGGAATGTGTTGGGCCTTGTCCAAGTAGGTCGAATTTAAATCGCGTACATGTATATGGATAGCTTTGAACAAAAGTAGAATGGACATTTTCGGAAGAAATGATACAAAACAAAAGAGAAACAAAAGTAGTGTATTAACGAGTCATTCACACTAGTTTGATATCATGCATAGCCGGATTAGCGAAAAAGAGTAGGGTCTTGGCATGAAATACGTTTGTTTTTTGCGATCGCGAAAGTGTATCAGGACTATTTATTACAATGTAATGGATATTCTTAGCATTATGAATACTCTGTAAAACAACGATTTTACGGGCTTTACAGTAAACGCAAGAGAAATTAACTTTCTCTTCCCAAATACGTATATCTACAAGTGGGCCTCTTTCTTCTCTGACTCGTTTGCTTGACTCTTAGCGGGTCCCCTCGACGGTAATTGGGGTTCCTGGACTCCTTGGTCAACCTGTCCCAAAACATGTGGTATGTCGGATGGAAGCATTCTCAGACGAACTAGGTTGTGCAACCAGCCTCCCCCGATGAATGGCGGGAAGCTGTGTGACGGCGACGACACTGAGACTGCGAGATCTTGTTTCACACCTTGTCCAGGTTGGTACGTTGCTGATCACCTAACGTAACACATGAAATACAAAGAATCCATCATGTTTAATTTATCTCCGATTAAAGTGATCGGAGCTTTTAAATACAAAGTAAAGGCGACAATGAAGAAATATTTATCAAATCTGTCACATATCACGGTCACAGACTTGTTGTAAATCTACCAATTTGAACAATTAAGAGCTACTTCTTTTTAAAGGTAACTTTCAATAGGCAAAAATCTTCTTGTGACCTTAATCCTTAGGAATATATGATTAGCGTTTTAAGGTTTTGCTTGTCATACCTTTTTCTTCTAGTGGATGGTGGGTTCACTTTGTGGTCTACATGGACGACGTGTAGCCAGAGTTGTGGGACTGGCTCCAAATCAAGAAGCAGACTCTGTAACAAACCATTACCTACAAATGGAGGAAAAAACTGTACCGGGGACTTCATTCAAGCGAAGAGCTGCAAGCTTACGTCATGTCCTGGTACGGATAAATTCTCTCTCTGCACTCCTTACTAGGACTAGCTTATGCAAAGGCACCAATAATGATTCAAAAAAGAAGAAATTTGGTAACTTTTGAGCACAATCATCGATAAAGAAAAGTTACTATTAATATTAAAAGATCGTGCTGTATAAAATTCTGAGTCCTCCACGAGGAAGCAAAATCCAGACATTCGGATTTCGTGGTCCGATACTCAACCATTGGCATACACAAAATTTTTCGGCGAGCTGAGCTATCACAAGGTACATAGGTAACATGCGTGTGCATATTGCTGGAATCGGTAATGCCGAAGGCATAAGCAAGAAAAAGGTTTTGATAATTTTTATTTATTTTGTTCGGCAAACCGTACTTTAATTTTTTTCCGTTGCTCACACGGTGCTTAGAAAATGCTGATCCCTGTAGATACTGTTGCAGCCAGGGTAGGGGTTGGCCTTTTCATATTCGTTAAGCCTTTACTCCCATGAGAGACCAAGACATAATTTTACAATATCAATACAATATCAAGCAGACAAGTGATGAGAATAAAGAAAATTGCTAATTAGGGGATTATAAGGTGATCCAATGCCAAATTCTCCGAACTAAAATCACAAGAACTGTATGACAGACAGTAAGGAGAATTAACAATGAGATCTTAGGAGTTAAAGGGTTCAGAAGTGAGTAACAAATAATCGTTGAAATGACGAGCTCCTTGACTAAAGATATTGCAATATTACGTCATAGGAGCTGTTAATGGTGGTTGGTCAGCGTATTCGTCTTGGAGTGCATGCACAGATTCAAAGTATTGTCTTCAAGGCATGAAAAAACGCACCAGAAAATGCACCAGTCCCCCTCCAGCAAATGGTGGCGATGATTGTGTTGGTCTTGCAGAGGAGGTAAAAAAATGCCCAACGGATAAATGCACAAGTAAGAACTATTTCCTCTTTCTAAATAACACAATACAGTACTTTCACAATCTGATTTGGTGTAGTAGAGAGTTTGTTAGAAGGGAGAGAAAAGGCAATGAACCGTTGAGGTATTAGAAGCGTATTCCTTTTTTTTTATTTCGGTTCGCTTTGGGATTCTTTCCTTGGACTCTTCTTCTTTCCTTAAGAATTGTTCACCTTAGTCCAACCATGAAAGGGATCTTTGTGAATTATTGACCAAGAGCAAGGGCTTGCGTTTTAGATGATAGTGCCGTAAATTACTTTTAATAACTTTAGCTATGAAAGAACACGTGATCTGATGCCCTCGCCGACCTAACTAACTAGAGAAGGAAATATCTGAACAAAAAGAATTAGATGATTAATAAAAAAAACTGCTATTGCTTTGATTCACTGTATCTTAAAGAGATTATATGCTTTTTTTGGATGTATTTTAGAATATCAGCCACTTAAGCTGGAAAAAACTGTAGCAGACCCAAAGTCTTGGATTTATCTCGAGTGTGGGGCAACTGAAAAGTTCTTTGTTAATGGATCCCACAAACAAAACCTTCCATCTGGATTGTTTTCAAGTCAAAATTTCGGTTTCATTAGAGCTGAATTGGAAAGCGGATATTTTGCAATCCAAATGCTTCCTGACGATAACGACGAATACGGAGAAAAGAAAATAACAAAGGTTTGTTCGCAAATGGAATAATGAGAATAGCATTGTTTTAAAACGCTGTCGTTGAATAAGGAAAGATGGTTTTCGTTTTGTTGCGCGCAAGTGTGAGAAAATTATAAACTCTGGATCGTCAACGAGTGATCGAAAACTCAGACATTCGGATTTGCACTCCAATGCTCTACCGCTAAACAAAAGAGAACTCAGTTGTTGCCTAAGCTATATGACACGCGCCGTGCATGTCAGTATTATCAATGTCGAAAGCGCTACATGAGTAAGTAGAGTGTGATGAATATCATACTTTTCTTTTTTCGGCAAGCTTTTGATTACGCGATGGTTTCGAAATGGCTCTTAAACACTTCTTAAAGTTGATTATTGATCCCTTCCACTCCAAAGAGGAACGAAAATCAATCTCTCCTTAAAATGCTAATGCATTTTCAATCGGAAAGGCGATGAGTAGAAAGAAAAATATAAATGTCAAACAGGGTTAGTACTTAAATTCAAACTAAATAAACAGAGCTAAATATAAGGTTTGTATGACAGACGATAAGAAAAATTGTTACTTAGATCTATAGTTTAAAAGATAGGCAATATGAAATAAAATTTCTATTTAGATCTGCTTTGAGATCATCGACCCGCTGACAATCGAAAAAATTGTCACCAACAAGGCAGCTTATTATGTAAAGATCAGCGCTCTACCGGGGTGGACTAAGCCTGAATTAAATGAGACAATTCCAGGATTCACCATCTGGATTGATGAGGCACAAGCTTTGAGAAAGTACGAGTTCCTATGCGCAAAATCCGAGAAGTATGTCCCATACACCGAGTTTGTTATGCAGGATGTCAGGTGAGCTCATAACATAATGTATTATTAAATTTTTTTCTTTATTAACATAATTATTTTTTTATGTTGCGTTATTTTTACCTGTCGCAACTTGACAACATTTGGCTCCAAAGCAATTGCCGATATATTATTTCAGTCACCGATGGACTCTATCTGTATTTGTTGCTGTTTATTATGTCATTCGTCGATTCATAACATGCGAGAATTGACAGATAAAAGATCGGGTGAGCCAACCACGAAAGCCACCTCACCAAGCTGTTCGCGGACCAGTAAGCCATTCAGCCAAACTCAACCAATTTAGCAAGCAACTTACCACTTGACATATCACTCGCAAGAAAACAAAAACATAAACCAAGTATAAGCATGAGGAATTTTAGATGAACATATTTGCCAATTCACATTTGCAGCCATTCATCATCATACGTTGAACACTCTTCAAAAAAAAAAAAAAATGAAAAAAACATGACCATTATATTTATACTTATCTGCTCTGATATCTGAAAATTTTGTCTTTGTGCTAGATTCTCCTATTATACCGAGGGAAATTTCCAGACTTTTAAAGCCAAAGGAGATTACTATTTAAAATCAGGAACTTTGTTCAAGACGGAAGTAAAGAAAAGCGGAGGAGTGTATGCCACGGGGAACGCTGACTCAGCTAATTTTGGTGATATGATGGCGTCCTTTGGTTTGGATCCACACTATTTACCGGAACCTTTCATTAAGGCATTGACGTAGGTTTTAAAACACTGGACCATCTATTTTCGAATGCCTTGTGTGCAAAGTTACAGGTTTTTTCTATGCAAATGTATAAACTTTGGTGATTCTGAACATTTCTTCGTTGTTTGTTCCCGTGCGTCCGATTTATTAGAGATGCCTGAAAGAAAAAGACTAATCTACAGTAAAACTCCTCCTCTTCCTCGATGAAATGCTCCCCATTTGGTGAAATATAAGCTATCGGTAAGGCTCTTACCGAAAAGTATGCTTTCCGCCAAGAGAAAATTCGTTATAGATTCTAGCCATGTTAATTTTGCTCTGCGACCCTTACAACAAAGAAACAACAGTAATGATGATGAAAGGAAAAAGAAACCCGTAATAGTATTCATGAAAAGAGAGAGACGCAAGATGAGTCATTTTAGACTCACTCTACTAAATGGTTTTTCTCGTAGACGAGTTGGCATCTGGAATTTTACCATGGCTCCTGCCCAGTTACTTAGAAATCTGCAGAGAAATGGAGTATTTAGATTCACAGCATCCATCGACGCCCTTGGAGTGCCAGTCCACGTTGAAGTTTTGGCAGGCATCAGATTTGCAAGGCCGACATTTGCTGTTGGATTTTCCTTCGATCGTGGGTCGTTTGGAAGGCTGGCAGAAAAACTGTCTGGAATCGACGTTGATTTCCTGGACAAATTTGGTGTAGAGCTCGAGGTAGTAAGGATTCTATGTTCGAACACTTTTTGTTTTAGTACCTTAAATACAAACCCAAGCCAGTTGTGTCAATCACTCAAAATATTCGTCAATATATCACACGGGAACAACGAGAGTTCAAAGTGGAAAGGCGTTCCAGGTTTCTTACTTTCTCTACTGAGAAATTCAATCGTTTTTATTTCAGTGCTTGTTTGATTTTCTTGTAACAGAATTATGCAGCGAAATACAATTATGTGAAAAGATAGAGGGGCCGCAGCCAGGATAAAACATCTTATGAAATTTAAAAAACGATCTCTGGCTAAAACTTTTAAAAATACGAGCTTTCGGCTGTTTGCGCTACAGCCTTCAACGGGTAAAATGGTAAAAAGGTAAAAAATACTAGGTGTGAAGTACAAAGTAAAAATTAAAAATGCTGATAACTAAGAATGTTTGTTAAAAAGAATGTTGTATTGTCCGGGCAAAGGACAGGAATTGTTGTCCGCATTGGGAGTTAACTTGGAATGCCACGCTTCTAGTATTTTTCTTGTTCTGAAACCGCCTTTGTCAATAATAGATGCATTATCAAAGTCTATTGCGTGACTGGGACAATAGTCACAATTCCTGTCCTTTGCCCGGACAATACAACATTCTTTTTAACAAACATTCTTAGTTATCAGCTTTTTTAATTTTTACTTTGTACTTCACACCTAGTATTGTTTTTACCTTTTTATCATTTTACCCGTTGAAGGCTGTAGCGCAAACAGCCGAAAGCTCGTATTTTTAAAAGTTTTAGATAGAGATCGTTTTTTAAATTTCATAAGAAATACAATTATATGCTGACTTCTACATTTTACTGTATACTTTTAACTCCTTCCTAACAGATTGGCGTATCTTTCCACCCTCCGAGTGGCTTAGGATTTCAACAACTCTATGTCGATTCAGAGACAAAGTTTTCCAAGGAACCGCTTCATAGTTACATCTACACAAGTGTTCCTCAAGGTATGTATACCCCTGCCAAAAGATTCTCTTCTCAAGATTTGAAGCTCACTTACATGCCATCATAAATTACTTCTTTAAAGGAAACGCAATCTAAACTAGTTATTTTTTTCTAACTTTGTATAACATCAGACGAAATTGCTGAACAGGTCAGACGTTTTCTTTTCAGGATTTTTCCCCTCGATGGAAATTTGTTGTTGTTATTGTTGCTTTGGATAAATAATTTTAATTTTCGTGAACTATTTTGGCTCATAGGTATCTTCGCTGTAGCTCAGGTTGTCCTTCCAAAAGACTGTAAAGGCAACAAATTCTGTGAAATTATGAAGATGATTGTAGGGCCGACAATTAAATGGTATATCACTGGTCACTTTGAATGGAAGAAGATCCGAATCGCTACCGGGTTCGCTAATGTTCGCATCCAAGATGGCCTTTACTTTCACAAGCTTGAACTCTACGTCGAGGTACTTGTGGAGAGACTACTGACACCTTGCTCGTCTAAAAGTTTTTATGGTTGATTGCTCGATACGTTTTACGAAGATTTTTTTTTACACTTTTGATTTAGGCGGACTGGAATGATACAAAAGTAAATACTAAAATAGGTTTCCGTGCTGATATCAAAGTACCAGTGAAAGGCGAAGTTTTCTTTGATGGAATCAAGGCTCCAGAGAGCGCTCTTTTTCTGGTTGGTGGGTTGGCATACGACTTTACAGAGCAGGTAGTGAGCGGAATTCTGGGAATGAGAGGATTCTGGCGCAAAGCATTCTCCATCGACTTTCTTGGCATTGGTAACATTTATCTTGGGTAAGTGTTGAATAAATAGTCATATGATATCAGTTTAAAACCTAACTTGTTGTGCACATACGTTCAAAATCCTTCAGTTATTTAATACTCACAAATTCATGCTATGGCTCTTAGGATGTCAAAAACGAATTGGATTCCCTCCAACAGAAAATATAAACTAAATTCTGATAATTTAGATACTCTCAGTTGTCGTCTTTTTGTCTTAAAACATCCGAGAAGAATCCAGACTACTGATGCAGATTTGATCTCTTGTCACTTGCTTTTTGCATTACAGTTTGACCTACCAAGTTGGGGTACCTTTACCTATTACCGGTGTCAAGTTTGGAATGGGAATCGAATATGGATACGACTGTCTTAAACCTGGAGACTTTACTAATGAAGTGAGCTTGAAGACATGTATTATACGCCTCGAACGCAAAATAAATTGGTGCTAAGAACTATTGGAATACTGATTGAAGAAGACAGTGTTCATAGTTATCTTTCCCTTCCTCGATGCTCACAAGAAGTTAAGAGAGCTCTATCGTCAGGGAAACTATATTGTGGAGGATGTATTCAAGAATGTATATGTATCAGTATTTGTATTACTTGTATATGTCTCCGTATGAGTATCCAGCAGCTCAGCTCGGGTCCCATGTCACAACTGTTATTGGAGTTTAATAACACGTATTTATTAATTCAGTTTTATCCATTGCCTCGTATATTTATTCTCTGTTTTCATTAGGGGCATTGTTTTGGAGGCAGTGGCTACTTTGGGGTTGGACAGCCACAGTTCTTCTTCGCTGAAATGACAGCAATGACTCTCGGGAAAATTATACGCCTCTTGGGATTCACATTTGAACTTCCACCTCCAATAGCTCAGTCTGGCTTCCCAGAAGGCGCTGCGGTACGTTTTCCAATTTTTGGTAAATGTCGCTGTTAGCTTCTTGCATCACTCTTGCCAATATCAAAAAAGTACACGTACGAAGAGCACCGATATAGTTGCAAATGTGATTCTTTTTATGGGGCAGCCAACACCCTTTAAGGATCAATGAAGTAGAGTGTTAGAGTGACAAGGCTGATAGATTATGTCACCGAAAGATATTTTCTTTTAATCAGGGTGTTGAAAAGCAAATAAAATACACTCGGCTGAGAATCCTTACCCGACATACTTGTTGTGTATTTTGAAGTTTTGGGGTTTCCTCAAATCCCAACCATATGATTAAAATAGACTGCTACAAAGGAGAAGATATCAATCTGATTCAGAACAAATTTATCATTACAGGGCTCATACGGCGAATCTACCGTGGATTTACGAATCACTGGTGGTTCATTCATTCCTGAGGGTCTTATGGTAAGAGGAAAGGTCAATATTCTGGGATGGACGATTTCTGCGTTTGCTAAACTATCAGATTCGGTAAGCAAATATAATCAGTTTTGTTTTGTTAGCTATCTAGATATTTAAAATTGACCATAGCGCGAACAGTATTTGTCTTGGGAAACACCTACGATGAAGATCGTGTGTGGAATGGTGTCATATTTAATTTATTAGATATTATCAACTATCAACATGACGATAGGGGGCAAATTACAAACACTACACGGTTAATTGAGCCATGTCAGATTATTCAAAAGTATTGACTATTAAATCTAGATTTATTTTAAAGAATCATGAGTTATTCTGTTCTTAAGGTTCATGGCGATTTATTTTTCTTGTTTTGATCTTTTTCAGTCAATTAAAATAGATCTAAAACCAGACCCAATAAAAATCTTGGATCTGGCTACGATCGTTAAAAGCCCAACTGAACCAGAAAAGGGACCTTCATTCTTCGTCGAAGCCAAAAAGGATCCAATCTTTTTCGAAGTAAGCGACTACTGATTCATACTATCTAGAGATCTCCAGCATTAACCTAAGTACCTGTCACACCCCTCCTAAGATAAATCAAAAGCATATTTTAGCGAATACAAACAATTGACTTAAAGTAAGCCTCTTTCTAATTTATTGCTTCGCGTGGAGATTCTTTAAGAGGCTTTTTCAACAACTACAAGTTGATTGAATTTTACCGGCACAAGCTCTATGTCGAGCCCTTTATAATGGAAAACGGGAGAATTGTAATTGAGAGATTTTTCGTTCTCAATCTTAGAGCTCTCTAAGCTTTTTCGCTTCTGACCAAGAATCAAACACAAGTTAACGTAATACGAATCGCTTAATCTCTACAAGACAAACAAGTTCTAGTTAAGTATCGAGAATATTCCGGAATAGTCCATAGCAGCTTCTGTTCTGCCTTACTTCGCTATGCGATTGGTCCTCTCGACCAATCGATCAGATCGAGTGCTGAAACCGATTGTGATTTGCTCACTTGTGTTCTCCCGCGCTTCAAGCACTTTCCTTGTTTTTCCTTAGCATTTTCACCGGCTTCTTGTGTAATTTTGCACTCCTCTGATTGGCTGTTATGGCTACGTCAGTTTTGGTTTGCGAATCTTCAGCGAAATGCGCCTCATTGACATACACTTTTTTCATTATCAAGATTTACCCTTGGCATATCATGACGGAATATTATTTAATCACCCACACAGGCTTTTATAGAAGGATATATAGATCTTTTGGGGATCTTGGCCTACTGCCGGCTGAACCTAACGATGACTCATATGGAGCTGGTAATTCAAGGAAATTTCCTGGGTCTCATCAAGGCTGAAGTGTTCGTGTCATCAGCCTTCAGTTTGACCTTCTTAGGCTCCAAGTTCTACTGCAAAGTCTCACTGGACCTAAATGGATTGAATAACGTAAGAAAATGGGCAAATAGTTAGGAATAAAACTCTTCAAGTTTGATAATAACAAGGCATTTTTTTACGTGAGAGCTGGGGATTTTAATATTTATTTATTTTGTCATTTTAATTGCTGTTATATATGGATTGAGACTGAGAAACTAAACCTTTTCTCAAACATCTTAAAATTATTAAATTTAAATTTACTCTGTTTCTTATTGATATGTTCCTGATTGACCAATCTGGAGCCGCATATATTTTTGCGTATAACTGATGAATTTTTATAAAATATTGTTTCGCAGGCCCTAGATGTCGCAGCTGAGGCTGTTAAAAGTGCTTTTAATGAGGCTCAAAAGAAACTTGCGGATGCAAGATCTGCAGTCATAAAGGCAAAGGAAGACTGTAAACGGAAGATGGTACTCAAATGTGACAACTGTAGAAAGCTTAAATGTGCTCAAGCAGTAGTCAACTGTAAAGGGTTCTTGGATAAAGCTGGAAAATGGATTGGTGGTGTTGTCGATATGGCTGGTAATTAATGTTAAAAATACAAAAAGTAAATTTCAGAGATTGATAGGATGATCTGCAACTTCACAGTTCATACTGCAGCACCTGAAATAAGCTGTAAGTCATCTCATTGAAGTTTTTCCCTTAGAGCAATTTTTAATTCAGTATCGTAGAAACAAACTCAAAGTATACAAAAGCAAATTATCTGAAGCGCGTGAGAGCGAAATTCTTGATTTGTTCCAATTTGAAATCTTAATTTGGAAGATGTGGCGAGGTTCCCAGACAATTCAAAGAGCAAAGTAAAGCAAAACCAGCATATTACTTTCAACAAGCAATTGAAACTGATCTATGGAAGCACTTGAATTTTTCTTTATCATATTTTCTGCTTTTCAAGGGAACTGGATAAAAGGAACTATAAAGAATGTTGATCAAGCTTTAGCTCCGGTAAGTGAATAGGGCTATTTACATTCATAATTTGAAATTATGACAATGACAATAAGACTGATTAGAATGATGATAAAAGTAATAGGTATTTTGAAACAATCAGGTTGAAAGTTCAATTTGAGTCATGTTCACTTTTCAAAGCGAACCATGATCTCTGGAACAATAACGAATGCGTTTAGTTTCTGCTTAAAAAATAAAAGTCTTTTAACTCAATTATGAGAGTCCTTGATGAAGCTGATTTTGGTGATGATAAAATACATTTCCTAGTAAGTAACACGTCCACTCAAAGGAGTACCAGACGTAAACATAGTCTTCATCACAGGTTGCTAATGCCATCAAGAAATTCTTCAAAGGCTGGAAAAGAAAGAGAGCAGTACACGACATGCGCAATGAGAACTTTGCACTTCATATCCGCCGACGCCGATTTATTAGTAAAATATTATGCGAAGGCCTGGTTGGCGGTGGCTGCAGTTGTGAGTGTCTTAGCCATAAAGCTATGTCTTAAAATTTCACCACTTATGAATTTGTCGACCAAATAGTGTGAAATAACGTATTGTAGTGAGTTGCATTGATTTGAAAGTATGTTTATTTAGTACTTCTCTCCTTCGCAGTTACTGTTTAGTATTGTCATGTAACGCGTGTTGTGTGACACAATTTACCTGACGTGTTAAGATCTTAACAACGGCAACGAAAAAAAAAAATCTATTTTATCAGAGGCAAAGGTAGGATTACCCTTATGTTGAGGGTAGGTGCATAATTTCCATCAATGGTCATACTGGTATTTGTGGGGCTGCCTGTTTTGCTTTCTCTATGGAAGGATGAATGCATCCTTGGACCCCTCTTCGCCATCAGGCCATGAACTTCCATGGACCACACCAAATACCTTTCATTGCCGCTTTTAGCTGTATCTAACCTTTGTGAAGGATCCTGCCACCTTGGGGACCACATCGGGAAAGGCCTGTGTAACGTTTTAGACATTGCAGTTGGCCTCCTGAAGTTAACAGAGACGACCTGTAACTGGGTCAGCAAAGCTATCAAATACGTCCTAACACAGCTTTTCAGAGTCTACAGGTAACTAAATTTGTACGGAGAAAGAGAAAATTTGGTGCGATTCACATGACTCAACTTTACCTATGGCAGTTAAACTGTGATCCACGCTGCCTTCAAGCCAAAAGCTACGTGGAGTAGCTTTCGGCTTGAAAACATGTTGTTTCCTTTACGAAAAGAAGAAAAAACGGAAAAATATCCGCTTGGGCCGATTAAATTTCCAAGTCTGCATTTGAAGGACCAATTGGAACGTTCCATGATAAAAATTAGGGCAAATGAATGTCTCTTAGAGAAATTTCTCCGGGTTGAATTGATTTGTATCCGTGCATTACTTAGCACAGTAAAACTATCTTAGGCGTATCTAATTTTTGGATCAGATGGTTTCGATGAGTTGGGTTCACCCCGTTGTTTCTTCCCTAAGGAAAAAGAGAATTTTGTTTGATTGTGGTTTATGGACTCTGTTTTTTTTCAAACATAGCATCAAATTTGAGTTTTCACTGGCTGCTTACGCACTGGGAGGGAACAGCAATCTCATATTCAACGCAGCATTCGACTTGATGATATTTGGGAGACGTTTGTATCTGGCAACTGATTTCAACTTGAGAGATGCGATCGGTAGCCTGAAAAGGGGAGCAGATAAAGCTACGGAGTGGTACAAGGAGAAAATGAATAAAAAGGGAGCAACAGACACTGAGGAGAATTACTACGATAATGCAAATCCTTACGCTGATTTTGACATGTCAGGTACATATGTTTATCTATTACCAAGAGAAAATTATCATTTTCTCCTGTAAATACTTCTTGATTATGTATACACTACCTCAGCTTTACGCAAATGTATCCGTTGAATATAACCAGTGACTTTTACGGGACTTCCAAACTCTGACATCCTCTTTTCACCGCCTCTCCTTGATTGCCTTGCCGTGAAATACTGCGATTAAAAAAACCGACTAAGATGTATTTCCCGTTTAGTTGCGGCTTATAAGAACTGTTCTTTTAAGGCTATTGTCTTCACCGTCTTGAAACTCGATTGAAAGGTTTTCTAAGAATTCGAAATAAGCCTGTAGTTTCGTTTGTTTTGGAAACGTTACATGAACTTTATTACCTTTCCAATGATTGGAGAAAAATTTCTAATATCTATATTTTACTTGCTCTGTAGAAATATTCTTGATAGAGAATCAGCAATCAGCCACAGATGACAGACGCGGCGCTTGTTTTTTCGTTGAATCCAAGACAGATGGCGCTCTTATCAAGGTAACAGGTTGTAATGATACAGATGAGAGACAGAACTGGGCCTACACTATGAAAGGACAAATCATGGTAAGTAGCATTGTAATAGATATTATTCACGTAGCCATTTTGAAAGATGGTTTTTTTTGCTGCGAATTTAGTTACAAGTAGATTTCGTGTGGAGAATTGAGAATATTCTCGATCCCAGTTAGCCTGTGTACATGGCAGAGCTTATCGTTCTTGAATTATTCTTCATTTAGAATACATGGTCCCAGTTGTGTATTGATTCAAATGGAGGGTCAAAAAATTCCAGATTGAAGCAAACCAAATGTGATCCGAGAAAAGATGACCAGAATTTTCAATGTGATTTGGCGGTTAGATCTCTAATGAGAAGGCGAAGCGATCAGTGCTGGACACTGGGTGAGTGAATTTGTGCTGTTTTTGTGTTGTTTGCTCTGTATGACTTCCTCCTACACATTCATCTATCTGAAATATTCTCTATAAGAAACTTGCCAGCAATTTATATTTATAGTTGTAGATTTTTAGCTTTTGATTCTTTTTGAAGTTGGCAAGACGGAAAACTTACGTAGAAACCACTTTGTAAACGACACTATTGTCTGGCTTCTATTGGCTGTTAAATTTACCAAAATGAAAAAAATTATGCCTTATCACCAGTCATTCATGACTAGCCCATAACAAATCTGGCCTTCAAATCTCCTGTGATAATGTACTGTTACATTAAGGTATTGTTGCACTACAGACCAGTTAAATTGATCACCCTGCCGTTTTGAAACGATTTCTCTTTATTGAGTGACTTTGTAAGTTTTATTGTTTCAACACGATTTTTACAATGATCATAACCATTACAATTTCCTAAAATGTGACTGGGGCATTAGCTGCTTTATTTTTCAAAAATCATTCTGTACGTTTGTAATCGGATAGTTGGCTGTAATCAGACACCTGTAATCGGACAGTCAAAGCAGCCAACCATACTAAGTCCTCTTAGCTAAATCCACAATCATAGAATTGATCACAATAACTATGGCAACAACCACAATTCTGGGGAATTTCCAAAATGGAGGAATTTTTCACTTTACACGCTGTCTCTACCGGAAATGTTAGGCTCAAATGTATTTGTTTATTTTTTCGGAAATTGTAACAGTTATGATTAGTTGATAACATGACTTCGTGTCGTCCAATTCAGTCTGTAATCATACTCGTGATTAAGAAATCAGACTCCCGCTTCGCGGTAATCCGATTTTGTCAATCGCTTGTTTGATTACAGACCGAATGGGACACTACTCGTTCCTAGTACCATTATAATTTATTTATTTTCAGGGAAGACAAGCTTGAATGGACCTGGCTCTTTGGTTCATCTTGGATCATTGAAGTGTATTCATCCACAAGGAGGAGGCTACAATGTAGTCGAGGGAACAAAGCTGCTTATTCATTGCGGATGCAGTGAGAGCAGGTAAGATAAAATATGTTTAAGCCTGCTTATTCTTCTATGATTTAGGGAAGTATCACCCTCCATTCCAATGGAGCTTGTTAATAAAAAGCGTAAATCTTGAGCATTCGGGCTGCTTATCTTCCTCACTGCAATGGCTTTGGTGGAAACTAGAGAGCTGTTGCTTACTCATTATGAGAACGCAAGATTACATTAAGAACAATAGGGCTTCACATCTGAGCTACAAACCCAACAATAACTCACAGATGGGAAAACTGACGGATTCGCAAGCTTACCTTAACCTATATGAAATCAATCAACAGATTAGAATTCGTCCTGCAAAATGGTAATTTGGTTCATACCAAGAGTGGAAAATGTGTGCGACCTATGGGAGAAGCCTTGGATGGTGTTGCACTTGGTCTGTACTCGTCTTGTGAGGGGCATCAGTTTAGCTTCACTGCTGGAGGGTCTCTACAGCACGTTAGAAGCAGGAAATGTGTCAACACCAGATCTGGAGTAAGAGTAGAAGTAGAATAACGCAGTTAAAATGTCTTGGAAGAAATATTTCAGCATTTGGGATTTTGTCGGTCCACAGGATTTGCGGTTTATTTATTTACCAATTCAGATCTTATAACTGTGATTCTGTCAGAGTTTGATAACAGGCAATGTCAAATTATGGTTAATTTTTGTTCTCTTTCCTTATTTAACAGACAAAAATTGATCTAAAAGAGTTGAGGGTATTTTTCATCTACAGCTTAAGTTCGTTGTGCTTTTTTTTCTTTTATCAGAAAATGAAAGCTGCGAACAATGAAGATATGGTGCTTAGAAGCAAGTGCGAAAATAGTGACACTTCCCTCACCAAGGAACATCTTCTCTTCAGTTTCGTTCCGAGTAAGTTGTTCTAGAACGTCTGTTTGTTGGCTTTTTTTTCTTAGATAATGACCTAAGAATCAGAAGGGTATGAGAGTGTGTAATAATTTGATGCTTTTTGTATCTTCTTTGTTCAGCTGATCCAAGCGTTCATCTCGAGAGGTGTACACATTTTGATAGAGCAAGGCTGGATCAGCGGTTTGAGGTCATGGAAGAACCAGCCGTTAGCATTTGCAGCAAATTCGCAAAGAGTAAGCTCAAAATTAACTTACCTTTGATGATTAAACGGAAAACAATTACAAAAAAAACAAGGAAAACATTCAAAACATTCATTTATTCTTATTTTAAAACAGAAAACGCGATAATTTGACGGTAGTAGCAACTGATAGCTGATTGTAATAGCACATTCTTTAAATTTGTATTTCTTCTGCACAACGTACACGTGCATACCGAGGCTTAAGTTGGTTTTACTCTTTAAATTTCAATTAAAATAGTTACGACCCTCTTTACCCCTATCTGAAATAATTCCGTTTAGATCTTGCATACAAGAAGGCAACAGAGCAGTCAAGTACTGATAAAAATGGATTCAGTTACCGAGCTGTCGACGAAAACTATTCGTCCCACTATGAAGATAAGTCTTGTGCACAAACCAAGAAAGAAAAGAATCCTTGGTGGGCAGTTGACCTTGGAAGAGAGTACATTGTCACTGGTACGTAAACTAAAAAAGCTGTGAGTCCATGGCTTCCAAATTACTGACCCAAATAATTATGATTTTTTTTTGCGGTGGTAAAAACCCTCGGGAAGTTTGTTAAGGCGCCCCAATTCCCCTTCTATATTGAAATATTTTCAAGTTACTATTTTATTATTTTGAAACGGTACATTTTTTTGTTACCACCGTTGACAAGGAGGTCAGGTGAAGCATTTTAGCAGTTGTGTCGAGGATTTTAATAATTTTTTTTATAGTTTGAGAAGAGTCTTACAGTCTTTGCTTTGATATTTTTCCTCTCCGATATCACCCCTCGAAACACCGATCAGAATGATCATCAGCTTCCAGTTGTTGATGCATCTTAATGATTCTTCTCAGATGTGATGATTGTAAATCGCTACAATAACTTTGAAAGACTCACGAACTTTGATGTTAAAGTCGGTGTTAGCAAAAACAACACAGAAAATCCAACATGTCACGACCGTGTGGGGACTGTGGGCAAGGGACAGGCTCTGAGAGTCCAGTGTGATCCACCAATCCCAGGACGATACGTGTCAGTGCAGATGTTCGGAGAAGGGATTTTATCCTTATGCGAGGTTGCAGTGTATTCCAGAGTTGGTATGTCAAGAATAACGATAACGCATACGTTTTATAGACGCGGGCAGCAGGCGGCGGTTAAGAATTCTTTCCCCTGGTGCCCTCTAGAAATGCTTTTTTGCAATTGCCTTTTGTTGCCAAATTAAAGGCGCACCACGATGAGTAAATAAATTGTACTTCCATTCGCCGTTCACGTGTCAGATGCATCTGTACCAAGGCTCCTGTCGTGTTTCCTTTTTCAGTTTAAAATTTTGATTTGAGGAAAGTGATGTCCTTAATTACTTTGCCAAATAAAGAGCTTTAATTGCCCTTCACAATATTCAAATCACTTTGTTGGTGTGTCTCCTTTACCAGGTGCCTTCGCAGATTTATGTCAACTCAATAATGGCGGCTGCTCACAGGTCTGTTATAACCTGTGTAACCTGAAAGTCAAATGTGGCTGTTGGCCTGGTTACACTCTGGCTTACGATGGAAAGACATGCACTGGTAAGAAAAGTTATCGTTCCTTTTTGTTTCTTTTTTTTTCTTTTTTCATCCTTTTTTTTTTTCCAGTGGAGTTGGTGTTGATGTCATGCGTTTTCGGTTGTCACGGTAGCTATCTCCATAAATACCACAGAAAGCAAAACAGTTGGTAACTAATTGAGTGATAAAATTTCCCATCAGGTTTGAACTTAAGTTAAATTTTGAGTCGATTAAAGAAATGTTCATCCTATATATTTACAGAGCTCTCTACGGCAGGTAGGACTTGGTCGAACTCCTAAGAATCGAATGACAGTTCAAATCTTGGCTTCTTATAGATCTGTTTCACGAAGAAGCTGGCTTAATTTGCTCTATTTTCCTTTTTCAGACAGAGATGAATGCCAAATAAATAATGGTGGCTGTGATACTTTAAATGGCCTGTGCATCAACACTTTGGGAAGTTATCACTGTCAATGCAAACAGGGATATCAATTTCGAGAGAATAGTGAATTGATTTGTGAGGGTAAGTAACCACAACAATTAATGTACCTTGCCTTGACAAAGTTTACTTCTTACTTAAATGGATTATGAGTGTTTTTAAGATAAAATATTACAACTTACCTTCTAGGTCGTGTTAAAAACTTTTTTGTCGTTTTTTGTTGTCTCAACTAATATAACGCATGAGTTATTAAGCCTGCCAGTAGATTAAACGTGCAGTGACTACTGCGCAAATATAATAACATGAGCATCCTTAACCCTTTAACTCCCAGAAGTGATCAATATGAAAATTCTCCCAATAATATCCTTACATTTTCTAACAAATAGCTAATATTCAAACTCGTCGGGTAGAAGTCGTTGTCTTGATCTACCACCAAATTCTCGTAACAAATTTACAAGAACATGTAGTAGCTAGAGGGGAGAATTAACAATCAGATCTTGGGACTTGAAGGGTTAATTGTCTAAACGTTTTTAACCTTGTGTCCTCAGATTTTAATGAATGTCACATGAACAATGCCGGATGTGAACAAATTTGCAGCAACAGCAAAGGAAGTTTCAACTGTGATTGCAGAGCAGGATTCAAACTCAAGGCAGATAAAATGGGTTGTGAAGGTAATGGACAAACAGACCGTCAAGAAAATGTCTATACTACATCTTGTTGGGACCCGAATTTGTTAATGCGCGTATTGTTATTATTTCCATTTTAATTAAAGTAATCATCATTTCACGATTATGGGAACTTTACTTCATCAAAGATGATACCTTTTTAAATGCACTTGTCTATGAAACTGTCAGTAAAATAAGCTAATACTTTCGTGCAGATATCGATGAATGTGCTTCGATTGACAAGGGTGGCTGCGAGTATAAATGCAGTAACTATGAAGGAGGATATTACTGCACTTGCCCTGCTGGTTATCGACTGATGGACGATAATAAGGGATGTGAAGGTACTTCAGTTGACGCATTTTTCAGTCAGAGCTTATTTCAAGGAAGGCTTCAACATCTATAAGTACTAAATACTTTTATAAACCTCTGTTGACATCTGAATTGACGTTTGACATCTGAATCAAACGAAATATGTTTCCGTAATTCTGGAAATGTGACTTTTTAGTCAGGGATCATATCAACGAAGGCTTCAACATCTAAAAGTACTAAATACTTTTGTAAACCTCTGTTTGGATAAAATTGTCATCTGACAGAAACAAAGCTCACTGCCAAATTAATTTGTGTGCTTCTCCGTTAAAGAGATTTATCCTTCAGTTTTAGAGGTCCCATTCCGTGGTAGAGTCACATCAGAAATGACAATATAATGTTTAATATCTGAATCAAACGAAATATGCTTCCGTAATTCTGGAAATGTGACTTTTTAGTCAGGGATTATATCAAGGAAGGCTTCAACACCTTTAAGTACTAAATACTTTTATAAACCTCTGTTTGGACGAAATTGTCCGGCATCTAACAGAAACAAAGCTCACTGCCAAAGTAATTTGTGTGCTTCTCCGTTACAGAGATCTATTGTCCAGTTTTAGAAGTCCCATTCCGTGGTAAAGTTACACCAGTGATCTGCACTGACGACCGTGCAAATATCAGACGTAACACTGTATGCTCGTATGGCTGTAAGACTGGACACCATCTGGTAGGCGACGATAAAGTGTTAATTTGCCAGATTGATGGAATGTGGAAGGGAACTGTTCCATTTTGCAAACGTATGTGATACAAATTTATTTCACTAGTTGCTATATTTGTCAACGCTGTAGAAAGATAGCAAAAGCATCTCCCTTCTCCAGTCAATTCAATGATTTTTCCCTAAGCGTCAAAACGGCTAAACGTATACGACAAGAAGTTCCATTGTCGTTTGTAAGAAAACGTCAATGCAAACTTAACTGATAATGATTTCATACCACGAGAGAAATTTTCTATAATAATAACATATATGTAATTTACCCAAGGAAAGTTCACAAGATTACCTTGCTACTCCTAAAAGCTTAGTGAGACGCACGAAACTCCGCACATTTTTGCATTTCTGATCAGTCAAAAGATTTAAAACACCCTCTCCCGCACCATCTTAAGAGCTTCAGAGCATCACTCCCCCCTTGGCTTAATGCGTCTCACACAATCGCTACGCGTAAGTCAATAGTTCACCATAGTTACGTCTTTCTGTGAAGAAATCTGATGAAATATAAGGTGGAGGTGTTTCCCAACTGATTGCTTTTCTTTAAAAAATAAAATTGTCTTTGCTTTCTCCTTTGTAAATTTTCAGCGGTTGTGTGTCCGAAGTTGGCTTTACCAGAAAAAGCTGGAGTGATTCCAGTTTCATGTTCAGAAACAGATGTTGAGTACGGAACAGAATGTGTGTTCCACTGTGATGATGGCTTTGAACTAAAAGGTCCACGGTACACCACATGCAAAGAAGATACTTCATGGAGTGAGATCGCACCATTGTCTTGCGTAAAAGGTGTGTTGTGAAATGGTTATTTACAGGGAAAACGCAGTCAACTTAGAAACGACTTATTGTGTTGGGAACGAGGTTGAAATAAACACATTACCTGGTCGCCATAGAAATTTAGAGGGTGGTGCCTTTGAACACATTGCCGTATAAAGCTGTAGGCTTTTGAAATAATTATCATGATAATTTTCCTTACCCATCGATCCAAGCTCATTTAAGAACGATTGTGACTATTATTGGATAAGTGTACGGGTAGTATCTGATATTTCTGCTAATGCCACACTTTGGGTTACCGATATATGTTTATAGTCGACACAGATCCATGGATCGAGTGTCCAATCGACAGAGTAGAAGATCTTGATCCAGACAAGTCCACTGTGGTGCTTGGTTACAAGTGGCAACTTCCACGAACCAACATGAAGAACGTGACAGTATCGCCTAGCAACTACGATGAGAATTATCCATTCTCTGTTGGCAAACACCGAGTCACATGGATGGGTGCGAGTGAAAGTGGATCACAGCTTAGCTGTAGCTTCTACATAATTGTGAATGGTGAGATTTTGTTGCCGTCTATTGGAAGACACTCTTGATAAAGCTGTGATCAACAGCTGAAAAGTCTCCTTGCAAATCACAAAATTGTTAAAAATTAGGTTGCGCGATTGATGCAATTTATGCTAGATGTGACAGAATGTGAAGAATCCCATCAATTTGTTGAGATGTTTCCTACATGTACAACTGATCTTATCTGTTGCGATATTTCATCATTTGACATGAATGGAAAACGGGATAAGAGCGTTCGTACTATGTAAGTACCTGAGCTATAAGGAAGAAATTTTATAAATAATCACGATATAATTCTTGCCAAGTTTAATGTTTCTTATTGTCTTATCTGAAGACGTAACCCCACCCTCAGTCCAAGGTTGTCCAGCCTCATTCACAGACGTCACCGACTCTCATCAAAAGAGTGTCACGTGGGAAGAGCCAATATTCGCTGACAATGTAGGCGTTGTCAGTGTGTTATCCAATCGTCAGCCAGGTTTCGAGATGGATACCTTTACGTCGATAAATATCAGATATACTGCCACTGATGCATCAGACAATGAAGCGTTCTGCACTTTTAATATCACAGTGGAGGGTATGCAATATTTAAAAGCATAAATTACCAAAGTTTTTCTTCAACACGATTGCTCGTCCGGAATATCACTGTTATGTTGCTAGTTAAAGCAACTACTCAATGAAAACCGTGACTTTCCTTCGCCTTTGTTCTTTTTATTTTCCACTTAGAATTGAAATAAATACTAATCTCGAAATAAGTCCTTTAAGCATACTTAACCGCTATGCGAGATGAAATTGTTGATCTATTCATTTGTGAACTTTCATCCCGCTTATTGAAATGAGATTTAGTTTCCATCAAAGTTCATAGGAGAGATTTCACCCATGGCTCTAGTATCAAGTACGAGATTTAGTGCAAGAAATCTAATTTCGGTCAGCTGCGATAAGATCCAGACCTCGGTAGCTAGGCTAACCCACATTTGCAACTGCGCAGGTCGAATTGCCATATGGGAGAGAATGTTGAACTTAGTTCTTATGGAGAGGCACCAAATCCTACCTTACGTTTCTCGAAACTTTTGATTTTAGGTTCAACTTGTATGACCATTAATCCTCCAAGAAATGGCACAGCTACGAAGATGGGCTGGTTCCTTCAGCTAAAATGCAATCCTGGATATTTCTTCAACCCTCCTCCCTCAGGATCATTTGGTCTTTTCCAAAATCACGTGTACAGGTGTCTAGGAAATAAGTGGGTAGCACAGAGTGATGGAGTGTCCGTGTTAACAAAAGCACCAGATTGCGTGGGTATGATACCATTCTTGAGCTTAATTATCATAAAAAATATGAGTGTTATTATTAAAGTGTTGATATTATTATAATTATTGTTAATATCTTTCTAATATCCCTTTATTTCTTTATTAGCTCACGCAACTTCTTATGGCCGTTCGTTTTGCAAGGAAGGTAGCATTTCTATGGAAAGCATCTGCGGTAAGTTGAGACAGATAATAATATCAATTAAAAAAATTTTTATCATTGACTTCATCCCTCTAAAAATGTAAACACGCTCCTATATGTGCTCTTTTAGTAAAAGGAGAGAGATCTAAAAATTACCCAGGTTTCTCCACCTCTCCCCCCCCCTCACCTGATATGCGTAGGCGGCAAGAAAACAATTTCAAGCTCACAAAATCGCTGAAACATGAAACACGCGAAGGAGGGGTTGGGGGGAGGGGGGAGGGGGGAGTGGGAATCTGGCAGCAGGAAATCGTTGAAAGAGCCGCTTGCGTGAAAAAATGAGTGCAAGCACTTTGATAAAGAAAAACCAAAAAGAAAGCCCAAGTCACCTGCTCCTTATCAACAGCGTATAATTCAGCAGAGAGCTTATCTTGTCATTTTGATAATTGTTTTCATTGTTCAATTAATTCATTGTTTTTGTCATGTACTTACCTATGTAGACTCATGTCTATTTTGTTGTCAGTTAACTGCCCGCCCGGAACATATAGCGACAGCCATAGCAACACATGCGTAGAATGCAACCCGGGATTTTATCAGGACCAGGAGGGAATGACAGAATGTCAGCCATGTCCAAAAAGTTATTCACACATTATAAAAGGATCTAAATCGAGTGATGATTGCAAGCGTAAGTAGCATTGTTGGGTTCGACAATAGCTGGAATAGTGTCATTTGAAACCTCACAGTAGTAGTATCGTGCCAAACAAATTTGATTTTCAACCCCTCATGTTGAGCTATATTGAGCTGCTATGCTCCCCAGAAATATAACCTGCCATAATAAATGCAAACTCAAGTTTAGATTGCAAACGAATATTTGAAAACCAACGGTTCGACCGAAGCTGGGATAGTCTGATTTTTAAAGTCCCAGTAGAGTGGCAAAACAACTTATTCGGTGACTGTTCTTTACATTCTCAAGCCTTTATATTTTAAATTTTTTTGTCCTTAACCCTTGTAACTTCTGATAAAAACTTCTTTCTCAGCTTTAAATTTCTCAAAGAATGTTTTTGTTTGGAAAACAAAGAAATTTATTGTTTTGTTGAAAGCTGTAACTCATTTCGTCTCCTTTGAAATCTAGCAATCTGCAGACATGGGCACTACTCTGTTAATCACGGCATGGCACCGTGCGTGGAATGTCCAAAGGGAACATACCAAAACAGAGAACAACAGACTATGTGCCACGCGTGCCCAGTAGGATCGATTACAACTAACGTGGGAAGTGTTTCATTGTCTGACTGCTTCTGTAAGTATTGGACCTACAGAGTTAAAAGATTAAACTACAGATCAAATTATATTTAGTAGTGAATGGATTCTGTGAAGGTAAAATCGTGGAGAACTTGGAAAAAAGAACTCTGGAACAAAAATGGGATCCAGGAACGAACTCAACCAAAATTTAACGCCAACTAAATGAATCGAACCCAGGCCACAGAAGCGAGGTCGAGTGTTCATATCGCTGTGCCGTTCCTACACCCAAGGATCTCTGCTTGAACGTTATAACTAATTGTCATCGATCCCCTGTGCTATTCAATTTTCGCAGCTCATCTCCGTATCATGATGACCATCCCGGATTCTGATCATGTCGTGAATGAGGAAACAACCATTACGCTCGCTTGTTACATTGAGGGCATCCCAACTCCAGCAATAACATGGACCAAGGTTGATGGTAAGATTCGTTATGCATTTCATGCTCTTGATTAATTGCGTCCACAAAATGGCTCTAAACCTCTTACATCGCCACGCTAATAATATCACGCTAAAGGCTAAGAGCCAGTAATCAAAATTATTCCTAAAGTAAACTAGAAAAAATCACGCAAGATTTATAATCAACGGAGTTGACTGACAACCTTCGGAGTATACCGCTGTTCGACTGTGTTTTCACCTTTCGTAGTTTTCTCCGTATCAAAAAATCTCTCGCACTTTGAAATATGCTTTATGGAATGACTCACTTAGAGATTAGAGATGTCCGTCATGCGCTGAAAACAGCGCTCTATTTAACTGACGTATTATAACTTCTAAGACTTGATTTCACCTGGTTAACCTCCTAATGTACCAGTAAACTTCCTTGTAAACCATGCTTAAAATTTTTTGCAGAGGAAATTCCTTCTGGGCGGCTCAAAATCCGTAATCTCTATGACGCTGATGCGCATTTAGATGGCATTGAGTATTACATTCACGATGCTGTTGTTGCCGATTCTGGTACATATGAATGCAAGGCTACAAATAAACATGAATCAGTTAGCAAGCAAGTGAGAATCGAAGTATTGGCCAAGTCTTCATCTGGCGCATTGCCTTAATAGGTTAGATATGGACTGAGCGTGTGCTTCAGAGAGTAAGGTTCGAAGAACGCTCCTTTTGTTTGGTATGAGAGTTCATTTGCTTTCCTGGTTATTTTTTATGATGACGGAAAAAAATATATGATTTGGCTATTCAGGTTTTTAATTTCTCTTGAGGTTGCTACTCATGCTTCTCACTGTTCAAAAAAGTAAAATACTTAAATTCAGCCAATGAAAATTATCCTTTTCCATCGTTTTACTACAGGTAGGCTGGTTTTGTTGGATATATTTGTTTGGTACTGTAAGGGTAGGGTAAGAGAGTGGACTTGGATTAAAGGTAGTCTTTTTCTTACTAGGAGAGACTGAAGTTTGGGTTTTTTTGGCATGGGCAGCCAAATTTTCACGTTCCCTCTCTCTCTCAATATTCAAATGTATTAAAGCTTATACAAAGTTTTAGTCCAGTTGGAAGGAAGCCATCTACGTGTACAAGTGCAATACCTCGGGTTAACTGATGCGCCAAAAACCTGTACAAATTTGTATTTGTACAGTCTTGTAAGCACACTTTTGATTAAAATGATTCGCTTTATTTTCTTTCAGAAGCCCTGAACTTGACGAAGCCAAAACGTTATGGACCAATTTATGATGATCTGTACGTCTTTTTATTAACAGACGATAGAACTAAATAAATTTCAGTAAAACATACGCAGCCTTTTTTTCGTCATCTTTTAAATAGCTTAAAGGGATTATTTCATTCGCAGTTAATTTCGCATGCTGGTTTACTTCTTAGATCTTGATATTGAACATCATTGTGCATCGTAATGCACCATCACATTTTATTGTTTTTCTTACATTGTCGCAAAGAGTCTATCTTTTTCTTAGTTATTGGTTTCGGGAAGGCTAATTAGCCTGTGCTGACAGAGGAACGGCCTGCTCAACATAGACAAAAGAAATATGGGGTATGAAAAACAAGAGCTATGACAAACTTTTCAGTATTTTCCAAAAGAGGATATGGAGTTACATGTTTTTTACGTGATTCTACCCGACTGCACTTAAAATCTCTCTAAATTCCGCGATACGGCGTGGTTCAGTTCGCAACAATATCTCCGGGACAACCCACCCTGCGTGCATGTGCTCTTGCTACACAAATGGGAAAATTCGCTGTGGCAATCTCCCTTGGCAAATGTGTGTACAATTTAGAAATTTGTGAAAATTTTTGTTTTCCATGTCAAAATGTTCTCGCTGCTATCTATGTGCTCATGCAGAATTTCGTAATACACGCGAACCAGCGCTAAACGGTCTAGCTTAAAGTGCAAATGGAGTTTCTCGGCTGTGGCTAAAAAGTTCGCTTTGATAGCGAAACGAATACGAATTTAAATACGGATGCTTTGTTTCTGAGTTGTAGGGCAATCGAGATTTTGTTTGAGCTAGATTGAACACGACGTTAGAGATTATCAGTTCTAAACCCGTTCAGTGGTTTGTTTCTTACAGCCGTAATGACACAGGGATTCCCTTTTTCCTTCATGAAGGAGGTTGAGAAGCTATAAATACAGGAGCAAACAAGCGCCTGTATATTTGCGATAGAAACTTGTATTCTTTTCTTGCGTCTCCACCTGCTGCTGTACACAGTTAACCTACATCCTTAGGGTGCAACAATATTTTATTCATTTAAAATGAGTTGTTTTCAGTTGTGGCGTCAGATAACGATTTTCGCAAAACGAGTTCAAATATACGTAGGTAAGCTGACAGAGGTGTTTCCTATGAAGGGGGAGAAATAAAAAAACTTAAAAACTTACAGCGATGGAGAATTTATTCATGTTGGGAATCAGTCGTGTTCCTAACTTTGGGAAAAAGAAATAATTTTAAATGCGCGACGACAAATGCCTCTTCACTCCTACAAAACAAGTTTAGTTCAATCAGCTTTGAAATTATGAAAATCAGCGACAGAAAACTAGAAAAATTCTGAATTTCAAACAGGATTCGAGAAATCACTGTCATGTATTTTCACTGTGCTAAATTTGCAGTCCACAAACATCAGCTTAAGCAACTATTTGGATAAGACAGTTTCAAACTTTGTGTGACAAAACAGCTTTAAAATCTGTTTTAGGTTTTATTTGAATTAGTCACAATGCACCAATATAATTCAGCAACTTCCCAATGTAGGCGTTCCTGTTTGCTTGAAACTAAAATAGATTTGTCGTGCTCAACGACTAGCCAATTCACAAATATAAGGTTTGTTATTATTACATATATCTAAACATGGGGGCGTGCATAATGTGTTAGATTTTTTATCTTTATTATCTATATTTGCCATCTGGTCTTTGCTTCTCTGGAGAATTTTTCTCCCTCACCTAACCTGAAGTAAACGTGTACAACTCACAACTGTAAGAGCGTGACAAAATTAAATTTACCGCAACGATTAACGAAGACCTTATCTGATGAATCATAGTTTTTACTTATCATTCACAGTTGCTGTGAACGTGTCTTCATGTCATTGAGTAAACAAATCCGCTTAGTTGACTCACCTGTTAACCCGGGAAAAGAACAGCTTCGAGAGAAGAGACGAAGTCTGTTACCGAGAAAAGAACGCAAAAGTTTTTGTGACTGGCAAAGGCCGATGCTTCATCAGGTCATCAATTACATCTGAATACTTCGCGCTTTTCTTGTTGAGTAAAATTTAAAAAACCTCTACGGTTTATTACAGTCTGTAACTAAAAATTAATCTTCGACAACTTTATAAACATATCAGATTTCAAATAAAAAAAATTAATATTTTTTTGCTATTTTTCTGCAAAGTTCTATTAAGGACTATTTGAAGAGAGAGTAAAATTACTATTAGCATAGTTGGTCATTCGCCTTTGATGCGAACGTTATGCTTAAACTTACAACTGAACAAATAGACGCCCTCCACGTGCTGCTCAAAAGCCACCCACGATGTTAAAGCAGTCAAAACATTTTGAGGTATTATTTCCCAAGCGACAGTACTGCTACATAAATGGAAATCCTCCGCTTATTTACTGTGAGTACCACTTTTTTGACAGTTTAAAACATTGAGAGAAATTACGTTCCCTACCTTGACTCTTCAAATTTCTTTCTTTGAGGAATTCTTAGACTCTCTATTTCTTTTCGTTTATCTGACAAAGAAAGCGGAGGATTTTCATACACGATTTTCAGTTAAATAGTCATTTAGTCGAGAAAAAAAGATGAAGTATACAGAAATTCAAAAGTTGTTTTAAAAACATTATAATAGTCCATGTTGAGTTATATATTTAAAGTTGGTCCGAAACGTTCTAATTAATTCGGGTAAACATAGCGCTATATTACTTGTTTCTGTTCACGTCCACCAGGATGTATTAACTCACCTGTTATTTGTATATCAGAGCAGAATTTACACACCTTTCCTACGCTACGTATTTTGTGACATAACGATCTCAATTTAAGCAGCTTCAATTTATCAGTTTGCCGCAAACTGCTCAGTAGAGCGCAAGCAATAGTTATGCTTGAGCTTAGTTCAGTTTAAAGCTTACTTATATTCATAGAAGTTAATCATGATGGAAAAAGCTGCGTCTTTCATACTTCTGCTCTCGGTTCTAGTGGCATTGTGGAGTAGTGCAACCGGAGCCAGTAAGTAGCTTAATGACTTTTGCTCGCCTTACAACTAGGGCTAAATTTCCGCCGAAAGAAAATATTTCTCCTAATTCAGGCCTAGTGTGTACTGATTTTCTGAGCTTTTAATTCATTTGAAAAAGATTTGAAAACTACAGGGAAGTTTCAAACAAGTCATGAGAACTGAACCTCGTAATGGGCCTCGCTTACCATAGAGTCTCTGTGGCTCAGTGGTAGAGCATCGGAGCTCTAAGGCTCGTTCCTCATGGGGACTCAGAATTTGATTTACCAATTATTTTATTCTCAAAAATAGCGAATGGTGGCTGGGCCAGTTGGTCAAGATGGAGTGGCTGTGCAGCTGGTATTTGCGCGGGAAATCAGCGGATTAGAACAAGAACTTGCACCAATCCCCTTCCCTCTGACGATGGGTTGTACTGCGACGAAGGAGATAGTTCACAGCAACAGGACTGCCAGAGTAAGAAGAAGATATTTATTTCTTGTGATTACTGGGGTCTTCCTGGCGTATTTAAAGAAGAAGCACCTGAATGCTATAGCTCTGCTTTTGAAAATTACGCTATCGTATTCTGTTGCAATTCCATTCTATTTCCGAGCTGTCCCAAATTTCCTTCTTCATTCGGCCTGCAGCTCTCCCCTCCTTTAAATAAGAGTTTTACCGCGTTACCTAAGGAGTGAGACCAATATTTACGTGATTGGCATAGCAAGTGAATGCCACGTAAGCAGCACACAAGTAATACATTGACCCTAATATGCAGGCGCACAACACCAATATGAAAACGTGACCAAGGAAAAAGTAGTCTTTTGTGATGCAATGCCTTAGTTTTGACTGATAAATAAAATTTAAATTCCTAGAATGAACACAAACAAACAAATACATTCTGATCAATGCTACTCGAACTGGAACTTGTAAGTATTGGCCGAGCTGGCCTATCTTTTCGCGAGAAATTTATGATCAGTTGCAATAGATGAAAAGAAAAAAAACAGAAATGACAAAACTAATATTAATAAGAGGATATGGAAGAGGGGAGATTGTTGAGGAAAAGGATTGAAGAAGAAACATATCTAATCCCTTTTTTAATTATTTCTTTTCAGTCGACGGTGGCTTCACCGAATGGAGTCAGTGGTCGATATGTGAAAACCCTTGTGGAGGATCTGTAGTCAACAGGACAAGAGGATGTACTAACCCCACCCCCTCTCCAGACGGGATGCCTTGCTCTGGACCAACAGTTGAAACCAAGATGGAGTGCGTGGGGCCATGTCCGAGTAAGTGAAAAATATCTATAATATTTTAATGGACTGAGTAATTTATTTTCCAAGTTGTCAATTAACTGCAAGAATTGAGCAATTGGAATGTGGGAGTAAAAATTGGTGAAATATTTTCTTTGAATACTTCAGCTGGT